CATTTATTATTACAAGTTAGAAAATCAAAAAATGATCTTCCTAAAGTACCACCCCAGTCAGATTTCAGAAAAAGTGATACACTTTGGATATCAGAACAATTAGTCTGGTAGAAAAATCGTTCAGAGGTAAAAAAAATAATAAACATCACTGTAAAATTAGTAGGTACATTTCTCGCACCACTGAGAATCTAAAAAATGTAATTTTATCATTTTAAAAAATCAAATTTTTAATCAAATGTGAGTCACCTTTTAGCAATTAATTTTCATAATAAAAATTAGACAACGACCATCCTTATGTTTTTAATGTCAAATGTGCAAAGTTTCATTGAGATCGGAGTATATACTCTATGATCGGAATAAAACTGTATACAGATATGATAACATATTTGTTACTTGTTTAGCGGAGAAACAAACAGCCAGATAGAATTTCAATGTTAATAATAACATATTTTGATATTAAAATTATTTAAAATTGCCGCTGGAAAAATAAATAAATAAAAACCATATCGGTTGTTAATGTAAGTTTGACTGTGGTTACTCGCTAAATGTTATATTATTTTTATTAATTTATTATACAAATTTAAACAAGCACATAAATACAATACTATAATACAGCGAATAATAGTAGGCACTTCACTTATTATTGTTATAGACGTACTTATAATGCGAACCGTTCGGCCACCGTCTGAGAAGACCTTGCCATAAAATATTATTACATAAAAAAAAAAAAAAACACATAGTTATGGATTTGTGGATTATATTATCAAAACCGATTCACCACACGACGACAGCGGCGCGAGAATTTTTTTTTATTTGGAGGTTAAAACCAAATGATAAAAAAAATTTCAGCGGTCACTGTATAATAACAAACAATAATAATATTATGTGTAACTTTGAAAATAATAATAATAATTCTGCCCGTACAAAATCGTATTATTTTGTATCTGATACTAAATCACGGTCTATGACGCTCGTGTGAATAATAATACACTATTCCGAGGTTATGTACTTATTATAGTATCGAGGATTCAAGGAAATTTAATGATTAGAATGGTTTTATAATATAATGTAGTAGGAAAAATTGCACAACGCTTCAATACGCGGTGTACAATATTAAGAACATATTGCCGATGTGCTATTCCTTACAAAACAGCTGAACTTATGAGGGTATTGATAATATTACAAATAGGTTAACAAGGACGGATCCAGGACAAGATAACGGTGGTGGGGGGGGGTTGATTTTGAAAATGAATATAAGACACGTGTTTATGATAAATTAATCTATAAAGAGTATATTGGGGAGTGAACGGGTTGGGTGGAGGGGGATAGGGCAATCGCCTCTATCGCTTCCCCCCCTCTGGATCCGTCACTGTGGGTCAACCATACGCTATGTTCGAACGGAACTTTTCTTGCTCTATGACTTTTCCGGACTGTTCACCGCATAGGTATTACATCGTTATGATGACGCGTTATTTATTATGTATAGGTACCGTCGCGGACAATAATAATAATAATAATAATAATAATAGGAGTCGCGGTCCGGAGGACGACGGCCGGCGGCGTAGGTACGTCCGAAACCCCATCCCCTATCGCCCATTCATTATTATTATTATTATTGCGAAGCGGCGTTCGTTGCGAATCCGGCGAATAATAATAATAATAATAATAGGGTATCGTGGAAGGAGAGAAAAAAAATAATAATAATAATAACCCGAAAACCGCCGCGGTCCGCCGATGGGGTTACGCGTCGTGCGTATTATTGTACATGTACGCGCGCACAATAATTTTTATGCTCGCATACGCCAGTATTATTATTATTATTATTATTATTATTATTATTATTATTATCGTTGTGATAATGGCGATGGCCAATGGCCGGCGACGGGACGACAATGGGTCCGGCGACAGCAGCGGCCGGCAGCGCTACGCACAATATTGCCGGACCGCGGCGGCACAAAAGGGGTAGAGGCTGCGGCTGCGGCGCGCGAACGTCCGCACAAGACGTGTGCGTGCGACATGCGAAACATATAATACGCGAATTTTTTTTTTTTTTCGCGCCGGATGAATGGGGACGATCGCACACGCGAACGGACATTAGAAATATCCAATATTATAATATTATTATTATTGTGCGTATATTATATTATTGCATTGTACGGCGGCGGTAGCAGTGCCTACACGGGGCCGTATCCGCGCGAGCGTTCCGGAGAAGCCTTTAGAAAAAAAATAATAAATAAATAATCTCCGACCTCGCCCGGTATCCGCGAGCCATTATTGTCATTATTATATTGTACCGAGTGTGTCTATCTCTTCTCTTTCGCGCCGTCGCCCCGGACCCGAAACCGGACCCGACGCCGATCGGTCATCGCTACACATTATAATAATAATAATAACAATAATAACTGCAACAATACAGCGCGATCGACATGGCAACGCATAAGACACTCGTCATCCCGGAAAGCGGCGCGGACGCAGCGGGACCGATGGTGGGTGGGTGCTGGTGACGGTGATGGCGTCCCCGTTACCAGCGTTTGTTTGGAAAAAGAAGAAAAGGAAAAATAAAAAGCTGTTCTATAGGATAATGGGGACGGGTGCGGTCACTTTTATAGGTAATTTAATGTGTATCTGTTAGCAACGGTTATCCGTTGCTAACGAAAAAAAGATTCTGAGCGGAGTTCAGTTCATAGCGTAGTTGCTTTGTCAACAGTATACATGCCACGTGATGGCAAAATAATTGCATAGGCAATATATATATATTTTTTTTAAATATTTCTTCAATATTGTATCTATTTTCCTGTTTTTCAACGGTTTTTCTACGTTATTTCCGCGGCTTTTCCATTTATTGGGAAAATTAGTGGGAAAATCAAAAAATGACCTTCTTAAAGAGTACCTCCCCACACTAATTTTCCTTCAGAAAAAATGCTACACTTAAAAATTGGAGTAAGATTTTCGTGTCTTCGCGTACGCCACCAATATATTCTTATATAATTTATAATTATACAAAAAAATAAGAGCCGATATACTGGGGACGGGTGTGCCATTGTTATGAAGTGGGCCGTTGGAAAGGTAAGATACATAAAGTTATATTATTCAATATCTGTAAGCAACGATAAATCATGGCTAACGAAAAACAAATTCGGAGTGAGTTTGGTTATACGTGTTTTGAAAGGTCGTAATGTTCACGATTTCCGTTAAAATTTGATAATAAAACTTTTATATATATAAAATCTAATGCATTAAACTCAAATGTGTTTTTTTGGATTACCCAGTTCGACAAATAATGTATCATGTGTTAAATTTCCAATGTATTTCTTTTTAGTCACATAGTTTAATAACGCATACTGCCAAAAAAAAATACATATTAAAACACGAAAATATCAAATACCTATACCTAGCCTGAACATATTTAGAATGTTTTTAAAATATTACGACGGCTACAAAAGGCTAATATAAGTATTTTGTGAAAACTACAGGTCTATACATTCATTTTTAACAGAATAACAACAAAAATTTCAAATGTCGATCCCGTGCAGTTTGCTGTATTTTCTGCGTTTCATTCCGGTTTTCGTAATTATTAGGAAAACTATACCGAAAATCAAACAATGAGTTTTTGTCTTACAAACTAGATAACATTTTCTTTCAGAATATATATTTAATGTATTATGTACATTTAAATGTAAACATGGATATAATATGCGTATACAGTTCAACAAAATGTCTTGAGGGCCGTATCCCTTATGCCCCCCTCCTCGTGTTTTTCAGTCCCATTATAAAATTTGCTTGTTTTTCCTTTTATATTTTATATTTTGTAAACAAATGTTATTATTTTATCAAATTATTTTTAATCTGATATTTTTCAAATGTTTATTTTACGAATAATCGATAAAAAAAATTCTAGTGAAAACAACATGGGATTACTTTTTTAATACTTTGATAGTAATGAAGGTCAATTTAATTATTGTTTATTTTAAATTAATACATTTTCATTATTTTATAAGATTCTAAGCGTGGTAGCTATAGAGGAATGTTTAACTATAGAATGTGTTTTTTTTCTGTGAGCATATTTTAAAGAAAAATCTTACTTTAATAAAAAAAAAAAAAAACCTGAAATGAAATTTTTGATGTACTACAGATCTATTTGGTGCACTCGAAAAGGCTATTTTTTAATTTTTATTTTAGTTTTTCTAGTAATAATTGGGCAAAATCGGACATACCAGTAACAGTAGCAATTGTTCGACGTTAATATTGCCTATCCCAAACCCCTTGAATATTTGCTGGGCGGTTTTGTTGGTTAAAATATTATTATTATTATTTTTTTTTTAATTAATAATTTAATATTTAAATATTTTTATAATGTATAATTTTTTTTTTACTCGTTAAGATCCAAAGTTTACTTTTTCGTTGTGAATTGTTTTTATTCAAAATCCACTTACAATAAGCAAATATTATTTTTTTGTTTTGTATTGGGTAGACCAATATAAATATTCCTTTAAAACAAAATACAGTGGAGCATCGATATCTGTACGTCAATATTATCCGCATTATAAAATGTTTGATCAAATTTATACTTTTAGTTTAATCTAATTTATACCCACTTATTTGTTTTTATTCATTACTGATACGGTCCAAACCAAAAGGAATATAGGTAAAAAATGGCATGTTCAACGCTGGGCGAGAGAGATAGTAAGTATTATTAGTAATATTATGAAATGCGAGATTATTTTATTATCTAATAAGGCTCACTTTCATGTCAATATTCTTAAATACCGTTGATTCGTAAATGCGATCGAGTACATATTTCTCATTTGAATTAAAATGGTTTCCAAAAAAAAAAAAAAAACATAATATGTTAAATATTGAAACAAAAATCGAAACAATAGAAAAGCTTGAAAAAAAGGAGAAAACGGATTTTCTTTAGCTCGATTTTATAATGTAGGTAAGTCTACTATTGATGATATAAAACGTAAAAGTTAAAGCATTTAATCATATTAGCATCAAAGATGGAGTCGATCGATGGCGAAAAGACTAGAAAAGTACGAAAAGTGTGACAAATGTTAAGTTAGAAGAAGCTCTTTTTTGTGGTTTGTAAAAAATAAAATTTAGGTGACCCCATACCAGGGATTATATTGCGTGAACAAGCATTAATATTTGTTAGTAAAATGGGTGATACAACTGATTTTAAAGCTAGTTTAGGCTGGTTAAACATTTTTAAATCGCGGTATGGTATAAGAGAATTTAATATCCGGGAGAAATATTACTATGTAATTTTATATCTGCAGACAAATTTATGGAAACCTTTTTTGAACATGATAAAACGAGAAGGATACAAAAAATATTACATTTACAATGATGATGAAACAAATATAAACTGGAAGGAATTACCACGTAAGTCATTAGCATCACGTTGTGAATCGTTAGCACCTAGTTATAAAATTAGCAAAGATAGGATTACCGCAATGGTTTTGCGCAAATGCTAGTGAAGACACGCATTACCATTATTAGTGATTGGAAAAGCTATTAAACCACAATATTAGGTTATTTTTTATTTAATTACACTAATCTACTACTAATTCTACAATATTAATTATACTACATACTTTTGGCAACACATATGCAATGTCATATTATACGATACATACAGGGTGATTCATTAAACGTGTTCGCCCCATTTTTTTGGTTAAATTTTACAAGTGTTCGAATTCTGATTTTTGGAACTTTTCAGTGTAGTTAAAGCAGATATGTTCGAGTATTTCGATTTTTCATAACGCTTAAGGAGCATCTTGTGGTGGCGCCAACATTGATTTTTCAAATGAGAACCTACATTAAAAATATATTTAGAGTAATACTCCGTCTATTATATTCAATTTTCAGAATTAGAACACATGCAAAATTTAACCAAAAAAATGGGATGAGCACGTTTGGTAACTCACTCTGTATACAGTACGTACGTTATTTAATTTGATGTATTTTTAATCATTATTTGATTATCCGCAAAAATCACCGCAACCCCCTTGGTCCCAATTAGTGCGGAATGATCGACGTCCTGCCGTATAGGCGATTCAATGATATGACCGTGATTGAAAAATAAAAACCAAAATCAAATTTAGGCACTCCAAACTTATATGCCTAATCGGTGGTTCATGATAAGATATTATCCTTTATACAATGATATTATATAACATACCGCCACCGCCGTAACTCATCGACAACGACGATGACGACCATGAACATCTGCGAACAAAACCCTTTCGACTGAAAAAAAAAAAAAGAAAAGAAAAGGAACCTAACCAACACAGCACGAAACGGCCCGGTGTAAAACGGTCATTCTCGGACACACAATGATATATACATACATGTTTTATTATCATAATATCCATCGTCCGAATAAAAATAGTTTCTCGTCATTGTGCCCGTTATTATTATATTGGGTGTATTGTTGGTACATTGCACGGTAATAATAATTGCAAACCGCACACGAAACAGCCGGAATGTCGGAAATCCCGCGGTCGTGGCAGAAATATTTTTTATTCCTCTCCTTCCGACGGGGTCAATGCTTTTCAGGGGGCCAAATGTCCCCCTTGCCCCCTGAACATTGTGGAGCGGCGAATGTATAATTATCCCCCCCCCCGAAAATCCAACAGTAAAAATCCTCGAATCTTCTTGAGTTCAGAAACGTAATATATTCAATATTCACTAATTATAAAATATGTGTAAATAATATTTATACTAGTTACTTTTTAAAAACTATTTACAGCACATTTTTATTGATAAATTCTTATGTAGGTACTTAAATACTTAATAAACTTTAACAATATGAGTACCTAATACCTGGTACCTGCAATTTGTTTGTAAACCATAAGATTTAATACTCGTGTAAAAACAAACAATTAGGCATACCGTATATAATACATACAATAAAAAAAATCGGACCTATTTCGCACGATCGGTGGGCTACTACTGTAGATGAGAAGTTGAGAAGATATAAAGGGGAAATTTAATGTATATATCTGTAATATCTGTATGCAGTGGTTAATCATTGCTAACAAAAACGATTATGAGCGGAGTTCGGTTATTTGAAAGGTCGTAATATTTACGATTTGGTAAGAATTTACTAATACGTAAATTTTCCCGCTTTCCTACGTTTTTTTCCAGTTTTTCCTATTTATCACACCCCTGGGAAAGTCAAAAAATAACGTCCATGAGGAAATACCCCAGTAAAATTTACTTTCAGAAAAGATGCCACATTTGAAAATCGGAGCAAAATTTTTGGCAAAAAGTTGTTTAATAAAAAAACAAAACTAAAATAAACATCATTGTGAAACCAATATATTCTTCGCTTCTCTCAGAATGTATACTTAAACCAAGAGGGGAGCTTAGGGTTTTGGTTATGGTTGATAAACTTTTTTGAGTCCCCTAATTTTTTAACCAATTATACCACTGCAACTATCTATCTTGAGGTCATGATAAAGTTTGTGCCAGTGCTATTGTTGTCTAGATCCGGAACGTGTTATTCGGCAATTAAGATGGATGGCGCGCTCTATTTGTGGAAATAAGCAATCGTTGAACAAATAATACAAATACGGTGTTCGAGATCAACACGAGTATACGGCAACGCGCTATATTTGTGTAAATATGCAAAAATGATGATCAAACACAAGAAACATAATAATAATATTGTTAACAATATAAGTGATGGACACTATTGAATAGTTTATAGGTACTATCGATTGTTTTCGATAGTTCATCTAAACTATCGACAATTTTTTCCCGTGACCGAATACTTATAATCGGAAAAAATATCTAATACATTATGAAAAGCTATTCTAATAATTTTTATTCGGTCACGGGGAAATCTATTCGAATAGTTTTTACTTCGTTATTTTCCCCCAAAATTATTGAAATATTTTTGTTTACAATAAGACAATTTGATTATATGTTATGGTCGATAAGTAAATAATTCTACGAAATACTACCTGCAGTTGGTTATACAAAACTACAAAAGACAGATAGTTTGGTGATCTTAGTCCCTAAAAAAAATTTTTGAATAATATTATGGGGAAAAAAACGAAGTAAAAACTGCCGAATAAAAACTGTTCGAATAGTCGAATAGTTCGGTTGAAAACTATCGAATAGGTCAACTATTAGAATAGTTCGAATGCGATTAACTCTCAAATAGTTCAATAGAGACAATCATAGGCAAAACTAGACATTTTAATTAGACTGAGCCATTCATGAGAGTCATATTATACCTGTCAATGGTAGGATTTTCTAAAACTGTACCTTGACTATAGTTATTCAGATTTATACTTAAATTTACGTTTCCAATATTATTATTATTATTAAGTACTACTTAGTAGTATGATAGACTATCGTACCCAAAGTAAATAGAAGGGGGGAGGGTGATAGAGAACACCAATGTTTTATATTACAAAAAAATAGTTATAACATAAGTAATTATTGAGGACATAAATCTAAAATTGTATAACTTGTTGTTTAAACTTAAATCATACAGTTAAAACGGACCAGTCTGCACAAAGATATTCTCGTAAGCGGAAAACGAGAGAATTAGCACAACTAAAAAAAATGAAAAATAATTCTGCAAAGTACCAAAACGCCTTATATTCTAATAAGCAATAACATTTAAAAACAAAAAATATGAACTTGAAGATCAAAATTATCTTAATATGGTAGGCAAGTTAATAATTTGCTATATAAATTGTAAAATATACAGTTTTTTTTTTTTTACATTTACATTTTATAAAATTTATAATATACTCTAATTATTAGTCATGATTACATTTTAAATTATTACTAGTGATTTGAATGAATCTCTTGAAATAAATGCTCCATTACCTAATATTTTGGATAATTCAAGCAGTGAGCTGGCTAATAACCCAAATTATGTGAAATGCCTGACTCCAGTCAGGTACGTACATCATTTTCAAAATAACATTATGTATAACAGTGATGTAATTGTCAGTTTAACTTTTGATCGTGTAACAGTACGTACTACAAAACTGAACTATGCTTGTAGTTTTATTGTTTTATTTAATTTTTTTAAATGGCAAATGAAGTAAATAATATTAAACATGCACGTAAGAGAGAAACTACTTGTACTTTTGGTTAAAAATTGTTATAGTAAAAAAACTGTCCTAGGATAATGAGGACGGGTGCAACCACTGTTATATGTAATTTAAAGTATACATGTAAGCAACGATAAACTATTGCTAACGAAAACACGATTTTGAGCGGAGTTCATTTTTAACATAATATAGTTTATGCGATGAGTTTGTTGTAAATACATCAGACAATAATTAGTTAAAACTCTACTCTCTGATACAAAAAATGTCGATAGTGATGCTTTGTCAACAATACATAAGTGATATTATAGTAAAATAATTAAATAGGCATTGTATATTTTTTAAGAATCCTGAGAAAATGAAAAACTGACCTCCCTAAAATGTTTTCCCAATCAGATTTCCTTTCAGAAAAAGAAATATGTTATTTAGTTAGTACATTGGAGGGTAGTTTTTTGTTTTTCTTGTAATTTTCTTAATATTTGGGAGGCAATACAGTATTCAGCAACAAAGATTTTATTAATTTCGAATTTGTTTTTTGTTACGATTCGGCTAAAAATAATCGTAGATACCAATCTAAAATGTTCACAGAATAATTAGGTATTTTAGACTTTTCTAGACGCAATAAAATGTTCAAATTATTTTTGAGCTATTTATAAGCAATAATAATATCATTAAAGAAATAATCATTTGTGTTAATATTTAAAAATAAATAATCCCGAGTATTCAATGCCAATAATTATTATTTCTGTGTGTATCATACTATTATATAACATTAAAATATAATTACAGAAACCCAATGACAACGACACGTTGCGAAGTAAAATCACAAACAAAATCTGTCGTCATTTACGATATTATTTTTAAATATTTGAATAAATTTACATTAAATTTTAAACGAAAAAGTAGAACAAAATGACAGCGATAACCGATCAGGAATTCGAAGAGCTCCTGTTAGAGGCCTGGGACCGGTGCACTGATGATCAAAGTTTGCGCACGGCGCCCGTATACGGTCGGCTTCGAAAATGGTTGGCGAAACTGTCATCGAAGTGCCGGCGTGGGGACTCTGACCGATGCCAGTTGCAATACGTGCTGTGCGCTCTGAGGGCAAACGATTACGCGTGTTTGGACAAACTGCTGGACGAAGACATCGACGAGCCGGCATACTCGACGGCCGCCGCTACGGGATGCGAGGTTGCAGTGGCGAAGAAGGAAGAGCAGAGCGTTGAGGCCAAGGGAGGAACAGACGCGAGGCTGACGGCCGCTCTGGCCACGGTCGACGATAGAATCAGTCTGCAGCAGTTCTTGCGTGAGGTAGCGGCCCATACGTGCGACGGTGGTACTCTACTGGCACGCATCAGTACGGACGTGCTGTCCGATTTCCGATCGTTCGTCGACAACGTGTTCAGCAACCGGGTGACGCAGATCGGCATGGTGTTAGCTCGTGAGCAGATGTCTATACGTGACCGGTACACGGACCTGGAAAGTCGGACGATGAACCGAGCCCAATTGGCGCTGATACGCGTCAAAGAGTCGATGCCTACGTTTGACTGGAACCGGTACGCAACCGAAACGGGCTACTTGAAGGGCTTGGTGGTCTCCCGGTGCGTGCAGGATACGAATTCGGATGACGCGGACAGCGACGATCTCAGAGGCAAGGGGTTGCTGTATCAACTCAACTGGCTCCGGTCCGAGATCGACCGGGCCGACTGCGATAACCACGGGCTGCAAGAGCAGCATTCGTCACTCATAAATGAGTTGGCCACTATCAACAAGAAAATATCCGATGTGCAGTGCAAGGCGGCCAACGACATGGCCATCCTGACGGAGGAGCTGAATCGGCTGCGTACCAAATCGGCTGACCAGATCTGCACCATCGACAAGCTCATGGAGACCATACAGATAACGATGGAGAACTCTAAGACCGACTCGACGACGAACAAGATCACGTGCAGTCTCGATCGTTAGACTCTCCGGAAGATTCATTGTTACGACGACAGTTAGGTAGGTATTTATTCATATTTCAATAGACCACTTAATAATATTTCTCAACATTATCTCTGAACCGATTTCGATATTTGAATAGTACAATTTACTAAAAGTATCAACATAATTTCGATCAAACACTATTCCTGATTTAAGTTTATAACATTTAATTTTGACTTTCGGAGACTTATCGTGTGTCACTAACGGCACTTAACGAATATTGCAAATGTCCGTAAAAGTCAACAACAACTGAGTCAATCATGAAGTTTTCCAGAATAAAATCGAGAAATAATATTAATTAATTGGTTGAAATATGAAAAAATAACTGTTGTAACGAGATGAAACTCTAAAATCGATATATTTCAAAATTTTTCGAATTTATAAATCTGCAAATTAACATAACAAACAAAATTATTATAATTTATGCACGTGTCATGGCGTAGTTAAATTTATATAAAAAAAATGTCCGAAATTTATAATTTTTAAAAAAAATTTGTTACAATAGAGTGCCGTAGTTAGGAATTTGCTTTCAGTGAGGTTGGTTATACTTATTTAAAATAAATCTATGACTGAATTGTGTGCCAAACATAAGGGTAATGTTGGCGGACAACCGAATTGCGTGTCACAGCGTTTTAGGGGCGTCTCCAGACCTTGACTTTGGGGGGGGGGAAGGAAAAATAATTAAATTAATATACATGATTGATAAGAAAAAAAGACGGACATACTTCGCACAGTGCGTAGATCACTGTAATAGATAAGGAATAGTTAGGAAGGTAGGATATTGAGGGAAATTTAATGTAAATCTGTATACCTAAGCAAGTTTAAGCATTGTCAATAAAAAACGATTCTGGGGGAGCTAATAGTATTGCTCAGGGTTGTCTTTGAGTCAATTCCATAAGGGGGGGGGGGGCGTCGAACAGTTTTTACTCTTGAATATTTCCGTTTTGGTCAACAAAAATTTAAAACTGATGTCATTTCAATTTATATTTGCTTAAAAGACTACAAATACAATAAATTAGTATAATTTAAAAGTTAAAATTATTTTTTCTACATTTAATGAATAATAATTAAAATAATGATAATTTGAATAACAAAAATAATTATAATAATTAATAAAAGTTAAATGACCAAGTCCAAAATACTTTTATTTCAAGTAGCGATTAGCAAGTGGTTTGATTAACAATATTTTCTATATTAATGTTTTCATTTCCATAAATATTAAAAAATGTTAAGTCAGTTAGTTTCTGCTCAAACTATTTTTTTTACCACAAAATACAACTTTTAATTAACCTTATGTTAAATTTTCAAGAATTTCTGTTTAATTTAACAATTTTATCCACAGAGCACTTACCGAATAAAAATTACGTACAAAACTTGCAAAATTAAAATGTCTATAAATTGCTCAAAAATGTTTCTAAATTTCAAGTTTCTATGAATATTTTTAACTGAATTACAACAAAAAACAAAATTGAAAATAATAAAAACATTATTTTCGTAAATTTTCCCGTTTTTCTTATGTTTTATCCTAGGTTTTCCCGATAATATGAAAACTGTTTGGAGAATCAAAAAAATGACCTTCCTTAAGTACCATTTAGTTAATATGACATTTTTTTCTTTCAAAATAGGTGTTTCACTTACATATTGAAGCAAAACTTTTGGCAGACATTTTTGAACATTTAAAAATTAAATTAAAAAAAAAAACATCATTGCAAATCCAATAGTTACATTTTTTCGTTACACTCAAAATCTAAAATTTAAATTAAATTAATCATTTCCAATTTTGATTGTTAAAATATATTATTTTATTATATTTTTCGTATTAATTTTCCCTACTTAGTTTTTCATAATTCTATCTTACCCTTGTGAGAATATTTATTGAAATTTATAAATGAGAAGTGTTTCATTTTTGTTTCAATCAAAGTATTTCCAAGATCCGGAACCATCTTTATGGTATTTGAAACCCGTTTCATTTGTACTTATTTCTACTTAAGAGTTACAGATATTTTGTATATCAAAAAAGAAAATCTGATCGTTTATGCAGTGTTTGGGCAGACGATTGGTTTTTGCTGACCAGTTGAATAAAGCTACTAAATTTTATACACATAATATAGGTTTTCCGAGTTTACTCCGACCTATGAGACTAAATTAGTGAATAGCAATAAGATATAATTATATTTTAAAAAGTATACTGAATACAGATCAACGATATCAGTTTGCAATCTATATAATATTTATAATTTTTGACAATCAGCTAATAGTAAGACATCCTGACATCCAAATCAATATCATATAAAGCAAATGAACGTAATGTACATTAAAAAAAAAATATACAATATAATATATTACATAACTAATAGCTATAAATTTCATTTTAATAAAGGACTGATATTTACTGAGGAATTACATAATCCCATTGAAAACTAATACAAATAGATTTATTTATAAATATCTTTAAAATAATTTCGTCATTATTCTATTGGGTAGTTTTTTTTTTTCAAATGTTCATGTATAATGCATACATTATAAAGTATTTATATAATAAATGCTTAGTGTAAAAATTTATGTACAATTGTGTAAAGTTTAAGATTGTAGATCGCAAATAAAAGTTGAAAATAAAAAATTGTAGTCTTGCGTTTTTGCTTCATTAACCTAGATACCTACTTAGTTATTGCAACAAACGTAATTATGCGTTCATGCAAACTGTTAACAATTATATTATTTCACCGTAAAAAATTATAGACATTTAAAACAATTATACAATATACGTCATAATAATAATATAATGATTTGGATTAGTAATTTGGATCTTTTTTGCTGGCCGTCGCCGGGAGCCCGGAACGACGTCCTGTAAATTACTAATGATACTACTAGTGATTATGACGGCGCCCACCATAACTAGATACAGCGTAGAGCGCCGTGTAGCGGCACCCGTCATTTAGCATGCACCGTATTTTCTACTGCAGTGAGCAATCTATAGTATTTATAATCAATGTCGTTATCTATTTCAAACGAATAACAATGTTACTGTCCTTCATGTGTAAAGTTTGTTAATTATAAATTAAGAATTCCACCCGACAAGATATGAAGTTCGTCGTTGCATTAAGTATATGCACGTTAAGGCCATTAATACGGGTGTGGTAAACCGACAACGTTGATACGATGCATGGGAAAACGTGTCCGGGTACGAACGACGTACCATCAGTAGACAGCGGCGGCAGCGTCCACCACCACCACCTAGGCCCCGATCGAGGCGACAACCATATTATATAAAGAGACCGGAATCATCACCAAAGGAGAACTTGAACTTAGTCGGGAGTCGAGACAGCTACACCAGCACCAACGCACGAGAATGAGGAGCACCGTCACCTCAACACTAACCCGTCCAGTCATTTCTTTAATGTATTTATACCTGATAATTACAACTAAGTCTTGACCCGGGGTTTTTAACTTAAAGATACAACTTTTCAACCGTGTATTGTTTTAATTCTAATAAAAAAACCATTTGTGTAGACATAACACGCGTGTACATCTTCCCATCAAAAGGCTGTGTCCGAATGGCCCGTAATAAGGCATAATGTTCATGCCAAATTCAAATCGACCAATGATTCTATTGACTACACTTATTTTTCTCTTCTCCGTGCTAAATATAAATATTGTTCATAAAGACGTTATAGATTATATAAAATACAGTATTGAAACAAAATATGAGGATAACAAATGATAACGAAACAACATTACAACTACCATATAGCGGCTAATTTTGTATGCTAACTTGTATCGTTCTACCAGCATAGAAAAAAATACAAATATTTATCATTATTTACTTACAGCTCAAAAATGACGATTTTGTGTTATGTCGTTGTAGCAAACAATCGATATGTATCAAAAACTAAAAATATTCTAGTCAAGGAACTAAAAAAGTTTTGAAACTATGTGCGCGAAATGCGCTCTTCAAATAGTGTTCCCAAAGTCGTCGCCTTGAATGGTAAAGAAAGTATTAGCGAAGTAGCGAACAAGGAAAGATTCATTTTTCTTGCGTCGCATTTCGGATTGGTTTAATCTTCCAATATTCTTAACTTCTATTCTCATTACCTAAAGATCCATTTATGAATTTATGAATTACCTAAAAACTATTACTTTAGCCCTCATGATATTTTTTAAAACTAGCATATCTACGTGGTATAAAATCAACTATGTGGCACTACCTAACTCCTGTGGTCATCAACCTGTGATGTTATTACATCAAATTAACAATAGAAAATCAACACATAACTTGTATATCACCCCTCACAAAAATCGTTAATGTAAAATTTCTAATAGACACAGGAAGGTGGGAGTAAAATAAATATATTATAGTTAATATATTACGAGCTTGATTACTAATAAATGCGAACGACATAAAACATCTCAGGGGAATTAATTATGAAATAATTCAAACGAACGGGAAAACACACATACCTATAACGATAATGAAGAAACAATAGTAATAAAATTCCAAATAATCAATTCACAATGTTCAATTCTGCATTACGAAAATATTACGACGATTTAAAAAAAAATAAAATAAAACTATTATAAACAACATTAACTATAACTATTAAAATAGCGAAGAAAAAAATAAGTTAATAAATCACGTAGGGATGACCGAGGTTAACAAAACAGATAATAGTAGTACGTGCCAGGAAATTAATATAGCCAAACACACCACGCATGAATTAATAAAATGTTTAGCACATAGTCAGGAAAATTTAATAAAACACATCGGGTGCTTTCAAAATAAACTAAGAAGCAATCGAGAGACCGAAATCTTAAATAAAATTACAGATGCAGTTAAGGCCAGGGCCTAAAATTAGTTTATTTTGTTATTGCATACCTAATTCCACACACAAAAATATTTTAAAACAATGAACATAGACATAAAAATGCATAATTGTTTTTGATATTTAATTATAATTAGTTATAATAAATACAATCTAAAACAATCTTCGATAAAAGTCCTTGATATATGACTAAACATTTTAAACTAAAACTAAATAGCTTGGGTAAATATACTTATTATATTATTAAATAATAACAAATCCCTACTTTATTGGGAACAACATTTAACACAATATTATATTTAAAACAATTATATAAATTTAGTTAAAAACAAACTTTGGTACTATTATTCTCAGCAAAAGAATTTTTCGAGGCTTCAGCTTCAGAGAAAACCCCTTGAAACCATTCCTGCTTAACAGCGTACGGCTGTATCTTAGCATGGCTATTTTTTTCTTTAAGCAAATATAAAGCTGTTGAATGAGGGTTAAATTTAGATAGACAAGACAAAAAAGACGAATGTCGTTATCGACACTGTCCAGACGGTGTAGTCGATATTATCTCTGGTGTTATGGATTTTAAATAAATATATGATAATTAGTAATTTTCATTAATTTCAATATTGGATATTAATCAAATATAAATTTATAAAAGCCTAAAATAAGTACTGCATACTTTTATTAAATTTGGTACTGCACATAATTTTAGGCCCCAGTATAGCCGATGATGATAGGTGATGAAAAATTTATTGCAGAGCCAGCGCACATAGATAGCGTATACGCGTGCAACAACAAATGTTTAGACATGCATCACATAATCTCAAATTGTCAATACCGCGTTCCGAAACAATAATTTTGATACCTATTGCTGACGTGAATAACAAGAACATTTTGATAATAAAAGAAAAGCAAATAAGTCATAATAGCAGGTTAAGTTTATTATGGCCAGAGTCTGATGAGGTGTTAGAAGTGTTATACAAAGAGAATGTAACAGTGCAACGGGGTAGGCGACGCTCTACTATTCATAAAAACAACAAAAATAATTATTTCAAAAATCCTAGTTGGGTAAAAAAAAAAGACTGATAAGACGGATGATTGAAGAATGTAGAAGGTAATTAGATGAAGATAAATGGATATTGTAATATGGATAACATGAAGGTAACTTGTTAACATAAAACATACAATGACTCGGAGAATAATTTATATATGTATTTTGCACCTAGTTAAAAAACTAATAATATAGTGTACAAAGAAGTATTTTAGATCTGTATTAAATGTACCAAATAGTATTATATAAGGTTAGGTTATAAAGAAATTGAACAAAGCCAGTGAATCAATTCAAAGGCGTCCATTATAAACGGGACGGGACATTGTCACCATACTATTGAGGTTTTGTCATGTAAACGGTTACCCTTTTAATATTAATTTCTACCTTTATACCTGATATATAGTAATGCAGTTGTAGTATTTAAATGATCATTTGTTCGCACGTGGATTTTGATTGAACATATATGTAATTTAAGTTGTTTTAATTATTATTTCATAATATAAAATATTAAACTTATTAAAAATTAATTAAAAAATAAAATCAGTTTGTATTGTGGAAGCACTTAGACTGCTGTCTGCTAAATAAGGTCCTGCAAAGTAAATTTTTGGTTCATCCAATAAATGTTAATTGTAAAAATCTTAAAAATGTTGATTATTTTTTGAAAATTTAAGAAAATATACAAACACAATAATTCATAATTTATAAATACAAATTTACAAATGACAAATTTCGAAAATAGCAGTCTGGTTAAAACGCAGGAGTGATATAAAATAATTTGTATTGATTATTTCATTAGTCTATCTCTTTTTGTTTTCAATGCATCATGTGCAGTTTTAATTCAATCGACACATAACTGTTCACGTTGAACAAAATAAAAAAATAAACATCTTTGTAAAACCAATACGTTCTTTGCCTCAGGATCTAAAACACTGAATCCCCTCCCCTCCGGTTTTAGAAACCTCTATAAAAACTTAACCTTTAGTAATGACTAAATATTAGTTTTCACAAATGCATCCAAAACTGAGGACGATGTTGCATTTGTGTTAGTTATCAATGGCACAGTAAACAAGTGTAGATCACCAACCCTAAATAGTATCTTTACTTCAGAAGCCTTAGCGATCAGAAAAGCAATCCAATTAGTTAATGAAATACCAAATTACTTTTTCAACATATTAATTGATTCTCTGAATATTTTATCAAGCATTCAAAACCAAAAGAAAATCAACGAAGTATCCAACGATATTACCAATCTTCTCAAGACTAGCAGTAAACATATCGAACTAACATGGATCCCAGCTATGTCGGAATAAAGGGAAACAAAAGAGCAGACACATCAGCGAAACAAGCTATGAGTGACTAATCCATCGAAATTATTAAACTATTCTCTAAAAATGACCTCCAAAGAGACATCAAAACTACCATAACCAAATTATGACGTATAGGGCAAAAACACCTGCTTTGAGGTAGACTCAAGTGAGTGGTTTGACTTGACTGAGACCCCGAAAGGAAGATAAAAGTTAGTTTACATTTTAATAGGAGAAGGTCTACGTTAGTGAACGCGAATATAATGTAGGGATGTTAAAGGAATCATAGGTGCTTTGAATATCGATAAAAGTAGCAATTAAAAAACTATGATTGTTAAAAGCATTATAAATAGATCCTACCGAACTAGACAAGCACTCTAGGGCCTATTCGAATATATATTCTAAATTCTTTTTTACTAGTGTATTTGAATATATTCTCTTAATACAAAATAAAATAATACTTTACAAGGTTGATACATTTTATTTTTATATTTATAATAAATATAGGGCAAACAACTAGAACATTTTTAAAATACCTAATTTTACAGACTTTTAGTAGTCAGTTGAACTACCTGTTTAAAATTAGTTAGGTACTAGGTTAAGTAAATTAACTATTTATTGCGTTAGCTGGTTTACAAAAATGCCAAAACAAATTAAGTTCTTTTTCATTTGAATTTGGCAGCAGCCCTATCTATGTAATAATTGTTATGTCCAAAAAAATGCAGCTAAACAACAATCTGGAGTGTCTTAAAAGTCTACTTTAAAATTCCGTTTAAAAAAAATAGGAAAAACAGATATTTTCATTTGGCCATTTAAGCCAAATATTTTAAATACTAAGAAGACAAAACTCAAAATCTTCAAAATCTACAAAATGTTATTGATCAAAAATACTATGCTGTATTCTATAAAAATGGGAAGAACTGATGACTAAAATTTCAATTATTATATGAAAACTAGCTAAAAAAATAAAAAATTGACTTACTTTTTCAGGAACTAATCCAAAACGTAACAAAAATAGTTTCTTTGCATTTTTTAATTAAATCCATATTTCTCTTAGAATACTTAGTTTGTAAAAATTTAAAACAATGAAATCGGTAACGCCACGGTGTGTCCCCATAATTTTATTTCAGGTTTTTTCCAATTATTTTGAAAACCACATAGAAACTTAAAAAACTACCTCCTCAATGCACCAACTAGATCCAAAATTCAATAAAGAAGTTATCTCATTATTTATTGATTTGAGCAAGTTTTCTAATCAAAAAGTTGTCAGACAGAAAAAAAACGGACATCATAATAAAACTAATTGATCTCTTGCTTCACTCCGAATCTAAAAGTTAGGTGCCAAATTATCAGAAAATATTTTCAGAATATATTACAAAATTTGATTAGGTATTTACAAAATTATATTTCGTTATAGATATGTTTATATATGTATAGACAACATTGACGTTCATTATAATACAACTGTGAGTCTAAGGCCACATACAAAAATATAATTTTGTCGTTATACTTCTTCAGCACCTTCTCCTTCACCGTCGACAGAGTCCATGCCCACCTCTTCGTAATCTTTCTCCAGGGCCGCCAAGTCCTCGCGAGCCTCAGAGAATTCTCCTTCCTCCATGCCCTCTCCTACGTACCAGTGGACAAACGCCCGTTTCGCATACATTAGATCAAACTTGTGGTCGAGTCGTGCCCAGGCCTCAGCTATAGCCGTTGTGTTGGACAGCATGCACACCGCCCGCTGGACTTTAGCCAAGTCGCCGCCCGGTACCACGGTGGGTGGCTGATAGTTGATGCCGACCTTAAAACCGGTTGGACACCAGTCAACGAATACGATCGTTCGCTTAGTCTTTATTGTAGCTATAGCCGAGTTTACGTCTTTCGGGACCACATCACCACGATAGAGCATACAGCATGCCATGTACTTGCCGTGCCGTGGGTCACACTTCACCATCTGATTGGCTGGTTCAAAACACGAGTTTGTGATTTCGGCTACGGATAGTTGCTCGTGGTAAGCTTTTTCCGCGGATATGACAGGCGCATACGTAGCCAGTGGGAAGTGTATTCGCGGGTACGGCACCAAATTAGTTTGGAATTCGGTCAGATCCACGTTCAGGGCCCCGTCGAATCGCAATGATGCCGTGATGGACGACACAATCTGCCCGATCAGCCGGTTCAGGTTGGTGTATGTAGGCCGCTCAATGTCTAGGTTCCGACGACATATATCGTAAATAGCCTCGTTATCTACCATAAAAGCGCAATCTGAGTGTTCCAGAGTTGTGTGCGTACACAAAACGGCATTGTACGGTTCTACAACCGCCGTTGACACCTATGAAAACAACAGTACAAATAGAACAATCCGTTTAGATAAAATATTTAAATCATAATATTTAATCTATCATCCTTTTATTTTTCGGTTAAATTGCAGTAACAATTTGAGTAATTAATACATTTTTTTTAAATGCTGTACTTCAAATTCCGAATAATCTGTAATTTATTCTAACAAAACTTAGGCAACATACAGACAAAGTAATCTAAGACACATTTATTACCTATTATAATTATATGTATTAAGTTTTTTTATCTGAAAACCATTTTTTTTTTTTTTTTATTTTTAAATATGTTTTTGGTGACGAGAATAACAATTATGACAATATATTATAATCAAAATTTCAATTATTATAGTCTAGTTTATTTTTTAAAAAGGTATGAGAAAAAAAACCCGTCCTGTCTTAAAACCATTTCATTAGTTTAGTTCGATCTTTGATAACCTGGACCATGCAAAGCTCTATTGCTTACAGATATAAATAACATAACTGTATCTATCCTACCTTCCCAATTTCCCATCTACATCAGTGGCATGCACATCCGTCCCCAGTATTAGCTTTTTTTTTTTAATTCGTATTGAAGCAAAATATTACAATGGTGGTGGCATAGCCTGGAGTTCTCAAAAGAGAGGGTCAAAAAATATTATATATATCAAAAATACACGTTTATTTCCTTTATTACATTTTAAAATATATTATACTTACTTAGTCAATAAAATATATAAATAAACCACATACACTATAGTAATATGACCTACACATGATATATGATTATAACAGAAATATAAAAATACTACTGTCAATGGAGCTCCCCTCCATTGACCCCCCCCCCAGTCATGAGCTCCGTTGCCCCAGAATTCCCATGGAATTGAGGCATTATAATAATTTATAATTTATAACTAATAATTTCAGTTTGGTCGGGTTAACAATTAGAATACTCACTTGAGGTGCGGGGTAAATAGCAAACTCAAGCTTGCTTTTCTTTCCATAATCGGAGCTCAGGCGTTCCATGAGTAGCGAAGAAAAACCAGCGCCGGTACCTCCACCAAATGAGTGAAATATCAAAAATCCTTGTAATCCGGTGCACTGGTCGGCGAGCTTTCTAATCCTGTCCAGCACCAGGTCGACAATTTCCTTGCCTACGGTATAATGGCCACGTGCGTAATTATTAGCCGCATCTTCTTTGCCTGAGATCAACTGTTCAGGGTGGAAGAGTTGTCGGTACGTACCGGACCGTACTTCGTCTGGAAAAAAAATGAGATGCAAGTATTATAGAGTTAGTGTGATATATGTGTGTAAGTAAAGTTTTTGATTAGAGCAATAATATTTCTGGTAGAAAATTTGTTTTTAGATACACACAAAACAAACTAATGCGTGTTACTAGTACGCGCAGATGAAGTGAAACTTTTTTCAGAGTCTTTTAACCGATAGAATATTAGATTTGTTTTGGAATAAAATTTAAAAATACCACTGCAAGATACTCTACTCAGGGTAATTAACTTGTTAAATGAAAAACAAGCGCATTGTTCGCATTAAAATTAAATACTGATTGATTTTTCTTCGTAAAAAAACAAATATTTTGTAATATTTTAAATTGAAATTAAATAATAATTTTGGTTGATTTAGTTTGTCATTAAAATAAAAATGTTTGAATACATAAATAAATACATTTGTAATTTATTTATTCATAGGAAGCGTGATTATTTTTTTACTTTTTGGGATGTGAGAAACTGAGAATCAAAAAAGTTTAGGAACCACTGATATACGGAACCTAGCAATCTAGTTTATTAACTATTACATCAATCTTAGTAGCTAAGTTTTGTGATAGCCGACCGTGATGCGCTATACATTATATTTTCATACACTCCGTAAAAAAGTTTCACTTCAAAAATATTTGATACTACTGTGAATATGTCTCTGTTATAGGCAAAAATTTGGAAATGTAGGAAATTAAAACATGAAAAAACATGAAATTGTTTTATTTATACCTTTATACAATGGTAAATTATTTCCAACAAAATACGAATCTGTGCAAAGTTTGGTTACAGATTATGTTTTAAAATTATAATGTAAAATGTAATGTTTTACGACTTTCGACAAAATTTACAGTACGATTATCAAACTAAGCTTATTTAAACTTTATACTAAATTTGCAGTATTTATGTTCAGCCACACAATTTATCCACATAAAACCAAATAAAAACTAAAATAAAACTAGAAAATCTTAAAAACCTATAAATAATTTAATAATCGAAATAATTTATTAGAAAGTTGAAATGAATCATTATTATTAGGTCTATATGATTATTGTCAACTGAATTATAAAAAAAAAAAAAAACGAAACATTTGAACTTAAAAAACCAAATAAAAAATGATGAAACTTTTATTTCCGCAAATTTGTCATTTTTCTATTTTTTTATTACGATTTCCCGAGTATAATGAAAACTATTATGAACATAGCCACGCTAATTCACACACTAAATCCAAAATACTACAACAAACTTTTTAACGTTTTTTAACTGGAGCATACCTTATTCTATACTAATAATTTTTAACATAAAGACAAATTTCACACATATCATAGTAAAGCTAATACATTCTTTGCTGCTCGTTGGTAGGCCTATTGTAGGTGGGTAACTGAGAAGGTATAGGATATAAGTACGTTGTAATTTAGCTTATAATTGGATATTATATATATATAAATTTATTTAAATGTGTATTGAACGATACAACGATTCTGAGTGTATTAGTTTTAGTCGTGTATTTTTTTTATTCGCAGCCAAGGTAATCCAAACAAAATTGATTTGTTTTTAATTTTTAAAAATTGTTGAAAATCGAAACATTTTAGGGTGAAAATGTTTAGGTATCAATTAAAAAAATTGGAACATTTTTTCGGGAGTATTTTTTTGATATAATATGAAAAAGACGGACATAATTTGCAGATGGGCACAGCTACTGTATTTGTTTTTTCTTTGTTTAGTTAAAGAGAAAAAAAAATTTCAAACAATTTTTTCGAAGCAGGAGTTCGAACTCACGTACTCTAGAATGAATATAGGTATCTATAACCATTTAGCTACAACAAACATGCTTTAAATATGGCAATATTTAGTTATAAAAACCATTAAAACTAACTCAATTTGGAGAGCAGTTAGCTGTGGAACTTTGTCAAACAGAAATAGAAATTTTAAAAATAAGCAGAAAAACAAAGGAATCGTTAGAAAAACAAATGCTAGAGGAATTTGAAAAAAGAAAAAAAGATCACCAACTGCAACAATGCCATCAACATAAATACGTTTGGATAGGCATCAACACAGAATTCAATTTGAAAACATTCAACGCGTATGTAAATTACCAAAATGTAAATTTCAATCATTCGCTAAATGCACTAAACGTGATGATTTTTTATGTTGTAATACACAAATAAATTACTTCGATTTATTTCATTATAACTAATTGAATTTTTAATATTTTTTATTATTTTCAGAAAATATTTTTAAAATTTAATTTGTGTTTAAATAATAATCATATATTCATAATTTTATTCTACAACTGTTTTTTTTTATTAATAAATATTATATAAATTGTAAAAATACAAGCTTTTTTACATAAAATATCAATAGTGCATGAAAGTGCATACATGCATTTTTTAAAATTGAGTCAAATTGAGTACTTAGATTTCATAATTATATTTTTTTAACAAATGTAATGGATTTTATAGATTTGAATCTATTAACAATTTTTTTTTATTTTTTAATAAAAAATCATACAGTGAAGGGTTAACATAACATATAATATCTGCATAATATCAGAATTTCATAGAATATATAATTTCGAAAATTAGTTAGTCCGCTCAATTCTAACTTCATCATCGTTAATAAATCGGTATTATACATATGTTAAAAAAAAAATTTTAAAATTAGATTTGTTCCACATAATTTTTTAGTCAACGATTTTCGTCAAAGATTAATATTAAAATTCCTTTATGAAAAAAAAACATTATATTAAATTCAAATTTTATTTTTTTGACCACAAAGTAAGACTTTTAATGAACATCCTGTTAAATTTTCAAGCATTATAGTTAAGTCTAACAATTTTACTACAGAGTACCCACCGAATAAAAATTACGTACAAAACTCACAAAATTAAATTGTCTATACATAGCTTAAATTTAGTTCAAATGTTTTGAAAATGTTACCACGTCTAGAAAAGGCAAATAAAAGTTTTCTATCTTAAGTTTCGAGTCTCTTCGAATATTTTTGACTGAATCACAACAAATAACAAAATGTATAAAATAATAAAAGCGTTAATTTCGTACATTTCCGGTTTTTCTTATGTTTTATTCTGGTTTTTCCCAGATATTATAAAAACCTTTTGGAAAATCAAAATTACCTCCCAAAATTTACGATCTGGATAACATTCCCTTTCAGAAATGGTGCCACGCGTATATATCTGAGCAAGATACAGTCGAATTTTTGTACACAGGATAAAAAAAAGAATAATCATCTTAGTACAACCAAGTACATTATTCGCTACTCTCAGAATCTAAATTTTGCTCAGATGTTCAAAAATAGCACATTTTTAAAAAGAAAATTTGACTGGGGAAGTTGTTGTTCGATTTTTCCAAAAATGTTCGCAGTAAATGTGAAATACCGTAAAAAAATATGGAAAAAACGGGAAACTATATTTAAGAAATATTATTAAAGAAATTATATGATTATTATTTAATTATTTTACTATGACATATATTATGTTGACAAAGCATTACTATCAATTGCACTTCGCCCAGAATCGTTTTTAGTAATCAATAGTTTATCGTTGCTTACAGAGACAAATTTATTATCCCTTTATATCCCACCTTTCCAACTTCTTACCAACAACAGTGGCTGCACCCGTTTCCATTATACGAGGAAATCTTTTTTTTATGCATAATTTTTTAATAATATATTATTATTCAAAATATACGACAGTTAATGTTTCCGCTGGTCGGATAATCCGAATATTTTAACGTACGGAGAGTGAACATTTTGGAGGAATTTTACTAACCGAAAAAATGGTTGTCCAAGAAAATCTATCAAATATAAATATTACACCCAAATCCCTTGAGTTAAAAAAATTTAACTCACCCACGACGGTTGGTTCCAAGTCAACAAAAACTGCCCTGGGGACGTGCTTGCCGGCACCGGTCTCGCTGAAAAAAGTATTAAAACTGTCGTCTCCGCAGTCGGCCGTTTTGTTAGATGGCATTTGTCCGTCGGGTTGAATACCATGTTCTAGACAATAAAGTTCCCAGCAAGCATTGCCGATCTGGACTCCAGCCTGGCCAATGTGTATGGAGATACATTCACGCTGTGCATAACAAATAATTATAATAAAGGTACCTATAGGTAATCAATAAAAATCGACGAGTGAAAAAATAGTAAAGATAGATTTCTAGAAAATAATTAATTAAAAAATATCTAAAAAATTATATTTATTTCGTAAAAGAACTTATGATAGGCGTGGGTACTCACCATGATTGTAGTAACGTTTGAAAATTAAATTAATCGCAAATGAAAACTGTGTAAAGTTAATACGAATAGGAAGGTACATAAATTATAGTACACAAATTGTCAAAAATGATTTTGATGGAAACAAATTTGGTAAGTAAGTCGAAACACAAATGAGATTAAATATGTGTGGTCGACAGGGAAACGCTACTACGTGGAACTTATTGAAAAGGCGGATAGAAAAAAACAGCTGATAGTTGTAGAGCCAATGTATTATTATATTATTTATTTACGCATCATATTAATTATATCATTAATGTCTGTCATGATGAATATCATATAATATGGGATCACGTAATACAAATTTTAAGATCTTTTGTCGGAGTATCAAAACCAGATTACCCGAAAACCATATTTATACGGAAATTAGATAAAAATAAAAATAAATGTATTTTTTACAAATTGGAACAATATTCTACTACAATAATTTAAACATATTTTATTATATTTGATTTATTTTGTAAATAATTTTTAACATATTGGTTTGAAATTATTTTACACCTAATTATAGATATGTATTCTAATACATATGTAGTAATTAACATAGGTACCTATTGATATTATTCAAATACTTCCATTATTTTGAGCGAGATCATTTAATATTGTTTTCTTTTCTCCTGATCTAGTACCTAAGTTACAGGTAACTTCTTACAAGACAATCATTAATGATAAGTACTAAGTACCTATAATGGATATAAAGTATAATAGAACGTGTTACTGGGGTAAAAATATCCTCAATAATCTCATATTCTCATAACAATTATACAAAAGTCAAGGGTTCAACCTTAATGTCAGATCTATTTTTTTTATCAGTTTCTTGTGGTATTTACCACTAAATTATAAGAGCTACAACCTAAGTTTACCTGTGATTTAGCCCCTCCCATTAAAGCTGCGTTTTTCACAAAACTATAAATAAAAAAACCTTACCAAGGGTAACTGATAACAAAAAAAAACGTCAGTTAAACTTATATGATCAGATGTTTAGTTATATAATACAGTACTATTTAAAAGAATTGTATTAAACTGTATTAAGAGAACAATAGAATAAATATAAAAATGTTCTTTGGTTACTCCGTGTTTTCCGGGTTAAGTATTACTTTTAATCAATTGTACTATTCTATACAAAAAATCAACTTTAATAACAGCCAAACCGTTTGCTCGCTTCTCGCTTTTTGGCATAACAGCTAGCGCTTAAAAAGACAAAATTGGTATAAAAATCAACTAAAACCAGTTTAAAGTTTAGACTGTTAGTAGGGTATGTAATAAATTAATTACATATTATCTATTTTACAATAAATATTTATATATTTTGTAAAGAGTACACTAAATGGTGTTAGAGGCCTTGCCAATAATCAAGATGTATTTATATATTATATTATTATTGTTGTGATGTTCTGTGATAATGATAATACCTACGCGACATTAACCTACCTACTCCCACAGATCGGTATACCAATAGATAGACATTTCATGTATATTAAAACATGGTACTGTATATAGTGTGTTCAGCGCTCCTCATGTATTGTGTAACAACTACACAACTGATATCGGAAAAATCGGTTTTATTATCGACAGTATCGATTGTACTATCAATAGTTAGTATCGATTATATTATGCATTCAAATATTTTTGTTTTTTTTTATTCAATTATATTATGATTGCTAATTGAAAAGTTGAGTAGATATTTAAACAAACAAAATATACAGGTAGGTATAATAAATATATTTAAACAAAACAAATAATGTATTTATTAATAATAAATAATTTCTAATACAAGTAGTATTGTTTAATAAAAATATTAAAAACACAATATTATATACATACAAAATTAAATAACATGTATTTTATATACTTTACTGCCGTACATATACAAATACAAATCAATATTTTGGTATTGTTTCACATTTTTTTGGGAATGTTAGAAATTGTTTTGCTGCGTCTATTTTAATACAGTCTTTTTCATTTGTATTAACTGTTCCTAAATCACATAGAATTTTATTAATTTCAGTACACCAATTCAATACAGCTAATTAAATTATATAATTTAAAAATATAGAATAAGTGTTAAACAATACTTTTAACACAGAATAAAAACACACGCTATTGTTTGACAAATGAGATAGAGAATTTCAAATTTTTGGAAAATGATAGATGTTAATTTTTCTTTTAAATCGGAATAATGACAAATTGAAGGAAGTTTGCAACAAACTTCATTCATTATGTTCTGAACTGATGAATAAAATTCAATATTAGGATCACACAGCTCACACCCTTTGAATAATATAACATTTAATTCTTTTGCAATAAAACCGGCAATGTAATATTAGATTTGATTTCTTAAGTTTTCAATGTCACCATTATTAATTAACCTCTCTCTTAATTAACCATTAGCCACCCTTCGTTCTTAATATAAATTACTAGGATTATTAATACATTCATCAACAAACAAATGTTTGTAAGAAAGCCTTCATCAAAATTTTCTTCGTTGTTTCCAGGTAAGTTAGTTGATATAGTTATTGATTATAAGAGTGTTGTATGCTGATGAAAATGCTGTAGTTGATGGACTGATGTTATGATGTCCTAAACTTCAAATAGAATCAAACAAATTTTCTAAACTATTTTGGTTGAAGGTATTTAACAATAAGCTGTTGATTACCCGCTGTTCACCCGAATTATCAAATATTAATATTATTTTATATTTTTATCATACCTAATCTTTCTGGAAATGACTTGAACGGGATAAACGACTGTCACTGTATTATGTACTACCCTAACAACACAAATATACCCGGGACTACTACGGGATGGTTCTGTCAAAAACCTTGAAGTGTCCCGAGTTGTCAGAATAGTAATAATTCGAATTTAAGACTATAGGAATATTATTTTTTCTGTGGAACATAGTTAGGACGTGAGTAGAGCACTTATACACGGGATGTGTCTTGTACAATATTGGGATCATCTTATTTAATACCTATTACTTTCCCGGCGTTTGACCTCTTCCATATCAACATTACAGCTTAATGTTTTATAACCGTAATGTTTGTTACACTGTTTTGTCATATCAAATAAGTTGTTATTGATTATTGTCATTTCGACATTACCATTTAGTTACAGTAAGATATATGTTAATTCGTGTATTTAGTACTTTAATTGTACATTTCTAATTTGTCGTATTTTTATTTTGCTCATTCCATTTTCATTTTTGGTGTACATTGTTTTCTTAATTCAGACATTCAGTTAATATTCTTATTATTCAATATTATATCATTCAATATACACAATGGAAGGACAATCACCTGTGGTTCAAATGTATGTACAAATGATATGATAATGGTTTTATTAGAATTTTCTTTCAGAATAGGTATAATTTTCATATTATTAATTGTTCACACTATTCTAAAAATTGTAATTATTTGTGTGTGTGTGTGTGTGTGTGTGAGGGGGGGATTTCAGAGTAAGAAAAAATGAATATGATGTTTCTCCTTGTCACTTGAGAAGATTAATAAATAATGAAATTGCTCTGGTTATAAAAAATTAAACTTCTATCTCATTTATAGGCACACCTAATTTGTAACAAGGAATAAACCCAAATACTTAAACGTTCCTCACATTGTATTGACCAGTAATAATAACTTTACTGAACTTGTTCCACCTATAATAAATAATGAAAATATCAATAACTGTAATGTAGAAATTGATGAATTGAATTATTAAAATAATTACCCAAATGGGCCATAAGAGAAAATATAAATCTGAAATCTTTAAGCAGTTTATTAAAAATAAAAAATAAAATATAGTTGCTTTAAAAAATTCTCTAGATGTACAGACTGTTCTTCAAACACTACACAATTTCAATAGTAAAAACTATGAATTCAGGCACATATCACAACTTAAGCATAAAAAAAAGTCCTAATCAATTTTCTAGGAAATTATTTTGACATCATTACAGTAAATAATATTTTAGAAGTTTCAATTAATATATATGACTTGCCTTTATCTAATCTTCATAAAGTCAATTTTGGCTAATACTAGGTGCTATTAATTAACATAACCTTTTTATTTTAATAGAATTCTACCATGGTAAAAAAAACAAACCTTCCAATACAAATAATTTTCTTTAAGATTTCATAAATGAAGTGCAACATTTAATTGAGAATAAGATTATTTATGAAAATCATTGATGATATTTAATTTCAGACTATTTAAAGCTGATGCACCTGCAAAGTCATATGCTATTAATGTTAAAAACTATAAAGAATATTCAAGCTATACTAAATGTATTATAGAAGGTGAATACATTAAAAATTGAATGTGTTTTCCTGATATAAATGCATATTTCCCTAACAATTACAATAAAATTAATATTATTCAATATGATTGGTGAAAATGGATGAGCCCAAAGAAAATTGGCATGTTTATAAAATTATATCTATTGTTGGTTCAAGAGGTTCATTCATATATAAAAATACTTTTTAATACTAACAAAAAAGTGCATAAATAATATGAAATAAAATATTTAATTATGTTTCATAGATCAATTTCAAAATTGCAAATTGGATATGAAAAGGGCAGAAAAAGAAACTGATTGTGACTAGTAATGTGCGGAGGGGAGGGGAAGTAAGCAACATGCTAGTAAACCACAACAATCTAGTAATGGTGAACCTGAGTCTGGTGAAAATTCAGTATCTAAATTACCATCTCTCTCTTAACATCCAGGTGATTGTGAATTAAAATCAATAGAAATTTACCATTTTCACTAGTTTGTTTTTTAAATTATTCTCAGCTATGAAAATACAATCAAGATTTCAAAAAACATCTCAGAATAGTAAATGTACAAAACCAAAATTCTTTTTCATTGAGCACCGAGATGTGTCACCTGAAATATTTGAAAGTTTGTATAATACTATTTTAGTTTGCTTGTATTATTTATTAAATTTAAATACTATCATAGTTACAGATAATAATTTATTTGACAATTTTACGCAAAATCAAATTGATAATATTTCAAGAAATAGTTTTGATACAATTATAGATGACAAAAATAAAGACAACTTTGTTGGCAGAAATACACTATTTATGGGTATATTTTATTCTATACATAATTTACTTATACTAGTTATATTTATATTTATGTAATTTTATTTTTACAGGATTTTATAGCTTCAATGAAGTATGAAGTAAATATTGGACAAAATATAGTAATTGTTTCTCCTAAAGAATTTGTAATGAAATAATATAAAATAATTTTAATAATATAACAGTTAATAACATTTGACTTGGTAGACTAATAGAGTATTTTTTCTAATAAATCAATTAATATTATACTTTTTAGGTGAAAATGTGGCTCCATTGTTAAATAATATATTCTCATCTTTGGGTAGTTATAATAATTATAATAATAATTTTAAGTATATTTTATTAATTTGTTAATTTAATGCTGAATATTTATTTTAGGTAATAATACATGATTTCAACAGTCTGATGTACCTTTAAATCAGTCATCCAATGTGTGTACTATAAATTAATTAACTTGTGGTGTGTATAAAACAATTATAATATAAATTTATATTATTTACATATTTGTAATTAAATCTGTTTACAGGTCCATTATCCAATCCAGCAGGACAGTTATATTAATTTGAATACATTAGTGAAATAAGATTAAAAATTAACAGTACTCTACAAACACTTATAAGCTTAGTCAAATTGCCTGTCATTTTCAATGTAGAAATGATCAATGCCATATTAATTCTATTGTCTTGGATTGTGAATTTCTTTCAAAAGATTTGACAGCACTACAGAATTTTGAATAAAAACTGAATACAACAATTGAGTTTTATTTGTGACAGTAACATAGATTTTACATATCTTTTTAAATTATATACATATAATTTATTTACAATAATAATGTTACTTTTTTTGAAGTATTATTGTATTTAAATTAATATGAAAATAATTTCTTTTTAGAAAAAAGAATTGTATTTATTAGTGAATAATAATATTAAACAAATTGTTTTCAATATTATGAAATATTTATTAACTACCGAAGTTACATGCTTGAGATATCATTTGCTGGAAAAATATTAAAAAATATCTTTTCATCATTAAGTATTTTTTTAAAAGCTACATAGGTACTTAATCCTTAGTAATTTTTTTTTAAAAATATTTTTAAGTGTTAGTGGTCAAAAGTTATGTGTTTAGGAATCCAAAATTGTTTACATCTGGATTGTTTTTTTTTTTATCTTATAGGTGTTTGTTTTGTTTTAAATGAACAGGCTATGGTTATACAATATTTATCTGGTATAATTTGTATATATTTTTAAATATTTCATCATCTAATTTTAATTATGGATAGTATTCTAACATTAGTTGTTGCTTAATAATTTTTTCAGAAAATATTCAGATTACTTTCAACACAGTTACATACATAGATATGGATTTAGCAATTCAGAGTTGGCTCAGGCATACCTCAGAAAGCCTTAAACAAAATGCCAAATAATTAACTAATCCATATATTTATAATTTTTATATATTTTTTATTATAGGTATAGATTTTGTTTTTTTAAATTGTTTTAAAACAAAATGAAAATATGATAAATAATATTTTTTGTGGAATATTCAATAGTTTCAATTAATAAAGCTCTTTTTTTTTTTATTAACTGATTTATTTTATTTTATTGAAAACCTAAAAACTATTCTGTTATAAAATACATTAAGTGAACTATATTTTTAATTAGAGATATTCAATTTTAATTATAATGTATGCTATTCTGTGATTTTAATGGGAATACTAGGGACTCACTCAGGTTATTAACAAGATATATATAGGAACCATCCACGTTACTAACTGGATATTTATATTATATGAATAGGATTCTATAGGAATCAATATTCTTAATTCTGTGTGGGACATCCTGAGGATTTTTATTAGTGGACATGAGAATTGAGGATGTCCTATGGATATGCTGGGAAATCCTGGAATATATAGAGGATGGTTCTACTAAAATCCTAGGATACATACAGGATAATTGTAGAAATCCCATTTATAGCCCATATATATCCTTGTTCTGTTAGGGTGTGCAGTCTGATATCCAACAGTTTTCAGTATTATGAAGAGCATTAAAATGAGTAGGATGAGTAGATACCTAGGTTTATGAATTCAGCATAATAATTTTACTATTGTTGCAGATTAATAATACATAATTGAAATAATAAGCAAGTATGTACACGTTTGTTTCAGCTAATACCTATATAGACTTTTAGTATGATTATTATTGTTATTGTGTAATATATTTCTATAAATACCTATAGATAAAGTATATAGGTTCGTATTATTATATTTAGTTGTTTTATTCCAATTTTTATTAAAAACTAGATAATCATATAGAAATTATTGTATGATAACGAATGAAAGAACAAAAAAAAGGAGGTTTAAAACCAAAATTGAAATTGTGTTTGATTTTGTTATTTTTGATTTGCCAATTATAGACTAGTATAAATTAAAGTGAGTATCTAATAGTGATAATGTTATTTGTGATAAATCAAAAGAATATTTTAATAGTCTAAAGTTTACTACTACAAAAGACAACTGTTCATTGTTTTAATTCTGCATTAATTTTTCAAAAAATAATAATTTATAAACTATTACATTTTCAATTATACTAATAATTTTCCAATTTTAATTTCCTTACAAAGTGTTTATGTTATTTTTTACATTTTCCTGAGAATGATGAATATAATATACTAACTGAACCAATGAATATATGTGATGAGTTTAAAAGGGATTTAGTTATGTGGTCAACACAATTCAATATACCTCATAATTTTTTGCATGGATTATTGATAATTTTAAAAAAAGTTCCAATTCTAACAACACTTCCTTAAGAATCTTATACTGTATTAAAAACAAGAAAAACCTAATGAGGCAAATAATGCTTTAACATCAGTTAGTCCTGATTTATAATATTGTTATGGTTTTTGTTTGTTCATTCAAGATCATTTTAAATATAATTCAACTAATAATATTGATGTGATAAAATAGTGATTGAAATTGATGAATTGCCAATCTTTAAAATCAGTTTTAGTCAGCTATGGCCAATTTTAGTTTACATATGCCCATTTAAAATATCTGTCTTTTCAATTGGGATTTATTGGGGTCATGAGAAGCCTACTGATTCTAATTTATATTTAGATGAATTTGTTATGTTAGCAAAAGAATTATTGAAAAATGGTATTTATATAATTAGAGTAATCTTAAAAGTAATTATAGATGTGTTTTTTAAAATTCATTTGCTAAAAAATGTATGCTAAAAGTTGAAGGGCATAATGGTTATGACTTTTGTACATGATGTTCAGAAGAAGGGGAATATTTTAAATCGATTATGTTTCCCATATTCAACAAGAAATGAAATTAAGAAAAAATATGAAGAACATCATTTAAGATCTACAATATCTCTACTATCAGATTTATCCAGTGTAAATATTGTTAACATATTTGCGTTAGATTACATGCATCTCATTAGCTTTGGTTAGGGATGGAAGTTAGTTACTTTCCTCAACTAAAGTCACTTTGTAAGTATTCTCATACAATTTTAAATAAAATAATTATTATATTGATATTTATTACGAGATCTTGTATAAAGATAATCCTATAATAGAAATATTAAACATAGCTTATAGGTACTAATATTACAAATGAAATAGTTATAGTTGAAATTTTTTTTCAAACTACCATTTTATGAAAACCCAAAAAGTTCCACTATTTTAAATATTAATATAGTTGACAAATTCTCCACAGAGTTAAGTTGGATTTCTTTAAGAATTTAAAAAGTTATGCTATTGGAGAAAAATAATCAAAAAATAATTTTTCCAATTTCCATTTCTGTTTTCTTTTTTTTTCATTACTTACTATACTTGCACCCATACCTTTATAGTATACTTTCATTGTAAATATTGTAAATATGACCTATAACATTGTAGTACTCAAAAAAGAAAGTACAGTAAAAGCTGTTCCATCACACCGATTACCAAAGAATGGAAAATCATATGATAACATATTTAGATCTAACTAGGCAAATTGAAAAACAAACAAAACCTAATAGATTTGAATGTGGTTTTTACACATGGTTTGAAATTCTTAAAATATATTTAATACAATTTATTATTGTACAAGTATTAATTTATTTATTGATTAAATACAATTTATTATGTTGTTAAAGGTAAGTACAAATAATATTAGATAGGTAAACTTTTTACAAAATGATATCTAAATTGTTATATTTGTATTTATATAACAATTAAATGATTCTTCGGTGCATATTTTATTCACTTAAAGTATTGTATTTCAAATATTAATCTTTTTTTATAAATACATTTATATAGCAGAGAGCATGGATAATATAAAGGACAATTAAAAAAATATATGCAGGTTAGAAAAGATAAATATTGAAGATTTGGACAGTACATCTACAACTAATTTTAGTACACCATTATCCATATCAATTACAAATACTTCAAGAGTCCTAATTACAGGTTATATATTAATATTAAATCAATTTGTTATATTATTATGTCAACATTATTTTACAATAGTTTACTATACAAATTCTTTTATGCTTGACAAAGAAAAAACAATTGTATTTTCTACTCTTAATTCTTGTGCTCCATAATTAATAATATTATTCTATTATATTTTTAAATTATTTAGAAATGAATACATAAAATTATATAATTTTCTTCTTCTGCTCTGTCCTTCTACCAGTGGTGCATGTATGAAACTATATTCATATATAATTTTATAGTTAATTTTGATGATGCTGTTTCAGAAACCATTAGAACTATTAAAACCCATTAATATTGTATTGAATTAAATACTGAAAACAATGAAATTTTTGAAGCCAAAAAAATAAAACAAAAGTATGTAAATTTAAGAATTAATTTTATAATACACCTATTATATTTATGTACATTATATTTCTTTTAATAATGTTTTAATATTGTTTAATAATAATATTATATTTTATCTACATAGTGAAACAGTTATTATCATTTGTTTTATATATGTATATATATATATATACAAATGCAAGCATTTTCAGTTTTTTAGTGTTTTTATATATTGTAAAAAAATAATTAATTAGTTATAGTAGTACTAGCTGCCCGTGCCAAATTTTATATTTTTTTATTAGGTAACCAAGATAAGGTAAACCAAGAAAATAATGAGGTATTTATTGTTGTTTACAGGTATAAAAAATAAGATCAAGTTACAGAAAAATAGGTACATAATATATTTTTGACCCCAAAGTTATTCAACAATTATACAAAATAATAGCACAGCAATAATATAATTGACAAATAGCCCTTATATGGGATAGTAAAAAATAGAATTTTGAATACATTTTAATTCAGATTAGTTTCACATTACTATGAAAATATTCTAACATAAAATTAAATCTTAAATGGCATATTGAATTAATATTATAATGTTCATTGTACATGTAAATACAGTAAAACTCTCTTAAGATGCTCTTTAATGGACTAGCTCTCTAGAGCATCTTATCTTAAGCAACCATTGAAAAATTAAATAATTAAAATATAAAGTTAATTTTTTTTATTATTGAACATAATTTAATGATTAATATATTTATACAATATACATATATATTATTAATATTTTTTCTATTTTATTATATTTAAAAAATTATCGATTTTAGTTTTCTTGAGATTCTGACAATGTGTTTTAACAAGAAATTTTTCTATTTTGTTAACATAACTTAACATTTCTTCAACATTTTCTACAGAAAATAATACTTTTTGAATTTCTGATGGGTATTACTATTTTTATTTTCATACAACTACTAAAAGTTATTGTAATCTACTGAACAAAATAGCATCTTATCCAATTAGATAAAGAAAAACCGAGTGTCTTAACAGGTGATTTTTACATTAGAAATGTAAAGGAAATGTATAGGACATAGCGTCTTATGTGGAAGAGCATCTTAATCGAGTTTTACTGTATTACTATAAGTCTGGTAATAATAATTTGTAATAAAATAGTCTTTGTTATGGCTTATGTGTTCTTATAATATATTACAATTATTTTGATTAGTTTGTGTTTTATTATTAGCTTTTGCAATTTCCATTACCATATTATGAATGAGGCCTGAAACACACTGTAAAAAAAACAAATGTTTCAATGATAGTTGGTCTTACAATAAAATTATTATTAATTTACTATTGTATATTCATTTAACTATATATATATATATATATTAAAATTTGATTTTTAATGATGTCATTTCATAAGAAAATAATGTAATAAAATAAATAACTGGATGCTATTGACATTAAAAAAAAACAATAAAGGATTTCAAATAACATTTTTTTGAAATTACCTCATTTTGCTTTGCTGAAACTTCAAAGAACTCAACTTTCCACAAATTGGCTAAATTTCGGCCTTCTACTTCTGTGACAACACGTTCCATGTACAAATCTTTTTTATTTCCAACCAAAATTATAGGTAACCTATAGTATGTCCATAAACAATTTAGACAATATTAATTAATAAGTAAAGTGGCAAGTTTCTTACTTTATGTTTCCATTCAAATTTAATATTTTATCATAAATAGTTTTTATGACTTCAAAAGATTTTCGAGATGTAATACTGTATACCAAAATATATCCATGAACGTCCATAAAATATAGCATGGGCAATATAGAATATTCGTCTTGTCCAGCTGTATCCAACAAATTTAATTCATATTCTTCGTTATTTATTGTTGTTATTTTCACAAAAGCTACAAAAAAAAAAATAAATATTTATATCAAATAAAGTTCAGATTACAATATCTAGCCACCTTTTGATACTACCTATAACATAAATAAGTTATATACATGACAATTAATTTGGACATTTAGAGTAATAAATTATGAAATATGAATAGATCATATACTTACTGTTTTCAATTGTGGGATTGTATGATTGAATAAAATCTGAATAAACAAACTGGATGCTTAATGACGATTTACCTAGGACAGTAATGTTAATTAAAATAAATTGGGAAAATATTTAATAACTAATTTTCTATTATTCATTGCAATGTAATGCAATTACTTAATTTAGTAAAAATCACTACAACCGAGCATCAGTTAGAACAAGAAAAGCCTGTTTGATCTGTGAACAGATTGTAGCCGAATTTTACTGCAATTAATTTGTTAATTTATTTTTTTGTTTACATACCAACTGACCGATAGCCCAATATGACAATTTTTCTTTGCTTAGGAATCATAGTTCATTACTAGATTAACTATTAAAAAACAAATATTTAATACATACTTATTTGATAAAAAAAAAATATAAATTTTGATTATTTATCTGTTATAAGGCTTATAAGACCAGATTTATATATGGTTAGGTTATGAAGTTTACTGAGTTTATGAAGTCTTATGAGAGTAAAAAATGATAATGATTCGTTTCCGGTTTATAGGTTTTTTTTGCATATATGAAGATATTTTTTTAAAAAAATATTAATTTTTAAAAATACAGTACCAAGAAAAATATAATTTGAACATTTAAAATCTTTTGTTTTAGCATCATTTTGATGAAAAGGAAACACGCATTGTTATAATACCTACCTATCATAGGTTGCCATTAACAAACATGGTGGCTAACCTGCAATGCTGACAGTTTTTTTTTATACTGATAATAATATTATTATCAGTATAAAAATACTGATAATAATATATACACGTATATACACGTATTTGTTTATCATTAATAATTATCAAATATTCACATGTCCAAATATTTAGTTTTGCACTTTTCTTATTATGTATAGTGTGATTTTAGTTCTTAAAATTAATAAAATTAAAAAAACCAGTTAATTTTCAAAACCTATTAAAACAATTCGGTTGATAGTGTTGTTTTGTCAACAATATATGCCATATTTTGGTAAAATAATTCTATATGCATTGTATATTTTCTTTAATAATATTTTAATTTAGGTATATTAAATACTTATTGTCACTGGCCAGTATAACCTATTTTCATTCATTATGGTCCTTTTGATAAACTATAGATTTATTAAAATAAATAACATCATAATTAATAAATATATTTATTAAGTACAAATATGGATTATTTGACGAATTTAATCACTTAAATACAATTATTTTTATTTTAATATTAAACTCCAATAGCTTATCCATATATTTAATATTATCTAAGTGCTACAAATTAAAACATGTAATATATATATATATATATCTTAATTTGTGGTGCATACTATTTAAAATAGATCGATAGGCTATTGAAGCTTATCATTGAAAATAGTTGTATTTTAAGTGATCAAATCAGAGTTAGATTTGATCCCATACCTGTACTACATATTAATTATTTTAATCGGTATAAGTGAAAAGCATAAATATGTTTATCTAATGTAAATTATGGGATGGGGCACGGTGATCCATCTATCATAACTATAGCCTCAAAACGAGCCAGTATCATCTCTGATAAGGATTTTAGTTGATAAGCTTTTCGTTTATTGAGAAGTTCGAACCAAGGTGAATAAATAATGTGTAAATACTTTCAATATTTTCAATATGTTTATCTAATGTAAATTATGGGATGGGGCACGGTGATCCATCTATCATGACTATCTATAGACTCGAAACGAGCCAGTTTCACCTCTGATAAGGATTTTAGTTGATAAGCTTTTCGTTTATTGAGAAATTTGAACCAAGGTGAATTAATAATGTGTAAATACTTTCACCCACCTACCTAAAATAAATTGATCGCTGCTTACCGGAGAAGAATTGCAAACACAGTTTCTCAAGTAGATCACAATGCTATTTAAAGAATAAAAAAGGTATCCTATGATTTCAAAAACGGATGCAGCCACTGTTATAAATAATTTAATAAATACATCTAATCAACGATGAACCATTGCTTACGAAAAAACAATTCTGAGCGGTGTTTAGTTAATATGTTGCTTTGTAAACAATATATGTAATTTTATAGTAAAATAATTAAATAACCTTTATATATTTTCTTTAATAATATATCTTTAATGTTGTACCGAATTTCCCAGTTTTTCTAAGTTTTTTCGGTTTTTCCTCCGTTTTTATTTTCTCGGTTTTTCAAATTTGATGAAAAAATTCCTGAGAAAATCGAAAAACGACCTCTCTAAAGTACCTCCCTAGTGAAATTTCCTTTTAGAAACATTTAAAGTTTGAGCAAAATTTCTGGTAGAAAAATCGTGCCCAGGATAAAAGAAGGCCGTAATATATTTTAACTAATACCTACATTTCTTACATTTTCCCGTTTTTCCTCATTTTTTTTTCGGTTTTACAAATTTGATAATAAAACTCCTGATGAAATCGAAAAATGGCCTCCTTAAGGTACCGATTTTCTTTCAGAATAAGGACAACATTTAAAAATCTTAGCAAATCTTCTGATAGAAAAGTGCGCAAAGATAAAATAAAAAATAAAAATGTTTGTAAAACAATAACCTTCTTCGCTCCATTTAGAATCTAAAATCAAAAATATTAATATTTGTATGTATTTTAATGGTAATATGACTATAATTTTGGAAGTTTTCAATTTTTTCGTTGTTGTAAAAGTGCATTTAAAATGAAAATAAATTATGATATATTTATTAATACATAAATGTTTACATGATTTTAAAACATATAGATTGTTACTTATAGTAAAAATTTCTATTGTGGACATGTAATAATTAGTTTCTTGTCAATGTACATTCTCTTAAGTCCACGTCTACAAATTGGTAGTTTAGTTGTTGTACTGAACTTATTAGAATTTGTAGTAGTGGAAGTTACATATGGTGTAGCTGTAGTTTCTATATTTTTAAACGTATCTGTAGCTGAACTTATTCCTCCATTTTCGATAATTTTAAGCGGTTTCGATCTGTCAGCTCTGTAAATAATTATAAAATACTATTAGATATTATAAATCATAGACATTCCTCAACGAAGGAAAAATTGTGAAATAAGAAAGGAATATATGAAAAATGTTTTGTATTAGTGAAGTATTATATCATCTGAATGGAAAACCTAACATTCTAATATAAAATGTATAGTGTAAACATCTAGAATAGTTTGGACACGTGTGGACAACAAACTGAGATATATTTATTAAAGATATTATAAGAAAACATGATAACTGTAGATGATCAAGGATTTTTAAAGAATGGTTTTTCTTACTGACAAAATATAATATTCTTCAACATAATACTTAATAAATACATGTATAGGTATGTAGTTATTATGTATATTTAATTTTTTTATTATTAAACAGTATTTTTTTAAAAATGTTTATTAATGTAATTGCTTAATTTTTATATTATGCCATTTGATTTTAAAGAATTTATATTTTTATATTCAAAAATATGTACATAATATGCGTCTACAAAGATAACGCATTAATGTAACATGATGTACATTAAACTTGATTATATTTATATATAAATATTACACAGTATTAGTTTTAAATATAAAAAAATATATTCCGATTGTAAATGAAAAACAAATGGACATACTTCGTATAATGGGTGGGCCTCTGTTGAATGTAGAAATTTAATCTATACCAGTACGCAACGATTTACCATTACTAACGAAAAATGATTTTTAGTGGAGTTCGGTTGATAATGTGGCTTTATCAACAATATATATATATCATATTATGGGAAAATAATTAACATGTGTATTGTATATCTTTTTTAATATTATTTGTTTAAAATTGTATTTATTTTCTTGTTTTTTACCGGTTTTCCCATTTATTATAAAAACCCTTGAGAAATTAAAAAAATTACCATCTTAAAGTAACATTCCAGTCAAATCTTCTTTTAAAAAAAGTGCTACACTTAAAATCAAAGCCAAATTTCTGGTAAAAAAGTTGTTTACAGATAAAAAAAAATAATAATAAAATTAAAATTGTAAAACCAAACAATTTAATAGTATTAAACACCATTTTAAAGCCAATATATTCCCCACTTCGCTCAGAATTTAAAAAAAAAACAATTTTTAAATAATTATACTTTTCAATAGTTATAATACATCATAAAATATATTTTTTACTATAAGATTTTCGTCGAAATTTTCATTAAAAAATTCTACATTATACTCTTTTTTTTTTTTTACCACAAAGTATGACTATATTAAGTAATGAAGTAGAAAGTAAGTAAGTAAGAAGTAATGAACCTCCTCTTAAATTTTCAAGCATTTTTATTTAGTCTAATAATAATAATTTTTTACACAGAGTATTTTACCACGACTATAAAAGGCAAATATAAATTTTCTTTATAAACTTCAAGTTTCTACAAATAAAACAAAAACTAAATTAAATATATAACATTTCGAAATTTTCCCGTTTTTTCTAAAGTTTTATTCAGTTTACTCCTTTTCTTATAAAAACCCCTGTGAAAATCAATAAATGACTTCCTTAAAGTACCATCCCAGTCAGATTTTTTTCAGAAAATGTGCTGCAGTTGAAAACGGGAGCAACATTTCTAGTGGAAAAGTTGAATACAAAAAAAAAAAAAATTAAAAAAGTGATCATCATTGTAAAACAATGTAGTAAATGGACGGACATACTTCGCACCCATAAATGAGTGGATCGCTGTTATGGATAAGAAGTGGAGTAGGTAAAATGTAGAAGGGAATTTAATTTATATCTGTACGCAAAGATTTCATTGAAAAAAATCATTGCTAACGAAAAATGATTCTTAGCGGAGCTCGGTCAATATTATTGTTTCTTCAACAATATACATTTTCACGATAACAATGATTGTTTAAAAAACAATCAATGTTTAAAGTAATTGAAACTTAATAATAGCAATAAATAAATAAATTAAAACGTTATTTTTAATCTTTTAATCGTTTAAAAAAAAAGAACCAGATTTTCCTTATTAAATCAAGTACTAATGTGAATTTCGAAAAATGACCTTTTTAAAGTACGAACTAGAGCCAAAATTCGACAAATAAGGTCTTTTTTAATGTTTTGATTGGAACAAGATTTCTAGGAGAAATTTTGTACACAGTATTAAATACAAATAAATTAAGATAATCATCATTGTAAAACCAATACACTCCTCATTAAAATCAAAATCTAAATAATCTATAATTTAATAAATAAATTTAATTTGTTATTCAATATAATATACATATTACTAATTACTATTATATAAAAATGTATGTTCATACTGCATACTAATTACTATAAAATACGTATAATTTTTAATTAACTTCTTCTTCCTAAATGAAGGCTAGGTCTAACCTTGTGTTTAAAATAAACCATTAAAAAAACTATGTTATTATTTTATGCCTTTTGGATTTTTTTGATGAGATGCCGATAAAATAGAAAATTTAAAATAATACAAATTAATTTTAAAAGTATATTGCCTTCATAAATATAAAAAATTGGAGAAAATTAGATTTCAAAAAATCTAAAAGCTCTTAAAGAGATTATAATATTATATATTTCAATACATTTCGATAAACTATCATCATTTATAAAATAATAAAATACCTTTCTGGATGATCGCAATAGTCGTTTAACATGTCATTAATTGAGCAGCCATTAATTTCCGGATCGATTCTTTCTTCTGAGACTCTGCAACAGCGGGTGGCTATGCCTATTGATCTTTTTTTCCTCATTTGTGGTACTTTATAAATTGAAACATAAAATATTAACATTAAAGCAATTTTTTATTGTATAATAATGTACCTATATTAATGTGAGAAATTACGTCAGGAAGAGTTTCAGTTTATTTTATAGTAAAAAATATGTATACAATTTATAATAAGCAAAAGTTGTTTCAGAATTGTATTTTATTACAGTGATTTATTGTGTCATTTAGGAGTTTAACCAAATTATTATCCTATCCATCCTACCTTTTCAAATCTCCCTTATAAAAATAGATTATCTATGAAAAGTCCGCATCTTTTTTTTTTTATACATATAACTACCCAAAATATGGTTTAATTTTATTATGTATATTATAGGTAATTAAATATATTTAAATTTAAAATTGTTTACATTCAAAATGAAATCTACATTTTCTATAAATATTTAAAAAAAATAAGTAATTTGACTTAAATTTTATATTTTATATTAATATAATAATCATAATAAGAAATTATTAACATACATACTAATTAACAAGTTTATTATAGCAATTTTTTTAAATTTAATTTATTAGATGATTCGCCTAATTATACTCATACTATGTAATAATATAGAAACCCACAGTTTATTTAGTTGTACGATACCTACTGTGCAAAACAATAAATCATACATTTTTAAGTAAAATTTTAAATTATAATTTATTTCATTATTTCAGAATTAATAATACGGTATAGTTATAATAGTATTCTTGTCAGAATACTGTTTGTTTTCTTTTAACCCATAAACTCATATATTTATTGTTTTTGGAAAAAAGTAGCAATGCGTTTAGATTTTGGGTCACTCAAAGAAAAAATACCTGAACAAAATTTAGATCAGTTTCCCCTTTCTTGAAGTTCTAAGAGTGTCAAATATGGCATAACCTCTACAAAAACTTTAAACGTATCGTTCCTTTTAATACACATCATTATAGTAGATACCTATCTTCTTATACATAGCTAAAATTAAAACAATCATGCATTTTTTGAGGAATAATTACAGTCATGAAAGTAATATCCTTAATATGTGAATAATATATTATTAAACTAGAGGTGCATATAATTAATATAATATTATGTACTATTACAATATAATGCAATACATCTGCAAAATGTTTTTTTTTTTTTGTAATAAATTTAATAAATTAAAAAAAAATATATTTTACAGATGCATTGCAAAAACAATATTTAGAAGACTTACTACTTCTATCAAAAAATACAATTTCAAAGCAATTTTCGAGGTTAATTTCTAAGTTTAAAACGTGGAATTACAACACGCCATTAAAAATATCAGTTTTTGTCCATTATAAACAAAATTTAATTTAAGAATAGCCATTAAGTATAAAATAGAATAAACTTTAAACTTAAAACCAGGTAAAGTAATCTGAATAGCAAATTATTTTCATAGAATTCTTTTATTAGTTAATTAATAATAATATACAAACTGGCGTCATCTGGTCTGCGGACGCACGCCTGCTCCATAATGTCTCTGAGAATATGGCCGCAATAGTACCACTTTTTATCCCATTCATAAGTCAGAACTCTACAACTACTTTCTATAGCCAGGGATACTAGAAATAAAACTAGTAGTAAAACTTTCATAGCTCCTGAAACATACAATAATAATATTACTTGTAAATATTATTGATCACAAGGACGAATAAAAAACCCTAAAAAATGGTTGAAAAAAAATTCAGGAGTAAGTCATTACTTTAAGTTCAGATGAAAATTTAGAAAGAAAGAATATAATTAAATTATTATAATTTATATATATATATATATATATATATATATTATTAAATATAATTTGATTATTGTAAAAAATGTATTTACTGTATAGAAATTACGATATATACTCAACTTTTTTTATTGGTCATTTGTCAATTTTAGATTCTGAGTTGAGCGAAGAAACTTATAGTTTTACAATGATGTTTGTTATTTTTTCTGTGGACTTTTCTATCAGAGATTCTGCTCTTATTTTAAAGTATAGCACCTTTTCTGAAAAAAATTCGTGTGGGGAGGTATTTTGGGTTATTTTTTGATCATCTCGGAAGTTTTCTCAGCAAATGTGAAAAACCAAGAAAAAACATAGGAAAACCGAGAAAAGTGTAAGAAAAACCTGAAAATCGGTACTTTAAACAAATATTATTAAAGAAAATATATAATGCTTATTTTATTATTTTACCATAATATGACATATATATTGTTGATAGACCACCACTATCAACTGAACTCCGTTTAGAATCGTTTTTTCGTTAACAATGCTTTATCGTTGTTCATAGGTATACACTAAATTATTAAAAAAGATTAGAAAAACCGAAAACAAACTTATAAGAAAAATGAACAAATATTTACTGCACACCGAGGCGTTACCACTTTCATTATCTTAAATTTATACGGTTTATGGTTTCAACCTAAAATCTCGGTTCAGTAAAAACCATAAGATATCTTTTTTCTTAATTTTCAATCAAGTTAGTGACTAAAACAGTTTTTTTTTTATTTTTGTATAGCATTTTCAATAATTCATTAAACCAAGAAAAGACGTAAAATAAAAACTGAGAAATTTACAGCATTACGATTTCATTATTTTTACGCTTTAAAATTTCTACCAAAAATATTGCTCCAATTAAAAAACTACAAGGGACCTTTTTAATGGACTGACTAGATTAAAAATCCAACGAAAGGTTACTTGTCAGTTTTATTAGATCGATTTTTTTTGTTCAAAAAGTTGTTCACAGAAAATACATACAATCATAAATAGATTCTCCTTCGTTCCCTCAGAATCTAAAATAATAACTAAACACATATAATTTTATTTATTTTTAGATTTAATAATAAAAGAATCTATGCATGTAAAATAATGTATACATTTTAAAACTAAAAAAATAAATTTTAATATTTTAAAATAATTAAAATAATTTTGTGTATAATGACTCACAGTACCTATACCATGTATAATAAATAGGGCCATAAGCGTGAGAACAGGATGTGCCTTTGGGTTGAAAACAAAATTCACTCATTTTGGATTTTATTTAATTAAATGCTAATCAATTTGGTATGCAAAATTGTCATAGTATAACCAATAAATCAAATTAACTGGCAACCACTCACTCTGATATTACTTATCACTGCCTTGAGTTCAGGGCCTATTGTAATTGTGATGATATATTTTTTTTTTAATTTTGACAAATTTTATAATTTATAATTAAAAATATGTTGAGATATATAATAATATAATACTAGTATACTATGTAGGTGAACAATATGATTTTTAATCAATTAATATTTTGTATTCACTATATTGTTTGTTTAGTGGGTAGGATTCATGGCCAAGGAATAAAGGTCTGTTTTTTTTATGGTATGCCTTATGAAAAAATCCTGCGCACGCCAATAAATAGGGCTCGGATTTAAATGTACTAAAAATCATCAAAAAGTACTCTGGAAAAAAATCTTTAATAAGAACATACACTTTTTGATTTCTTGTTTTATTGGGTAATTTATAATATTTGTATATTAATTAGAAAAAAAAAAAAAACAGAGAATTGGAAAATTCGACTTGTGACGAGACGATAGTATTGATTTGGGGGCTGTATTTGACTGATTTACTGAACCATGAAAAACATGGGTAATAATTTTGTTAGCTAAATTTAAACTATTCAATCGTATCATAGATTAAATATATGAAAGGATATTTAATCAATCTTCGTATTATGTACAAACAATATATTATACATTAAACAAATATGCAATAAAACGAAAAAATTACAGAAATGACTAAATAATGCTCTAAAAATGAAAAAAACGTGGAAAAATACAAAAAAAAATGCAAAATAAAAGTTTCATCTTTAAAATCTCTGTTATATGAATTAAATTATGCACTTGGAAAGTCTATATAACTCAATAAAAGATACATTTTACATTGAAATCCTCTCCTAATAATAACTTAATAAAATAGACAAAAATCAATCAAATTCTAATTATTACATTATCACACTTTGAAATGCGTTAAATTATTTTTTATTAAATTTACTTCAGGTATAAACTTGCTCAAAAAAAAAAAATATTTATGAATATGAAATTAAATTTTCATATATAATGACGGACATGTTTCATTATTATCATATCGATTACTACCATTATTGCAACAATCTATGTAGAATTTCGACCAAAAAATGAACATGTCAGATTGTCTCAAATGGTCTTGTGTTAAATTATATTATTACCTCTTAATCACTAAAAAAAAAAAACTATTGTTGTTCCCTTTTCGAAATTCTAATTAAATAATCGATTTGTAATAAATATTATTCTAAAAAATTAAATCTTACATACCTACATATATACAGTGTTTCTTAAAGACAACTAAAATTGTATCTAGATACAGATAAATAGTAAAACAACTATTTATCTGGGTAAAAAAAAAAAAAAGATAATATTGTTTTAATTTTATTAATTAATCTATAATTTTTTGTCAATTAATACTAGATTCTGCAATTTGATAATTTCTATTAGAATTTAGAAATTACACAAATAACCTGGAATATTTTAAAGTATTCCAAAACTGGTCCTTTAGTCTTAAGATTCTGTTCTTGGTTAAACATTAAAACAACTATTACTTAGAAACTATTCGAATATGAACATATAAACTACACACTAATATTTTTTGAATAATATATTTTACAAAATGGCTCATTTAAAAATGTATGTAAAAATAAAATTTTTTTATTCAATATGATTACAAGGTGAAAAAAGTTGTTTTACTGTTTCCTCTTGGTAAAAAATTTTATTGGAAAAATAAATAAAAATAATATTTTCCACGTGGGTGAGCCATTATTTTAGGTGTGAATTTGGGAATGTAGAAAGGAAATTTAATATATATATGAACGCACCTATTAACTATTGTTAAAGAAAATAAATTTTGAGCGGAATTCGATTAATAATGTTGCATTGTCAACAATATATATGTCATATTATGGTCAAATGATAACATGTGCATTGTATATTTTTTTTAATAATATTTGTTTAACATTGTACCTTTTTATTTTCCCGTTTTTTCCCTGGTTTTAACATACTTTTCCAATTAATTCGGTAAAATTCTGGGAAAATCAATAAATGACCTCCTTAATGTACTATTCCATGAAAATTTATTTTCAGAAAAGGTGCTATACTCATACCGTAAAATTTGTGTACACAATATAAAAAAATAAACATCTTTGTAAAATGAATACATTTTTCGATTCTTTACTTAGAATCTAAAAAAAGGAATTGTACAGACATGGAAATTTGTAGATTACAATGGAAAACTGTAGATCATAGAAAAATCAAAATTAAAATGTACAATGGAAATCCATCAAATAATTATTATGTAGATTGTTGTAAAACTGTCCAAAATACGCTCTTATTCTAGCAAAAATAAACAAAAAATAATAAATATTGTAAATTGTGATGTTTATTTTGTAAATATGTTAGAAATTATTGATTAGTGATTGCCATTAATAAAATTCCGTAAATAATGTATTTTTTTTAAATTTTGCTAAATTTTATATTCATATTAATCTTAAACAATTACTTTGTCTAAAAAAAAATATTAAATAACATACCGATAATACTACAACAAAAAAAAAATATTAAAAACATACCTTAAAATATATGAAATAAAAACATTTGTTTACCTTTCATTTTGAATTATGGTGATCACTGTACTAAAGCAGGCAAAAAATGTACTAGGTATGTAATTTGTTTATGAGATGATTCACAATAAATTAAAAATTATTTTTATTAAACATACAGTATAGAGTTTATCAGCGTAAAACGTGAAGAACACGTTATTTTGGACAGAAAAAAGATTCACAATGGTTAATCGAATTAAACTGGATATTTCATCCGTTATAACATAATTCGGAATTCGGAATTTGAAGAGTAGATAAGGGATACCGTAAGGCAATGCTTCCTAACCTATGACTTGCGACCCTAGTATTTTGTCCCTCACACCTCTGTGTCAAAAAAAAAAATGTTTATTAAATTAAATGGCATTCTTAATGTAACGACTTTTATTATTAATATTATTACTTATTATGTATTAGCCATTAGGCATACTTGATTTTATTTTTTTTTTTTTTTTTAATGAGGGATACACAACTAAAAAATAGTCAATGTGTGGGTCACCATAACATAAAGGTTAGGAACCACTACCTGCTCCCAAAATCATATCGTCCATCACCAACTGTCTAATTGTTCATTTTCAAACACGGGAATCGTGAGAGATAGAATAAAAAAGAAAATATAATGATGGACATACTTCGCACAATAGGTGGGTCACTGTTGTAGGTAAGAAGTTGGGAATGTAAGAGGCATGTATATATGTAAGCAACGATGTACCGTTGCTAACGAAAAAACGTTTCTGAACGGAGTTTGGTTATTAATGTTGCTTTGTAAACAATATGCATAAAATATAAAATATAATGGTAAAAGAATTATATATGCATTTTATATTTTCTTTAACAGTATTTTTTAATATTATACCTATTTTACATCAATATAACAGTATAACATGCTATAAATAATTTATGAAGTTTTGAGTTACCTGTGATCATGTATTAAAAATATTATATTGGAAAAAAAACGTTACATTGAAAAAAATCAAATATTTTACTTTTCAATAATCATGCATCACAAAACACTTGCATAATTTTTTACTCGAACGATTTTCGTTGAACTTTGATATTTAAAAAAAAATGTTACATTCTACTCAATTGTTTTTGATCACAAAATATAACTAATAATAAACCTTTTGTTTAATTTTCTATCATTTCAGTTTGGTCTAAAAATTTTGTCCACAGAGTATATATAACAAACAAAAATTACGTAAAATTTAAATATTTATAAATAGCTCAAAAATGTTATTTAAATTTGACCACGCTTAGAAAAGCTAAATATAAAGTTTTCTGCCCAAACTTCAAGTATCTACAAATATTTAAAATTGAATCAAAACAAAACAAAACAAAAAACAAAAAATAGAAAAAGTAATACACTTCTTAAATTTTTCCATTTTCCTACGTTTGTTCCCAGTGTTTCTCATTTTCTATGAAAACCCCCGGGAAAGTCAAAAAATTCTCCCCCTTGCCCAAAGGAATCACTAGAAATCATCAGAATTTCTTTCAGGAAAAGTTCTATACTTAAAAATTGGAGCCATAATTGCTAGTAGAAAAGTTGTCCACAAAAAAAAAAAAAATAATAATAAACAAAAAAAAAAAAACAATATTAAACACTATTAGGTACTTAATTATTGTGTCTATAAAAATGAATATTCACGAATCAATTTCAGAAAACTAGATGTGCGCAAGATCGTCTGACTAAATATAACTACATTAAACATTGAACAACGCCGTGAATTATATTTTGTATACCAATAACAAGTAAGTACGATAAACTAATATTTTATTCATCATCGTTATTTAAATTTCTTTATAATTTTGAATAAAGTAAACTTTTATTTTTACATAATTAAATATTTTCTTATAACCATATTTCAACAAACACTATGCCTGTAATTTATTTATTATCTCAGCCTCACCAGGTTCAAAAAATTAGAATTGGTACTCTAAATATCAAGAGCACCAACACCTCTTATATTCCCTGAAAAAAAATTAGTTTGCATCACATGTAAATATTTATAGCCAATCTTTATAAAGATACATATATGCAAGACATAATTATCATCTGTAATAAATACCTATCTGTAGCAACAAAATAGACTACAACCTCAGTGCTTACAAGTGATCTACGTATATTTTATAAACATTGCAAGTTTCAGTTAAATCTAATTTTTTTAAAATCTTAAAAATTATATTATAATCATAGTTAATTTATATAACCATACAGTAATTCATCCAGTATAATATCTAATCGGTGCTTTCCCCCCTAAAAATAACCCGTATACATGATATTACATAATAGAAAAAAACAACAGACTGGTTTTATTTTAATAACCACACTTATGGCCCCATACATTGGCCGTGTCCGGGAAACAGATAGACGTTTATTGATTTTCTTTGTAGTTTTTTTAATAATTGAACAAAACCAAAAAATACCTAATACTTACAGGAAAATTTACGAAAATAATTAATTATATAATAATATTATAATAATAAGTGATATTATTTTAAACTTTGTTTTTTAAATATAATTCAGTTAAAAATATTGGTATTGTCTTAACATTTTAAAAAGTAAACTTATATTTGGTTATTCTAGACAAGGCAAAATTTTAAAATATTAGAGTTATTTTTGAGTTCTTTATAGAAATTACAATTTTGGTAGTTTTTATGTAATTTTTATTTGGTAGGTATTTTGTGAATAAAATTATTAGTCTAAATAGAAATGTTTGCAAATTTGACACGATATTCATTACAAGTAGTACTATGTGGTAAAAAAATTAATTGAGTGCAATGAAGTATTTTTTTTTTCTGCGAGAGTTGAAATCAAATTTTCGCATTGTAAATTTACGGCCCTTCAAAACATGTACAATCGACCTTCACTCCGAATCGTTTTTCGTTAGCAATAATTTTTTCCGACTTTTTACAATGGTTATGAAAATCTCTCGTATGATCAAAAAATGACTTCTTTTTTATATCAGCTTAATGAAAAATACACAAAAAATGTTTGTCCTTGTTAATTTTTAATTGAGAAGGCTGTTGAAAGCGATTATACATATACCTAGTCTTATTTTAGTTAACGTCTATGTATTCAATAGTAATCTATTTTATTTATTCATATAATAAATCATTAACTCTTATTTAAAACTAATCCATGTTCAAGTTTCTCTTACTTCAAACAAATCTTTCCCTTGTGATACAACCGTATACCTTACGAGAAGCGAGCATTTACATCAAGAATACCCAGATAGTAGCCAGAATAAAAATACGGTATTGAAGGGTGAAAACGAGGTTACAAATCCCGAAAGTTGAGTTAAAAGCATAAAAAATCATGAATTGACATCTTATATAGGTTTGAAATTTCCTATTACATTTTTGATTTATTGCTGAGGAAAGCTTACCCCCGCACACATAAATAATAATATGATTTTAAGGAGTTAAAATAGGGAATTACAAATTTCAAATAACAAATTATAACAAATTATTCATTTATGATATAATTTTCAAGTAAGAATTTCAAAGTCAAGCATCAGGGTAACTGAGCTGGTGGATTCGATATTAAAATGACGAAATTGATAAAACTTCGAATCGTATAATAAAAAGTTAAAATTTTTTGTTTTTCATTTCACGACTACCAGCATGCCAATAATAATATATATATATAATATACGTATATTTTAAGAATACATATCCATTTCGATTTCTACACAAACTGTTTAAAAGTCAGTGATTCAGTGATTCGAGTGTTCGCCTTGACGAAAACTGATATTTAAAATTTAAACCGACTTGTAAAGGTTTCAATCGATTATAATTTCAATGCATATAATGTTTTAGCGGATACTACGTGTGTGCACTCTGGAATGTCGTCCTAAAACAAGATAATGGTTTTGTTATAATACAGAAAACACAGTGATTTGTATCATTATACAGACGCCAGTGATTTTGACGGCGTATCGTAAGGTAATAAATTCGTAGGTAAAGTCGTACCGATGGACAGAGCGTGTGTTTACAAAAGAAAAATAAAGAATATACTGTGGCGGTGAGTGTGGTGTTTGGCGTCGTCTCCTTCGATAAGAGCCAATCCCCGGATTTTTTATAACCCGTCTTGCAGGTAGGTACAATAAAATCAGTTCTCTTTGTAATGTCATCCCTTATATATAATAGTTATAAAATAAAAACGGTTTTGTAGGTATGTTTTCAATACAGAGTCGGCATTCCATGCATTGGCGATTATAACAATAATGCCTAACCTATCAGTGGTTCCCATCATTCGAAGTATATCCGTGTCTTTTTTTTTATTTAATAAGTAATAAAATCATAAACGAAATTATGTAAAATACCTGTAATAATTATATATGTACCTAAATAATGTGTACAATAATATGAATAACGAAATTGTAAATTTTTAAAATTCCTGTAATTATTTTTAATAATTTCAATTATTAGAAGTAACAAAATATCCTATGGTAAGTAGGAACCTACTCTATAATTAATTGTTTATTATAATTTAGTGTTTAATTGGAACTGGTTAAAATAATTGTTGTAAGAACATTAAGTTAATGAAAAAATTAAAAACAAAATAATACTATTTTTCTTGTCGGGCGTCATTAGCCTTCAGCTATTATGGTCACTTATTTTTTTCTTCCAATAGATGACCGAACCAGATGGGAGGGGACGCGTCAGCATTATTTCTTCCATCCCGTTATTGTCACCAGACCACCCACCATGTATATATTATATCTGTATTTACAAATATATAACGATATAATCTGTAACGTACGATTCAGTCTTTCTTCAAGTCTCCGCTTTAACGTTTCGACTTGCTATTATACGGACAACGAGGTAATATAATACGATAATATTTTTATGTCCCCTTATATTTTGTGTTTGTATTACAATATTCTTATGTGAATAAATTATAAGGTTCTGTGCAATAACCAGCCCCGATTTTTACGAAATGTATGTTTTCATATTTTTCTAATAGAAAATATAACTCTCGTAATGTTTGTTTAAAAACGAGTCAAATTCAATTATCCGTACATTAGTTAAAACATGTGTGGAATTGACGAAGTTTTTATTTTCTGAACAAAATCTAAAAAATACTCCGATGTTTTTGTGTTTTTGCTGCGAAATGTTGCCAATATTTTTAACAAAAAACAAGAAAAACACCTAACATTTTACTTTGTTTTCGATAAAATCTCTAATAAATATAATTTATTGAACTTCAATATTATAACAATCAACTACATATTATATCATGTATATAAATATATATTCAATTGTTGTACTATACTTAACTAAAAACTAGAAGTGTCTGGTTATTACTCAAAGTCATTTAATTATAGAACAACATACCTATATTATAAGAATATAAGTAGAGCGTGGATTTGTATGTTTTTAATTTTTTTGTTAATAATCATTACGAATCATATTAATTAAGAGGGATTTACGATCATTTATTTTACATAGTTTTCTATATTTGACTGTAATTGCATATTTTTTCATATTCGAATATGTATTGTACATTTGTTCATAACTTAAATATTTATTATATATTTCAATGGAAATATTATGTTTCATAATGAAAAAGTATGTTATAATTTTTTTAAATTTACCTCGTTTAAAAAGATCAGTTTGGCGAGAATTAATGTATCTTACCAATCATCAGGTATATTAAGGTTCTATACTAATAAGGTCCTGTTAATAACGTTATCAATCTGAGATACATGATAAGGTGTGATTTTAGTCACAGAGGTAACCCTCTATAACAGAAAACGGGTATATAGAATATTATCCAATGTTTAATTATAATATGATGTTACCCCTTCTCCTTTTTTCTATGTTTTAATTATAAAACAAATATATTCATGATCTATTTTAATGTTCTTTAATCAAAAATTTAGGCGGTATTATTTTCGATCGCTTTTTTTAAATTCTAGACTACTGTGCCCGTGACTTATTTTTTACTGCCAACTTTTGATTTTCAAATGTTAACCTACATTAAAAACTCTATACACAAATAGAGTATTAGTTAAAATAAATTTTGATGTTAAAATTTTTGATTTTCGTCAATTAGTTTATGAGATATTCCACTTTTAAATTTGGATAGAGGGAAAGTAGTGGATATAATTTGTATGGCGGCACGGCACGTGGTGTTTGAATAGTGCTCCACTACTCCCCCACTACCTAAATTTAAACATTCTACAATTATTAAAATTATGTAAACTTCTTGTTACCTATATAATTCAGTATAAAAGTGTATAACCCAATAAGCCCAAAACAATATATGTTTTGTGTTCAACTTGAACAATTCTCCAACCTCCCCATCTAAAAAAAATAAATAGTTATACACACTTGCACAGATAAACAATTATTATTCATTACTGTAATTTTGTGTTTCAGACGTTAAAATGAACCAATCGATCGTGTTAATCGTACTGTTTATGACGGTGTGTCTGGCAGATTTAAAACGTTTTCGGTGGGACGATATGCAATTATACTGTGGTAGCATTATTGATGATATTATGCAAACCATTTGCCCCATTCCGTCGTTCGATGCAGGTATCATTACTGTTATTATTTAGTACTTATTTTTTATGGTAATGTTTATTTATTGATAATTAATAATAAATATAAATAAATAATTTATTGATAATAATGATGATGTCTCAAATTACTCCAATGTAATTTTTTATCAAACTTGTATTGACTATACTTTTATTGATCATTTTTATGTTAGTTATGTCAACAAAAATGATATTCGTCCTTATACTTTAAAATGTAGTATAACTAACCATTTTAATACTATTGTTTGTATACATGGTAGTGATAGTTTAAATAATTGGCATTCTATTAATATGAATTATTATTACAATCTGGATTCTGTGCATATAAACTTTAACAAAATAATCCACTCAATCAGTACTATAAACTAGGAGTCTGATTTTCTAATTTTGATCCGAATATTACTTAAGATAAATTACTTAAAATTATAAAAAAAATTATTCATTTAAATTCATTAGTTCACAATAACTTTAAGGGAAGAAGTAAACTTAACATATTTAAACCATGGATCACTAAATGTTTAATAACTTCTATTAGATTTAGGGAAAAAGCTTTTTATAAAAAATATTAAACAATCTTTTAATACTATCTTAAACAATATACAAATATTTTAAGCAGGCAGTCTATTACATCTTCATTATTCAATTTTTTATATTTTTATTATTGTATGGATTTCTATTACCTATACTATAATCATGACTTATCCAGATAAAAATGTCTCAAAAGAAATTTATTCTGTTACTTCAAAAGAAATAAATTATGTATCTAAATTTAAATTTAAAATTAAGTAAGTATGCATTTTTATCTTAAACATCAACATTATTAACAAACATTTTGATGAGTTATTTGCTTATTTAAGCAGCAATAGAGAATCTTTTAATGTAATTATTTTAATGGAAACATGGTACCTAACCAATTTCAACTTAATCTTAAATGGTTTTATTAAAATTAATTCAATTGAAACTTTTTATAAAAATGATGGAATCACAATATTTATTGAAAAATATTTTGAAATCTTTATTTTATACTGTAATTCAATTGAGTTACAATTAGAAATTAATTCAGTAAAATTGTCTATAATAGGTATTTATAGGTCCCCAAATAATGCATAGATTTATTTTAAACTAGGTTAAAAATACTATTTTGAACAAAACCTAATTACTAAAAATGTTAAATCATTAGACAATACTAGAGTATCAAATAATTATCTAGATATAATGGCCAGTTACAATATGGTTTCTTACATAAATAACTACATGACATCTTTTAATAACACTAATTATTGCTTGGATCACATTTTCTATAAAAATAATAATTTCAATGTTATTGAATCATATGGAGAAAAAAAAATTTAATGTAACTATTATATTCCTATTTCTTTATCTCTATCACTTTCTAAACCATTAGAAAAATGTCTTAGGAATAGAATAGTTAGGTTTTTTGGAAAAAAAAATTGTTTTTTCTCCCAATCAGTTTGGTTTTACTTCCAGCAAGTCTACTAAGAATTGCACAATTCATAGTGAATCATTTCGTTTTAATTTAATGTTAAAAAATTTAGTGATAAATAATGTTAAATCATGATTTGAGAATAATATAATGCAGTTAAATTTGAGTAAAACTAAATATATTTGATTTAAAATACAAAATAATAGATTTAATATTACTGATTATAAATTATATGGGCATTCTTCAACTTCAAATATTAAAAACTATAGCTCAAATTATTTTGTTTATATAAGGTAAATAACTAGGGTTATATTTATGACAATAAACACAATTGGAATATTCATATCAAGAACTCAATCAAATGTATAAAAAGTGCTTACTACTTCTTTTTCAAATATATCTTTGTCCTTGGTCTTATAGTTATACTACAAGACATAATAAAAATATAAATCTAATACAATGTAAATGTAATACCAATTTCAGAAATCTAAATCCATAAATTGTAAAAATTGATATTTATTTTCAACTAGGCAATAGTGCAACTATGGGGGGGGGGGTGCCTCCCCGAAATGTGTTTGTGAGTTTTTTTTATGACTTTTACGCAGTTGTGTAATTTTCATACCTATTTGAAACGTAATGTTGTACCATCGTGGATGAATAAGTGATAAAAATGATCATAAAAATCATTTTCTACAAATAGGAGGCTAAAAACGTATTCAAGAAACACTACAGGACAGTCGAAACTTAAAAGAATGTCCACATTAAACATACCTACAGATATTGAACTTAAACCAGATTCAGTGCTTAGTGTTGAGGCTCAAAGAATTAATCTTAGACTGAAAATTATTTCTATTATTATATAAGGCCATTTAAACCTTCGGGATGTTTTTTGGTAATATTTTATAAAAAAAACTACAAATTATCAATTTTGAATAATTTTTAGTTTATTTTGAAAATTTGTTCTGATTACTTTCTAAAAATAATATCGCTTAAATGGTCGCCTTCAGAGCGAATGGCATAATGTGCTCGTTTTTCGGCATTTCCCATCATATTTCGAAGTGTTTAAGGTTGAATAGGGCTCTAAATAAACAAAATAGTTGGTTGTACGCCAATGAAAACCCTCAATTAATCCACGAACAACCTCTTAACAACGCGTGAATTTTTGAGCCGAAATGTTTGCGAAAAGAATCATTAGACCGTTCTTTTTCGAAGGAGCAGCCGTATCCATCAATGGAGAGCATAATCAAGCTACAATAACGAATATTTTCATTTCATTTCTGACTGATAACGGTATGATAACTATTGGTTTCTACAAGACGGCACCACAGCTCATATAGCTCGAAATAAAGCGATAGTGGCTTTATTTCGTCTTTTGTTCCTCGGACGTTTAGTTTTAAAAAATGGTAATTTCAACTGGCCTCTGCGTTCACCTTACTTAACCCCTCCAAACTTCCCACTTTCCTGTGAGGTTATTTAAAATCTTGATTTTACGTTAGGAAGCCATGGATCCTAGAAGCGTTGAAAGATAATATATGACAAAAAATGGCCATTATTCAGCCTGAAACACTTCGAAAAAAGATTTGAATTGCCGAAAATTGAACTCATTACGCCATTCGTTCTGGTGACGAGAGTTTACGTGATATTATTTTCAATAATTAATAACTATTCAATCGGAAACACGTCGAAAAGTGATGGGAAATGTCAAAAACTAGCTCATTACACCATTCACTCTGAAGACGACTATATAAGCGATTTTATTTTTAAAAAGTTATCAAAACAAATTTCCATGTCTAAAATAAACGAAAAAGACTCAAAATTAATAATGTTTTTTTTTTAAAATAATTATCAAAAGACATCCCGAAGATTTAAATGGCCCACCATGTACTTATGAGTAAAGTATATTTAATTACATAATTAATTCGAGTCCAAATTGTTTTCCCATATGCGTAGTCTATAAATGTAAGTTAAGCAATATGAAGATTTTACTCATAAACCTAATTAAACCTTACTCCCTCCACTCCACCAACCATCATCCGAAATTGATATTTTTTCAAATTCATAAATCCCCCTCTAAAAATAATTCCTGGTTGTACCACTGCAACTAGGTAAATATTAATATCTTAAGTTTTAAAAATATATAAATAGTCTAAAACTACAATAATATAAATGTATAATTTTGAACTTTGTATGTAATTTCTTTAATTTAATTTGTATACTAGTATGTGATTACTATATGTTTATTGAGTTTTCTGAATGTAAATTTTATTATGTTTCTTCCGTTCTTCCTTCTATTAATTTCGCACAAAATCGTTTTTCATTTGCAATGGTTTACCATTACCTTCCCAACTTTTCAACTACAACAGTGGCCGATCCATCGTGCAAATTATGTCAGTCTTTTTATTTAAGCTCTTAAAGGTCAAATTTTGATAAAACTATTGGAAAAATCTTCAATCTTATTATAGGCTATACAATTATTTTTTTATTTATGCTTTAAACTATGATAAAATATACCTACATTAATTATATTACTGCGTTTGTTTCAGAAGGAAAAGTGATTATCAATGCTCGTAGCCACTATCATTATTGGATAAAAAGTCAAATTGACAATGACTGTTGTTACACGGGTGGTCAGGGTTGCACCCTAAGATATATACTGGAAAAATACTGTCCATTTTCGGAAAGGTACTAACCTAAAAAATTAAATTTATATACTTAATAAATCTATGCCAACTAACATAATAAAAGTAAATGTTTGTCTGACAAGAATCATTTAATTATAATTTCTATTTAGCTAAACAGGTATTCATATTTTATTATACAGAAAAGATTACTTGTGTGTGTAAATGATAGTTAGATATAATTACGCCCTTATAGCAGTTGTCTGCCACACGGAAATCTCTTCAATATGGTGCCCACAAAATTAATTTATCTCCCTCATAATAGACAAAAATAGAAGAGAATACTGCTCAATAGGTACTGTTGACTGTTGTACGTAAATAGTTGAAAAGGTTAGAATTTCGGGAATGTCCAATGAAAATCTGATAAATACAATAAATTTGGTCAATGATGTATGCAGTATTTTTTCAATGGAAGGTATCATATTCCCAACAGAATTTCGAAGATATGTCTTAATTATTTTTAACATAATAAAGCTTCTTCTTGGTTCACACTACGTATCAGATACTATTGAAAAAATTTGAAGCACTTTGAATAAATTTGAAATAAAGTATCATTTGTACTTATCAAAATCATCTAGAAGATCATATACACTTAATTTTTGTAAATTTGTATGCCAAAAGCTTTACTTCTACTTCAAAAACTTCTTGATCGATATAATTTAAATACAATTCACTTAAATTTTTGATCAAATGATTATCACAATTTTCATTATAATTTATAAAACCATAATATTTGTATGATTTAAAAATCAGTTTTTTAATTGTTGAACAAAGTTGTCCACAAATGGAAGGAATATACTAATTTATTTTAGATGATTTTCAGTCATCTGTAGAATAATTTGATTTCTATTTATATGGGACAATAAATTTAAATCTGATTGATACTAATAATGGTTTATCCGGAAAATTTCCTTTTTTTTTATTCATTGTTTCATAATTTGAAATTAATTTAAACTATTTATAGAGAGGTGTCATATTTCCTTGATACCCCCCACATGCACCACTAAATTTGGTCACTAAACGTTCAATAATTGCATGTTTTTTTTCTTGTAATAATAACTATAGTCTTGCGGTATGATTTCTCTATTTTATATATTTTTTAAAATTAAAAATAAAAATGACTTTTACAAAATCATATGTGACTATTTTATAAGTATATATTTTGAAAAAAATATGTTACTTTTGTGTCACATATATTTACTAATTATGTGTAATTGTAATTGTATTGTGTCATTGTATTTAATAGCTAACTAAGCTAATTAAAGTATCTTAACCTATATCTGTTTTTCAAGACGCTATTATTATTGTTATTATAATAATTGGAATTATTATTATTATTAGTGTTGTTGTTATTATTATTTACCAATAAGTCGATTGGGAGCACAATTGTTAATCACAATTATATGTACTTATCTTTAGGATTGATACTACAAAAGACGTGATAATCGCAGGCAATTCAATTAATCACTTGGATACTTTAACTGATGAACGGTCAGTATTTTTAACGCAACTAATGAAGTTTAAAAAATGCGTTCTTCCGAAGAAGAATTCTGAACTATTAGGATATGATACAATTCGTAAGTATTCACTGAGTTCGCCAGTATCAGGTGCCATATTCTAAAATAATTTCAAAGGCATTGTTTTCAACTAAACATAATTAAATTAAGGAAATCAAATTAAAAATATATTAATTGTTGGTTCATTTTTATTATTATTAATCAAAACATGTTTAGATTAGTTTGAAAATAATGTCTCTATTTCTTGATGGTAATAGCAATAGTATTGTTCAATAAATTGTTGTATACAATAGTTACATGTTTTTTTAAAAGATACATTAAACTACCTACTATAAAAGAAGAGGAAAAATAAATTTCACTCTTCTCCCCTAAGGATAGCTAGGATGCCACTACCTCTTTGTTGCACCACTGATTTATTGTATACACCTAATTACGAATTTTATAAAAGAAATATACTTTAAAAACACAACAAATGTTACATAATTTTTTTATTATTTAATTTTGTTTTGTATAATATTTATTGCAGAATATTTACTTTGTATGACAAATGTGGGATGCACTATAGATTTGGAACTTCTTGAAGCGCTTCAAAATTCATTAGCCTGCTCAACCTTAGAAAACTGAAATCAAAAATAATATATCTGTACCTATTTGTACCTATATTAATTTGTTCATTCTTTCAAAGTTATAACATAACTCAATTTAAATAATTTGTATGTATTTAATAAAAATATGTTTTTTAATATATAATATTTTGGTGTGTAAGTAATTTATTTGTAAAAAAAAAAAATTATTTTTTAAAAAAGTTTTACATTTAACACGTATACATTGTTGAGCATTATCTAGATAAATAATCAGTTATCTTTTATCTTATGTAGATGATAAACAAAATTAGTTACCTAATGAATTATCTTAGATGAATAATTGAATTATCTAACGGAATTCATCTAGATAAATAAATATATATACCTATCGAAGAAAAAACTCGAGAAATTCGAAAAATTGAACCTGAAAATTATAACCCATGTCTCATTAGTAAAGCAACATTGAACAAATAAAGAAAAAAATTAAAAACATAAAGTAATATGTAATAATATTATCCGGGTCGCTTATTTGTGTTATTTCTAAATTCTAATAGAAATTGTAGATTGTAGAATCTAGTATAAATTAACGAAAAAATTGTAGATTAATTAATAAAATTAAAACAATTTTATCTTTTTTTTTATCCAGATAAATAGTTCTTTTATCTTTAATATTATCTAGATAATTTATATTTTAACTATCTTTTATCTCTATCTAGATAAATTGTATCTAATTATCTTTTATCTTTATCTAGATATATTTGTAGTTTTCTTTGCGCAACACGGCACGTATATGGATAATGAATTTCCTAATTAATATAGGGAGTGATGTATGCAATCAATATAATTCAAAGTATTTTATTTAATGTGTAAAGATATGGTAAATTAAACACATATCCAATGGTCATACTAAAATATTATTATAATAATTGAACACTTATAAGCCGTAAACATTGCCCATATTATAATTTGTTTACAAATTATACTAAATTTTACAGGATTACGATAATAAATCAAGATTATAATATTATATAATACAAAATCCAAAAGGCCTTAAATTTAAATTTTTAAAGAAGTTAAGTATAATGAATAATAATAACAATAATAATAATATATAATGTTATTTCTTTCAAGTTTTAAAGCAAGGTCTTAAGTATTAAGATAATAGTACACACAGGCATGTAGACAGATAATTTTCGCTAGGTGGATCAATATTTGAGAGGCACCCTTGATATTTTTTATACTAAAAAACTGTAGTTATAAGCACATTAACTAGAATTTACAAAATATATTGAAATATATAACCTAATAGCTGTGGCGTACTCAGATTTTTCATATGTTTTGTTCAATCAAATTTATTGTTTACTATGGAAACTGTAAAATCTAAGAAATTGTATTTATTATTAATTTGTATTTTGAGTGTAAATTGAATGTTTTTAGTTATAATGTTTAATTAGTTAACTAAATTTTCTGCTATTTGAACCTCTATATAAAATAAACGTGTCATCAACATATCTTTAATATGCTTTTATATATGGACTGTATATTTTATTGTTAATAATATTATTAACAATAATAATAATAATAATAATAATAATAATAATATTATTAATTTATTATTATTATTGGTTTCATAATTTTGCCTGTAAATTTTAGATAAAAAAACACTTAAAGGACCACCCATAATTAGACCATCATTTACGAATATAATTTATTATTATATTGGAAATAGTTTTGATTAATAATTACATTTATTGATTGAATAATTTATTGTATTTCGTTTGCATTAAATTTATTACTATGTTTAAGTTAGTTTTGAAAAAAATTGACTGTTTCGTGTTTAGAAATGGATGTATATAAATGTTTGATATTAAGAGAAATCATTTTGTAACATGGCTCAATTTAATTTTACTAATTTTATCAATAAAATCATAAGTGTTTTTTATAGCAAGGTTATAAGCTGGAGTAGTTTTAAAGTTAAATAATGGATGACTTGTTTATGTAACTTTATGAACGGATTTAAGTGTGGAGTCTCCATATTTTAATCAGATTTTAATAATATTTTCTTTTGGACTTTAGGTATGATATCTTTCGAATTTTTTATTTGTTTATTAATTTTTTTAAAACAAATTATAGTTGGATCATATGTTAAGTTTTGAATATTATTATTATTTATAATACCTGAAGTTTTTTTTTTTTTAATTTCATTAGTTTAAATGATAACAATAGCACTAGATTTATCTACTGGAACTATTTCTGAATTATGATTTTAACTTATTGACTATGTTGTTAATAATTGTATTTTATTGGTTAACTGTACTATTTTGTTTTAATATTTTTTCTGTCTTATTTTTGTAGTTTTTATTGGTACTGTTTATGAAGTTACATCTTGTTTGATTTTGGTTTTGAAATTTTGTATAATTTATAACAGATAACAGATTCACATTGTATTGATTGTTTTTTAATCGATTGAAAGTTTAACATTTAATATGTATTGAATTTATTACCTTCATCTAATATATTGTTTTCAGCTTTATTGAAAATTATGGAAATTAAATTAATAATTCGGGATTGAAAAGAATGCTGGTTTTTAAGTTTTAATTTCTGTGTATTTTGTGCTACTTAAATATTATTTTGTCATTTACCCTATTTTAAAAATCAATTACATCCAACAAAAATTACTACAAAGGAAAAATGAAAAATGGCATAGGGTAAATGATAAAATTAATATTAAGTAAATAAATTAATGATCGAACGAGGAATTTTGTTATATTATATAATATGATAATTTTTAGATTCTGAGTGTAGCGAAGAATGTATTGATTTTACAAAGATATATATTTTGGTTTTTTTATCCTGTGTACAAAAATTTTTCAGAAATCTTACTCCGATGTACATGATGTAGACCCTTTTTTGAAAGGCAATTTTCTTAAGGTGGTATTTTAATGAAGTGATATGTGATTTCTCAGGAATTTTCTCATCAAATGTGAAAAACGGGAAAACATATTAGTTAAAATATACTACGGCCTTCATTTTTTCTGTGAACGTATACGCCTTTATTTTTATTTTTTTGTTTTTAATACCTACGCGTGGTTTTCCATGAGTGATTATTTGTGTGAATTGTGTATTTATCTGAATTACTCAATTAATTTTAAATTATAAATTGTAATTTATTCAATAATGGCTAAAAGAATGTTTGATGTCTTTAATATAAAAAACAAAAATTAGTTGTTACTAATTCCTCGTCAACAACAACACAAGAATCTGAAAATGANCTTTAATAACAGTCCCTGTGCGACCAATTTTAACATTAAGTACAAATGTAGGCAAACACTAAACATAGTTTAAGTTATTATATTATATTTAAATTAAATATATTGCAGTCATATCCACTAACTAAATTTGGTACACAAAATCGCGCTTTCAATCATAAGCATTACAAAACATATAAATGGCTTGAATATAGTATATCAAAAGATTCAATTTTTTGCTTTGCTTGTAGAAATTTCAGTATTGGAAATAATGGTAATTTTGAAGATAGTTTTTTAGTTGGTTTTAGAAATTGAAAAAAAGCAAGTGCTTTGTATTTATGCTTTATTTATAATTGTTTAATTATAATTATTAATATAAGTATATTATAATTTATAGTTGAGTGTTTATAATGGATCTAAAGGTGGGAATAAAAGTAAACTCAATAAATTGGATGCACATGCTAAAAGTAATTTACATCTTGCATGTATGGTTAAATGGTCAGCATATCAGAAAACAAAAGAAACTGGTAGTGTTTATTCTCAAATATCTTCTCAGCATTCATTGATGGTTGAAAGTAAAAAAAGTAAAAAAATATATGAAAATATTAGTTGATAGTGTTTTATTTGTAAGTTGTCAAGGAATTGGTTTAATGGGACAAAAGATTCTTTAAATCAAGATAATAAACTAACAACTAAAAAGTAATAACTAATATTACTAATAGTCTTAAATGATCTTAAATGTAAAATATCAAATTAATAGTCCATGCCTATCATAAGAGGTGACCAAAATGGGCGTAGTAGTGGGAAGCAGCGCTGCTAAAATCAAGTGTATACTCATTCATACTTGAACATCATCCATTAGAAATAATGGAGGATACTGCGATATAGAAGGCAACGGGAAACCACCATATTAATATCTCAAATAATAGCAATCAACATGACAGCTTCTCAAGTAAAATATTCTGGGGGTAAAATAGTCCCCAATTCGGATCTCTGGGTGGGGACTACGAGAGGAGAAAGAAATGTTAAAGAATATAAAGAATATAAATTCATAGCAGCTTGGAACGTAAGAACGTTATTACAATGTGGGAAGTTGGAAAACCTGAAAATGGAAATGAACAAGATGAAAATTTATATCCTTGAAATATCAGAAATAAGATGGCCGAATTCAGGAGATTTCTGAAGCGGAGACTACAGAATAATGCATACGGGATTATCAGAGAAGAGTCCAGGTACAGGAGGAGTAGGGATTGTAATGAATAAAATCCTAGATGAAAAAGTTAAAGGCTACATACAATACAATGATAGAATCATTCAAGTAAAATTTCAAACAAAACCAAAGAACACAATAGTAGTTCAGGTGTATATGCCAACAACAAATAGTAGCGAGGAAAATCTGATAGTAATAGGTAACTGGAATGCCATTGTGGGGGAAGAAAATGTAAAACATTTAACAGGTGATTATGGTTTAGGAAACCGAAACGATAGAGGAGAGCGGTTATTAGAATTTTGTGCAAAATATAAATTAATAGTCATAAACGTCTGTTTTAACCATCATAAGAGAAGAAACTACACTTGGAAAATACCTGGAAACATAATAGGTCTCAAATAGACTATATAATGGTAAAAAATTGATTTAGGAATCAAGTAAAAGAAAGTAGAAGTTACTCAGGTGCGGCCATAAATAGCGATCACAACCTTGTTATGATGAAGTGTAATCTTAAATTTAAAAGAATAATGTGTAAGAAGAAAATGGTACAATGGCAAGTTAAAAACCTAAGAGATGAAAAATCAAAGAATCAATACAGTGAATACATAAATGATGTGACTATTAAAGAATACCTAGGAACCCAAAATATTGAAGAAAGATGGCAGAGCTTGACAATCACAAAAACAGCAGCAAAAAACTTTGGGACATAAAAACAATATAGCAAGAAAGGACTGGATTACAGCCGAAATTGTGAACTTGATAGAGGAAAGAAGAAAATATAAAAATTTGAACAGTACCAAAGTCCAGAAAAGATATAGAGCATTGACGAATCTAGTTATTAGGGAATCAAAAGAAGCAAAAGAAAAGTACCTGGAAGAAAATTGTAGTGATATCGAAACCCTTATAAAAACAGGAGGAAGGGAAGAAGCATATAAAATGGTGAAAAAGTTCTTTGGCCAGTATTAGCCCAGAGCCGGAGGAATAGAAGATAATAATGAGAAACATGTGTGAATAAAAAGATATTGCCAAAAGATGGAAAGAATATTTAGAAATACTGTATGAGGGAGAAACACTTAAAGAAATCGAATTAAACGAAGAAGAGAAAACTGAAGAAGAAGAATATGAAAAGGATCCAGTCATGGGGGAGGAGTTCGATAAAGCATTGAAGAATCTGAAGAACAAAAGGGCAGCGGGAACTGATGGAATACAAGCGGAGCTTTGGAAGGAGCCAGGAAAGAAATTTAAAAACAGATTATTTCAAATCATCAAAGATATATATGCCGCTGGCGAAATGTCAAAGGATTACGTAAATAGCATAATTATCCCCATTCCAAAGAAAGCAGCAGCAAAGAAATGTGAGGAATTCCGTACCATAAGCCTCCTATCACATGCATCAAAAATACTAACAGAGATTATATTCCAACGTATTGAATCCAAGATAGAACAATCATTGACGGAGGACCAATTCGGTTTCAGAAAAAATATGGGAACGAGAGAAGCAATACTTCCATTGAGAATAATAAAATTGATCATAGAAGGAAGCATAGAGGGTAAGAACCATAGGGGAAGACCAAGATTAGAGTATATTCAACAAATAATTAAAGACCAAGGATGCAATTCATACATAGAAATGAAAAGGAAAGTGGATGATAGAAAAGAATGGAAAATGGCTGCAAACTAATCTATGGATTGAAACCATAGAGAGAAAAAGAGAGTCTTAAATAATCTTAAATGTAAAATATCTAATTATGATAATTATTTGTAAAAAAATTAATATATTTTTAGGAAACTTTAAAGAATTATGTAAATTTTTAGCAAAAAGTAATGAGGAATTTGGAAAAAAATTTAATCTTAAAACCAATTACTCAAGTCATGTAATTCAAGATGAACTTATTAATATATATGTGCAGATGTTGTGAAAGATATGGAAGACGTTGAGGTTTTTGGAATTATGTGTGATGAAGCAAGGTGAAATATAAATTATGTTTTATACATGGACTTTTTAATTTATTTTTATTAAATTAATTTATAGGTGTTACAATCAAGAACAAATGGCATTATGTGTAAGGTATGTTAAAAACTAAATGTTGTTGAGAGATTTCTCGGTTTTATAGATTGTTCTAAGAATCAAAATGCTGAAAGTTTATATCATTACATATTATGGTACCTGAAAAAGTGTAAACTTAGTTCTAAACCACAAATAGTTGCTCAGTCATATGACGGTGCAAATGTTATGTCTGGGAAATTTAACGGATTACAAAATAAAATAAAAAATCAATATCCTTACGCTATTTATACCCACTGTATGGCTCATAAAATGAACCTCATTGTAATTGATATGTGTAAATATGTAAAGGTAATGAATATTTATATACATCTTAGATCTTCATGATTTTTTTTATTACTTATATTAATATTGGGAAACAAGGCATGTGTTTAGTGCACACTTTAGAATCCCTGTACGTACATTTTTTTCATCCATCAAAAAATCAAAAATTAACTGAGATTCTAACTAAACTAGGAATAAAACATACGACAATGACTTGGTGACACTAGATGGAATTGCCGTTATCGAAATATAGAGTCTGTTAAAAATAGTTATAAATCAATAATTAATAATTCAAATTATTTAAATTCCAATATCTTTGTTTTAGATATATTAACAAATTTAAAAAGTGGACGATTTATAGTTTATTTATTTATCTTACATANAGTATTAATTAATATTAATATTGTTTCTAACAAATTTCAAGAAAAAAATGCAACCTTAGAGGAATCTAAAAATATCATTGAAGGTGTGATCATAACTTTTAAAAATTCTAGAACAAAAAAGTATTTTTTTAAGCTTTGGTGCGAAATAGAAATCTTTGCTAAAGACAATGAAATATCAATACAAACGCCATCTAAAGTTAAGACTTGATAAACATATTATATTTATTTATAATTATAATTTTAAGTTAATATTTACTTAACTAGGATGCAAAAGAAAAAGACAAGAGCCACACAATCTTAAACATTTTGATACTACTACAACCACAAGTGCTGAACAAAATATTAATGACACCATAGAAAGCATTGAAGATTATTTTAGGAAAAATGCTTTCTTTCCTGTATTTGATGCTATCTTGATAAATCTGGAAAAAAGATTTTCTACTGAAAACCTCCAAATGGCTACAGCTGTTGATCAATTTTTTCAATTAAAGTTTGAGGAAAGTCTTTTCTTTGTAGATCATTATAAAGTAAGTATCTTATCAGTTTTTGAAAATTAATTTTTACTTACCTATGCTCTAGTTTTCTAGTTTTATTAAGAGTGAACCTGTATTTTGTATATTTTTCAGGATTTGATGAATGTATCTAAAGATGTACTACAGTCACCAATGTACTACAGTCACATTGCCACCAATATAGGTTGGAACAAATTCTTTGGTAGAAAAGTTGTGTACCAAGAAAAGAAGGCTGTAATATATATTATCTAACACCTACATTACTTATATTTTCCCGGTTTTTTAAATTCGATAAGAAAACTCCTGAGAAAATCGAAAAATAACCTGTTTAAGTTATTTCGGCAGTGAAATTTCCTTTAGAAACATAGCTGTTATTAAAAGTTGGAGCAAAATTGCTATTTGAAAATATGAGGACAGGAAAAAAATATAGTAATATATTAGTAATATATTTCATACATTTTCGTACTTTTTTTTGGCTTTTTTTGGTTTTTCTAATTTTCTGAAAATATTCTTGAGGAAATCAAAAATAACCTCCCTAAAGTACCGAAACCGATTTCCTTTCAGAAAAGGCGCTGGGAAATTTTTTCAAAAAATAGAAATATTTTACAGGCTAATAGATAATATAATTTATAATTCATATAATTTATATAATATTTTAATAAAACGAGTAGTCAACGAGGAGTGTAGTGGAAATTGCACCGTGCAATGTGTAAATAGTAAACCTAGCTATTAATAAATAACACTACTAAATAAATCTACTTCATTTATCGAAGATCCCTAATCACCGCTCATAAAATAATATAACGAGCAACTACGTGAAACCGAAACTAGTTTCTAGTTTCAAGTAATTGTGGCAACAAGGCAATGGGCGTGGTTTGGCAACGACTTGCCACAATGATGGAGCGGGGGTAAGACGCACAACGCCGTTTCTTGAACGTAATAAAATTAAAATTTCCATTTTAAAAGATTTTATTCTACTTAAAAATTAATAACATAAAGTGATAGCAGATAACAAGGAGAGAGTCAGATTTTGGGTGGAGACAGATCGGGATCGAAAAAAACCAAGATTATAGATAGGCAATTTTTCTATCCTTCCCTACTCCTCCGGTCTAAACTTTAAACTGTAAATAAACAATAAATCTGACATTAGTGTTATTTATATCAACATTTCTAGAAAAGTATTCTCTATTCAATTCTATATTCAAAGAGGGGGGGGGTTCCTATTTAAAAATCAAAAGTATGTACTAATTTAAGGTATATGGAGTAGGGGTAAAAGTTAAAAATGGTNTAAATGCTGGTTCATGATAAAAAAAACTAGAAAAGTTTTATAGACTCGCACATAGGTGATAGGTTATAATTTATTTTAATACAATTTAAAACCGTAAGCCCTTAGGCCGTAATTTGTAATCTATACTTAATTATAAAATTAATGACAAGCAAATTGTGAATAGGTATCCGTACGTCGTACGGCCATACATAATATAGGTACACTACAGGTACCTATATAGATTTTCGATGTAGTCAACTAGGAGTTTGATTACTCCTAATTGATCAATCAATTAGGAGTTTTTTTTTTTTTTTTAGGAGTTTTTTTTTTCACCATGCAATGTGTAAACAGTAAACATAGCTATTAATATATAACATTCCGAATAATTTATAAATGTATATAATAATTAATAATATCTATTGGTTTCCCTATAATTACTTATTGTGTTCAATTTTAATAATTAAATATCGAGTCGATATATCGGTACGGTTGTATCTATATAAAATGTCTCAATATATCGTTGCCATTTCTAATCACCACTCATAGAATAATAAAATGAGATCTCACGCGAAAGCAAAACTCTGCGAACTTTCACGAAACTAGCGACTCCGCAGTGACGCTTCCGGTGGTGAAGTTTCGGTGTTAAGCAATTTATTAAACTTGTACACAATACGTGGCAATTGAGAATACAGCACGGTTTTTAAAAAATATGAATAAGAATAATTATTTTATTTATTGTATAATATATATGGTGGTTACAAAATATTTGGCAGCGGAAGCTAAAATTCATATCAACAGGGCCAGTTGTTCGATGGTTGATTGCCGCGTCATTTTTAAATTACCGCGCTTTTTTAGTCACACGTTTAAGAAACCCTCACGAAAATCTGCACCGAAAGCAACACTGCGGAGCAGTTTGTTTTGTGAAACGTACTGTAGTTGTTACATCGTGGCAAAGAGCGTGGTTACGACTTGCCACAATGACGGAGNGGGGGTAAGACGCACAACGCCGTTTCTCGAACGTCGCACACGTTTCATTTCCACTGTGACGCCATCTTAATGAGTACCTGTCTATAAAATTAGCCAAGACACTCTTCAGAGGTTCAGTATTGTTTTATCACTTAAACTGTTATTTTATTTAATAAAAGTAATAATAATAATAATATAAAATAATTATTTAATTAGGTATAACATCGTTCATCATGAATTCCCGTGATATCAAAATACTTATGGTCATAATACTTGTGATTGCCATGCCGTGCATTGATGCTAGCCCACGCGCATTCGAGCCATTGATAAGTACGTACGAAAAAAACGGATAGTCATCTGTTTATTGGTTCATAATAAAAAAAAAAGTATATTAATATTTTTAACAACATGTGTAATACGATATGATAATGGATGGTAATATGATTTTACGCGTGTTATAGCATTTTTAATTTGAATATTTTAAGATTTTTTTACAGGTACCTACCCGTACCTTAGGTCGAATTTTTGATATTTGTTTTTGTTTTTAATACGGTTGGTGGAAATTTAAAATTACGGCCTACTTTTTCAACAAATACGGTATAATTAAGTACTGGTATTTAGTATTCCATATAAATCTCGAACAAATATTGTTATTCAATATTTATTCTTACTTTCTCTTGAATCTAAATCACTTATCTATAACCCAAAATCATATCTAACTAAAAAGGAAGAACATATTTATTTTCTCTTGGTTTCATAGAAAAATTAAATTTTCTTATACCATTAATTTCAATATTACCTATAATAATGTGTATACTGTATAGCTTGTATTGTAAAACACATTTCAAATTTATTTACTTTGATTTTCTTCCATGTGAATAGTGAGATAACACTGAAAAAATAATAACCATATTCAAATAAAATTGTTTTCTTTTGATTTCATAAGTAAACTATAGGTTCACATCCATCAGCAGTATCAGCTTTTTTTTATGAAAATAAAACAATTACTATTAGATACAAAGTTAACAATTTTATTGTTTAAAATTGTTTTCAGTCTTGTTGTTTCCCTCATATCTTGTTAAGACAAAACTCATATCTTGTTAAGANAAAAATATTGTATTTATAATCTTGATCCAAATAATAAGGTATTTTTTAAAATATCTAAATAGTTTTCTTAATGATGAGAAAAACATATAAAAAAAGAAAACTGAACGGGATAATTTACATAAACTATCAAAAATTTAAAATATTATTGGTTTTAAGAAAAGTATTTTTTTAGTGAATAAAAAATACAAAAAAAGTAATAAAATACTTTTATTTGAATACTTTACAACACTGTATTTATATATGTATAGATAATATCTAAACTCATTTAATTAAAACTCATGGTTTCTACTTTTCTAGAAATTAATTTGTTTTTTTTTATAAACTAGTGATAAAGAGATTGTATAATCATATACACGATGCAATTCAAAAAGAGTACCAAAAAAACATCACAAAAACAGAACCTATTCCAAGAAAACCACTCAAGGAACCATAGATAAATCTGAGGATTCTAGCATCTAATGAAAATTATTATCAACATACACACAATGTAATGTATGTATGCTCTAATTTTAATTTCAATATTAGGATGATAAAGTATCATTCATGAAAGAATATTTTCAAGGAAATTATAATTTGTATACTGTAAATCTAATTAAACTAACAATAATTATATTTATTATTTCAGAAATATTTGTATTAATTCATTTTACTGAAATTTTTACATAACTCATTATCATCTTCAATTGAAATAGGATTAAATTGACCTTAAATACTATTATTTAATTAAATTCAAAATTTACAGTAACACCAACAAATTGTATTTAAAAAATAAAACACTTATTTATATACATATAATTAATATTATTATAATATTATACTTAATAATTCTTCAAATTATTGAATATGTGTAAACAAGCTATATTTATATTTTCTGATCCAATTTTTGGATCATCATTTTATATAGCTACAGGTTTTCATGAATAACATGTAATTATTGGAACTATCTTTTTAATATTAAATTAAATTTAAATAAAATATATCATTTTTCATTCATTCATCCATTAGTATTAAATTAGTAATTTGATATTTTATATTATTTGATTATTTTTAAATATAACTTTATATTGATGAAACAATGTATTTTATTTTATTAATAAAAAAAGTATATTCGAATTCCAATCAAAAATTTTAATTATTTAAATATAATAATTTTGAAAATCTTAATTTTAATAAGATTAATATCATTTATTTTAATAAATATTTATAATTGTAATTCATTAAAAGTAAAAATATAATCATAATAAATTGGTCACTTTTGTAATGTGGATTTGACCATTTAAATAATCACATGTTTCATTATTATTAAACTTTTATTTAATTAAAATTATATTCTTAATCTTTGATATTGAAATTTCAATTGTCATATTAATAATCAAAAATTTTAAAATTTCAAACATAATTAATTTATAATATAATATTTATAACATTTTTCATTTTTATAGTCTTAAATATTTATTATGAATAAAAATTTGGTTCTCTAAACATTATAAGCATAATAGTTAAAATATATAACATTTAATTTGCTTTTAAAAATTATTTAACACATTTATCCCAATAATAAATATGAAGTAAAAAAATGTACATATTAATTTTAATTTATTAATATATGATGTATCAATTACAATCCTTATTTTTTTTGATTCCAAGAATTAGGTTTATTACTATTAATTATAATATTGAAAAAAAATTCTAATTAAAAAGATTTTAAAAAAGAAGCTGATTATTTATTAGTTTTATAAAAATATAAATAAAATATGAACTCACAATTAAATATTTTGATATACATTGTATGTCTACCAATTATTATTTTTATTTTAATATTAAAAACACATTTATTTATATGTTCATAAATTATTTGAAGAAATCAACTAAATAATTTTATACATAGTATTTAAATGTATTGAATTAAATTTGTTTTAAAATTTTGCTAGCTAACATTCTGCAATAATATAAAATATAAAATACATAATGTTGTATTGAAGATTTTATTAATATATATTGAAGCGAACATTGTTTGTCGAAAATAAAACTTAAAGAATACCATGATAGTTGCAAAAAGAACGCTGCCTACAAACTTTTGGTTGAAAATCTAAAAGAAATTGACTCTTCGTTGGTAGCCATGTCTATCAAAACTTGTGACTGAAGTGAAGCCTGAACACATTCGCCTGAATGTATGGAGGTGCTGTCATTGGGTCTCAGGCGGCCTGTGTAGGCATAACTGACAGGTCACCCAGATCGTGTGTGGTGACCTTTATACTACTTTCTATTAATCCTAGAGCACAATAAATCTTTAAATTTAACGAACTACAAAATTGCATAATAATCATAAGTCCAAGGCCTTTCCCTCCCCAACCTGTGCACTATATCATTGGAAAAGTGCATCAATTTGAATGATGACTATATGGAAAAATAGGAAAATATGTTTTTTATTGCATACAATTTTTCAAACAATTAAATAATTTTTTATTATTCATCATTTTTATTATATTTTTATCTTCTTTATAAGACTACCTATGTAACAACATCCTATCTTATAAAGGATGGTTAGGTGAATTCTAATCAAGTTGACCCTTTTAGAACCCTAAAAAAAGGCAGGAAGCTTCAAATAAATGTAGAAAATATGTTATAGAAACGACCTTAGGATAATGAGGATAAGTGCAGCCACTTTTATAGGTAATTTAATTTATACTTATAAACCATTGCTTACAAAAAAAAAGCTGAGAGGAGTTCAGTTGATAATGGTACATTGTCAACAATATATATATATGTCATATTATAGAAAAATAATTAAATAGGCTTTATACATTTTTTTTTAATAATATTTGTTTAATGTTGTACTAATTTTCCCGATTTTCCAATGTTTTTTTCTAATTTTTCACATTTACTGGGAAACTCATGAGAAAATCAAAAAGTGGCCTCTTTAAAGTACCTCCCCGGTCAATACTTTTAAGGCAATACTTTAACTTATAACTTAAATGGTAATTACAAATAATAAAATTTACATTTTATAGAAATATATATACATGTGTGTGTGTATGTGTGTATGTGTGTGTGTTTGTGTATAGGTAGTTACCAAATAACAAATATTATGACACAGCAATTTAATCTAATCAAACATTCACAACCTAATCAAAAAGAAACAAACCTTGTGTACAATTATTTGATTATTATTTAAATTACCTCAATTATTATTTTATATGTATATAGGTAATTGGTAATTTGACTTTTTACCATACTTAGTACTTACTACTGATTAATCATTATTACCATTAAATATTACTATATAGGTGTTTAAAGAAATGGTTAAAATAATTATAATTAAAAAATAATAGTTTATTATAGACTATTTTGACAATTACTATACTATATTTTTGGTAAAATTAAACATTACTTACATTGTCACACCAGTCTATTAAAATATTAAATAATTACTGACATCAATCCATTTCAAAATGTTTGTTTAATCAGTACTCAATAATAATAAAACTTCAATATTTTAGATTCTGAATGGTGTAAAGAAGTCTATTGTTTTACAAAAATGTTTATTTTTTTATTTTTTTCCTGTGGACAATTTTTCTATCATAAATTTTGCTCCATTTACAATCAGCACTTTTTCTAAAAGGAAATCTAATTGGGAGTCATCAATGATTATTTGTTATCCTTGCTTACAGATATATATTAAATGTCTATTTAATAAAAGCACTCAATAAATGGTAAGTATTATATAATATAAATTGAAGTCAATAAAAGTATCTCAGCCCATAATTTACTATCATCTTTATTTTTGTATACATTTTTCATATTTTCTAGAAATATCCCACTAATGACCTATATGCAACTAGTATAAGTATTAATACAATAATACTGAAATGAGTTTCAAACACTCAAAATTTAAAAATATTCACCATCAAGTGTTAAGTTACATTGAATATTCCTAGTAATTTAGAGAACATGTTACCCTTATATGTTATTTCAGTTCAACTAATAAGCAACATAGCAAAAATATTATAATACAGACTAGGTAAACCTCATTTAATTTTAGTTTTGGAGTAAAAACACTTATTAGAAAACTAATATTTAAAAGTGCAGCATACTGTAGTTAAAATAAAATAAACTTTTTAAAAATGTACAGTAATTTTAAAATATTAAAACATTTGTCAATATTTTATGTCATATTTAGAATGGTAGCAACAAGATACTTTTTGAATATTATCTACTTTTAGTTTTTTAATAGGTGCTTTAAAACTAAAATTAAGCAAATTCTAATAAGTTTGCATAAACATGCTTTTGTTATGTTGTTCTTTAGTTGAACTGAGTCATTATTTATAAATAATACTTAAAGTTTTGATAAATAAACTAAAATTGGGACTTATCACAGTTTATGTATTCAAACTACTTAATTAAATTAGTTTTCTGTGAATAAAATTAGTTTAAAGAAAAAAAAATAACTAGATTATATTTAATTAATTAAGATGTAGGTACTAGTTTTTTGTTATAAATTTGTTTGAGAACTTTAAAATTTAAACCAAAAAATTATCAATTAATTATGTCATTTAATGTGTAACATAAATATACCTACCTATACAACACCTATAATCATATTTTATTTCATTGTGAAATGTTTAATTTATTAATATTTGTATTAATAATACTTTTAATTATGTATTTATGTTTACCTACAAGAGTGCATTCAACTTATAAAAAATAAATTTTAAATTAAAATGGTTCTATTTAATAGAACATTTGTGGAGTCAAAGGATCCCGTTTTCCCAGAAAATCCCACTTTTGTACTCCTTTAATAATAGTTCTCACTTTGTAACCAGCTTCAACTTTACCTATTAAACAGAACAATAGCTTATTTATAAATAGTTTGCATGTAATATTTCTACAAATAATTCATATCAAGTTCATAAGTATGAACCCTGTATGTGAATGGATGAATAACTTTATCAGTTTCCAACAATGGTCACAATGTTTCTAAATTATTGAATGAATTGGGAGGGATTATTCTATCAGTAGGGAATAAGTATAATCTAGCTTATTTTTCTAATCTATAATCAAAAGTAATGATCAACTATGATTACAAAAATAATTCAAAACAGGTACAAATATACAACAAAATTGGATTGTGTAATATAAACGTATTTCACTTACATCAGTTATGTACTCCACTACCTGTTCTATGTATGATTTCATAATGTAAACTTCAATAACATGCTTATTGCAAGGTATAAGTAACTGTTCTGCAAGTGTACTTTTTGATTCAAAATATAATTTTGACCTATTGACTGGATCGTCTTTATCAAAACTATAACTAAACAAATACTCCAATGTATTAATTTATTTTATTCAGTAATTTAATATTCACATTATCGCAAATACTTTTACGCACATTTTAATCATAACTTTTTGCTTTTGTTACAATTATTATACCGGGTGATTCTTTCATCGTTAATCACTCATTATTTCGGAAAGTATTAATTGTTTTCGCAATCTGTGTTCTAGACCATTTAAGAATCATACGTGTCTACAATTTTATATTTACATTATTTTTCGTCACCCTTATTTTTGAGGGTAAAACCAGTACCTACTTTTGATTTTTAAATGGCAACCTTATAAATTAAATTAAATTAATTAAAATTCCATAAATAGATGAATTGTTTGTTAAATAAATTTAACTGTTGACATTTTTGATTAATGACAAAAGATTATTAAAATATTATTGTAAAAACCACTCTTCTCCAGAGCTTTGGTTGGAAGACCCGGAAAATGAACCCAGTTAATATTTAAATAGTTCTATTGTATATTTAAAAGATTCATTTCGTGTAATTATTTTCATGTATTTTAATTTAAACAGAATATAAGTACGTTTTGTGATTATTGCTTTGTGGTCTAATTAAGGGAACCTTGCGTATACAACAGAAGATATAAACACCGTTGTAAATAATATAATATTGGTAATTGGTATTATAGTATCGACCACCGAATATAGTTTTGCTGAATCAAAGTGTAGACAATTTTCATTTTGTCGATGGGCAAACCTATTTTAAATTCTAAGTGGACCGAAGAAGCTTATGGTTATACAACCATAAGACCACTTTTCTAACAGAGATCTTGCTCGGATTTTTAATTGTAGCGCCTGAAAGGAAATCGGTATGGGGAGGTATTGTAAAAAGGTCATTTTTCAATTCACATGGCCACTCAACTTATAGCCCAAACTCGTGACGTTAGACCGTTCAAGTTCAGTGGAAATAGAATTGAAAGTACCTCGAATCTCAATGGCTTGACAAGCAAGAGACTCAGGTTCGATTCCCGCATAATTTTTAGTACTATTTTCCGCAAGATAACGGCAGCGTCATTATTATTAGTCTTGCCCCCCATTTTTTTTTTTAAATAATTCGGAAAGTTTTTATATACAAACCATGGAACATGGTATACATTTCTGCACTTACGTTTGGCGTTGTCAAAAATTCATATCTTGAAAGTGGGGGGGACATTGAAGCGATTCTCTGTAGTCATAAATAGATAGATAGTACTAAAATTAATAACAATATTAATCTCTTTTCATTAATAAATGGATTACATTTTTTTTCTTTGAGTTTTAAAAATTATTGTATATAATAAAAATTGTTATTGTTTAAGTTGACATGATGACACCAAATTTATAAATTGTTCGCTGGCTATATAAATTTGACGGTTTCAGTGTAATATCATTGAAGCTTTTCTATAAAATGTGAATATGTTTAATATCATTTATTTTCATTTTTATAGGCATCTATATACTAAATTGAATATACTTACATGCGCAAGAGCATCTGGAAATAGTTGTGGGCGAATACAAATCCCTGAATGTTTGCTATAAACAACATTTGATTTGCCTACAATTGGCAGAGTATCTTGAATATTAAGAACAGGTTTTGATAAAGGTATTCCCATATCATATTCATCTTCTTGCTCATCCTCAAGTAATATTGAATCGAGATCACTTTTGGATCTATATTCATCAGAAATAGAACTGGCTTGTTGGTCATTTTCATTAATACCAAATTTTGCATTTGGGGTGGCTATTTCTGTGACCTTCATAACTTCTTCTTTGTATGACATTTTCCCGTATTCTGGAAATTCTTGAGCAGTGTTTACACAGACACAAGGCATATCTGTGTAAATGTCTAATATGCGTCCACTTTGTTTATGCAATAAACTAAAACAAAATAGGTTGAATAAAGGTTGCATATTATTTAATTATTAGTGTTAATACCTGGCTGCTAAATTAAATGCTTTCCGTTCTCCACCCTTAAATAATTTGAACGTGTGGTTATATCCAAACCCTGGCACCAGAGGAAAAGCTTTTTTTAATGATCTTGGGACGCGTAAATCAAGACATGTATGCTGCACATATTTAAGCGAACCAACAGGTCTTCGTTCAGGTATTTTAATTGCAACATACTCATTAGCATTAACCATTATCGAATGGTTTATTAACTCGGACTCCCCAGTGTTCTATTAAAATTGTGTATACAAAGTATATAGGTATTTTTATTGAGTTTTAGATTAGGGGGACACAAATTTAGAGTAAATAAAATTTGTATTTTCATTCCTTAATCACTAAAGAAAATCTCAAATAAATGTTTATACCAATTTTCTAGAAATTAAAATTGCAATTATTGGGAAACTATTGATCGAATATGTAAGTATTTACATTATAATGTTTAAAATAATATATTTTATAAATTAGCTATTTTGAAAATTTAATTCCTAAATGGATGAAAATACAAATCTAATTTATCTCTACATTTGCACCCTCCCTGTAACAAAACCTGATTGAAAAATACAAATTTAAAAAAATAAATGATTATTGACAGAGTTATTAGCATTCGGATAACACTGTACGACATCCTATATACCAGATTAAAATTGAAATTCCTATTCTATTTGTTTTACTTACATGCCCAGCCAAATTAAAAAACATATTTGAAGTAATGTTAACTGGAGTTGATTTTGATGTCATACCAACATAATCTATGATTAATTCATTTTTGCAAGTTAAACAAAATGTAATTCGTGTTTGAAATGTTCCTGGATAGCCTTCCTCGCCATCTTTACTTGAATACGTTAATATTAGATCATTACCAGAAACATATCCATCCCACATGACTTTATCAAATCCTTTTACACCACCATTAAAATGATGACAACCACGATTTTTGCTTAATTCGTTCATATCACCTTTTTCATTTTTAAAAACACCATAACTTATGTAATCTGTCACTCTGCCTAATGTACTACCAATTGAGTATAAGTTATTGAACTTATAGTCTGTAAAACACATACATATAATGGGAAACTAAGTTTAATATGCGTAAAATATAGTAATGTTATGTAAAGTTATAGTATATGTATAAATATAATGTGTAGATACAATATACTGACCATCAATTGAGTCAAAACCAAGTAATACATCTTCTAGTTCTCCCTGTGCATTAGGCACCCAACATGAAACAACTGTAGCACCATAATTAATAATTTCAACAAAAAGATTTTGTCTATTTACTAAAGTGTACTTGGTTACTTTGACTTTCTGACCATTTTCATCCTTTATAAACAATTAAAATAAAACTATAAAAAAAATAAAAAAATTGGGGAATACATAAAGTTTTTAATTTATATACGTACGTAAAAATAAATCATTAAAAACGAAAAACGATTCTGAGCGAAGTTCAATTAAGCATATTCTAAATTGTCGTAATTTCGATTATCGTGAAATGTATAAAAAAAAAGCTATCATAAGATAATGGGAACAGGTACTACCAATGATATAATTAGCATGTATTTGTACGATTAGTCCCACAACTGCATCGTCATTCGTTCGTTCACAAAATCCATGGACACATGTCTACAGCCCTACCACCTAGTTTTTGATTACGATTAAAAGCCGATTTTCTTCACATTTCACCCGACTATAGAGTAACGACGATCAAAATAAAATAATATGAATTAATCAACAATTTTATATCATGTCGCCATCTATTGAGAGTTATATTATTTTCCGCCAAAAAACCAACCAGTGAGCAATCTATAGTATTTATATTTAATACTAATACCTACATTTCTTAAATTTTCTTGTTTTTCCTCCATTTATTTTTTCTTTTTACATTTATTGAGAAAACACCAAGGAATATCGAAAAATCACCTCTCTAAAGTACCTCTCCAGTCAGATTTTCTTTTAGAAAAAGTGATATCATTAATGTAAATCAGAGCAAAATTGCTATTAAAAAAGTTGTCCACAAAAAAAATATCGTAATATTTTACTAATATATTTCGTATATTTTCCTGTTTTTTTTTTTTCACTTTTTCTGAGTTATTGGGAAAACTGCTGGAAAAATCAAAAAATGGCCTCCCTAAAAGACCACTCTAAGAAAATGTCCTTTCAAAAACATCTATAAAAAAAAAAAAACGAACATCTTTGTAAAACTATTACATTCTTCGCTACACTCTGAATCAAAAAATTATTAAGTACTAAATGAAGTTCATCTTTTTTTTTTAATTTATTGAAACATGTAATCAACTCTGTAATAAATATATTGAGATATATATATATATATTTTCAATCCTCATCCATGTGAGTAATAAAGAAAAAATATAATGATATTTTTTTAATTATCTCCAGAGATACTCAAGAAGTTTATCTTCGTGAATGTATTTTCTCGTTATACCTATGTATTTTCTATTTTTTCTGATTATTAGGAAAATTATAAAATAGTTTCTTTAATGCACAAATTAGATCCAAACTGCAACAAAATATGTCTCTAGACATTTTTTGATTATATTGCAAGATATCTGGTAAAAAGTTGTACATAAACAGAAAAAGAAAAAGAAACTACACATCTTAGTAAAACCATTACGGAACCTTTAACTCAGAATCTAAGAATTACCTTTATATTTCCATACTCTTCAGTGATAACGTATGTTTTCTGCTGGGATTCTATTTCACAAATTCCATCATTCAATTTATTATCATTACTTGATTCTAATGAAATAGTCGCCAAAGAGTGTTCTAAAGATTTTTCAGCAGAATAACTCATGTTTGTATTGAATATATTTTAATTGAGTTAATTATGTACATAATAACATAGTGTAGCTACGAAATAAAAATTATTATTTATACAAATTTAGTCATTAATATTTTAACTTTTGAGGCCAATTAAAAAATATTTTTAGTAAATTTATCAGTGTAAATTATTTCTAAAATAGTTATTCATATATCTTATTTTTTAAATAAAAAGTTTTATTCACTGTCAAATCTGTGCAATCAATTTCTGTAATACCTTCAAATTCATCACCACTATCTATTTTTAAAATTTTGAACTCAGCGTATTAGTTTTACTACTTGTATGTTTTTATCAATTTTTTCCGGATAATAGAGATTCTAGTCTATTATTTATGTTAGGTAAAAGTACAAATTATGCTGGTAAAACTTAGGATTTACCGGTAAATCCTAGATTTTACTGACTGCTGTATGCAACTATCCTAATTTCAAATTTTGAATGTCCGAACATTACCAATTGATTTTGGTAAAACCTAGGACATACAAACAGTTTAGTCAAACTCCAAATGATTTTTAAAGTTTGAGCTTTTACAAACGGGATTTAGTAAATGTTAGAATAAATAACTAATATGGTAATTAGGTGACATTTGTGCATTATTAACACGCCACGTGCAATACCGCCACACAAATGATATACTCCACTAGTCTCCCACAACCCAAACTTAAAAGTGGAATATCTCGTCAATGGCTTGACAGAAATCAAATATTTCAGTTTAGTATCCTTTAGTTTCAGTATCCTATCTTCCCAACTTCCCACCTATAACAATGGCTGCACCCACGTGCGAAGTATGTCCGTCCTTTTTTTTTATATTAACATAAAGCATATTTGTCTAAATTATTATATTTTTAAGATATAACGTCTAATAAGATATAACTCAACACTTCCATCACAATTTTGGCTTACAGGGAGTGTTATTTATTACTACTCTGAGAAATTCATTACCCTTTCCTACTTTTCCGGTCTAAATTTTTAACTTTTATAATTCATATAAAACAGTAGAAACCTTACTGTTACTACATATATGAACATTTTTTAAAAAATATTATCTATTTGCTGTCTGCGTTTAAAATTAGAAGGTTCCTATATGAATTCCTATATGAATTCATAATGAACTCCTATATGAAGTGTGATGTATGACTACTCATTTCAGATAAATATTAACGATTCTTTAATGATTGAAATAAACAAAATTAAAATTCACTTAAAATCCTACGAGAATATCACTGGTTCGTGATAAATAGAGCACTGTGTATAATACACAATTTCGTAGTGAAATGTCTCGCAGTGAATCGGAACAGCGGTGAGTTGGACTCGGCAAGTCGGTATAGCAGTAAGTTGGTCATAGAGAGTGGCGGCGTGCGATGATGAAACATTCTAATAACGAGACGGGTGGATCCGTCTTCTTCACTCTAAATTCTAAGTCTAATCTTGCTCAAACGGGATAGGAACTGTCAAAATTATGAAATCATTTACGGGATTCAGTATTCAGTGAATAGATTTTTATAATTTAAATAATATTTCAAAACAGGTACATGGTTATTCCTAAAAAATAAACTCATAAACATACGAGTAATATAGGTACTATATGAAATCAATAAATAAATATTATGCTTATGTTTAAAAATAATAATATAATAGTGCCTACAAAATTTAAATTGCTCAATATATGCCCCCAGGCATTATATAATATAATACGTGTTTAATATTTAATGTTTAATTTTATTATACTTATTCATATTTTACATTTCTGTTTAGGTTGTTCTGTGGGCCAATGTACCAAAAATTGCACAACAGGACTGCATCCAATATAGTTTGAATGCAAATAACCACGAGTAGTTGGACGAAAAAAGAACAATTTTGAAACAAAATTTTGAAATACGCGGTCGAAGATATTATAAATCTCGATAACGTGAATTATCTGTACGGAAATTGGTAGTGCTCTCAGAAAATCTATCACAACCAGGTAATATTGTACTACGTCAGAAAAGAAAAATTGCAGAAGAAAATAATCAAGGAAAGGATATAAATAATAAAATATTATTATAGTTATACGGTAAAGAAAAATTTTAATTATTTAATATAACAATATCAATATATTGTAAATTCAAGTAAAATTATTAAAGAGAAGATTGATTCCGGATGAAATATTAATTTATATTACATTACAACGTCAAAACAGAAAACTACCACTTTAATATTATATAAAATCGTTATAAAAAAATTACCTAAGAATAGTAATATTTAAAAATGCACCTCCTAATGTACTTGGCTAAACTCAACATATGATTGTAGCTTTATTAACTTTATTTCTGATAACGTTTGCACAAATTTATGTAAAGCATAAGGTTCACACTTTCTTAATTTGTATGAATATTTTATTTTTTTATTTTGATTAATATTATTGCCCCTATGTAAAAATACTAATTGACAGTGCGTTATGCGTTATGACAGACTTTATGCGTTTTTTTCCAAATGTTGGGCATAAGTCTGAAACACTTGAAACGGCTGTACTGTTTTTTAACTAAAAAATAATATTATAATATGATATATATTATAATATTGACATAAACAATTGTTAGGGCCAGTCGTATGACAACATCGCCAATATATCTGGAATTTACTCGAGTTTACAGGTAAGGATAGTAAAAAAAAACCCCTTACACGTATTACGTAACATGTGCTGCTCACTCGCTAAACTTAGTTGGGACTTGTGTAACTGAATGCCTGAAAGAACGGTTATCGTTTTTGAAAACTATTCAACATCTTTATTCTTTTTTTTCTGCATCTACTTGACGATGTGATATTTTATAGTCCAGACTAACGCTCAGCAAAAAAGTTGTCAAAAGAGCAGATGGAACTAGGTGGTCTGCTCGGCATGAAGCTTGTGCCTATATTAAAACTATAACGGTGTTATGAGAAGTTTAAGTTTATTAGAAGTAGATGATTTTGAAAATACGACGACGTGTTGTGAAGCAGCTGGCTATAGACGTCAACTTGACCGTTTTGAAACAGTTTTTATAACTGTATTTTGGAATGCAATTTTGGAGCGTTTTAATAGCACAAGTAAAGCGCTTCAAAAAGTAAACACAGATTTGGAAAAAGTAGTCGAATTCTATACATTTTTACTTAACTTCATAACTTCTATTCGAAATGATAAATGTTTTAATGAATATGTCATTTTGGCAAAAATAAAATAGAGTGAAGAGTACGAGTTTGATAAAGTAAGGACTAAAAAACACAAACTTTAAGCAGGCGAGACAAGATAAAATAAAGTCCATACGACTGGAAGTGATAAGTTAAGAATAGAAACATATTTTACCATACTGGTGAAGAGTGAAATTGAAAAGAGATGCGCTGCTTATATTAACACATTTAACAAATATGACTTTTTGACTAATTTAATACTACTTTCACCTGAAGAAATAACTCAAAAAGATAATAAGCTTCAAGAATTTTATAACGATGATTTAGAAAAATCATTCGCTTGTGAATGTGTTAATTTTCGAGCATATCTTCAAAGTATAAATAAAAATATTGATGGAGTTATCGAGTTATTAATACTCTTATGTGATAATAATTTAGATACAGTTTTTCCTAACGTAGATATTGCTTTACGTATACTTTTATATATGGTAATAACTAACTGTTCAGCCGAGAGGTCTTTTTCTACGTTAAAACGCGTAAAAAATTATTTGAGAGTAAGTATAGAAGGGGATAAACTAAATTTACTGAGTTTATTAGCAATTGAAACTGAACTAGTGAACAAAATGGACTTCGATGCCATAATAGATGATATTTTTAACCCCCAAAACACACAGAAAGCCGATGAGTACTAGGAACTAACTATTTAATTTTGAATATAATTTAAAAATGAACTATTTAAGCATTTTTTATTACCATATTTTTTATCATTATATTTTATATTTTTTATAATTAAGTTTTCCATATGAATGTATGTATGCATTTTTATAACAACTGTATATTTTTATTTTACATCATTAAAGTTTTAATTAATGAAGGAAACAACTATAATTTTATGCTTTAATAACATTTTTTAGACTAGACAAATATTTATATTAAAAGGCGGCAACTTGTTTAGTGTTTGAAGTGGCACAATGGTTAAATCCGGCACTGGCTAGTATATAGTATAATATAATAGATATAAAAACGAATGTATATCTGTTTTTCCTTCATGAATTACCACAACATTCATCCAATCACCATGGAACTATGGGATATGGATCCACGTTGTCTGGAGAAGGTTTACATTGCTATTGAAATCCACCCGCTAGGTATTTAAAACCACTCTCTAAAATTTGGTTTTTAGAAATTTTCAGTAAACGAATTTAATTATTTTTGTTGATAACACGGATGAATAAAAAAACATTATTATTAATTTTTGTGATGTATCCCTTGTGTTGTGCGGGTATCTATGGTAATGTCATATAATGATAATTTATCTAATAACTTTATTTAAGACATTTTTATTGACTTATTGCACTGAACATTGGTGTTGTTGAGAAGTTGGGAGGATAAGATTTTGAGGGAAATTGAATGTAGTTTTGTATACAATGATTGATTATTGCTAACGAAGTACGATTCTGAGTGGAGTTTGGTTGCTAAAATATTTACGATTTTCATCAAAAATTGATTTTAAAATTCTTATAAAAAAAAAAAATACTACATTGAACTCAACATTTTCTTATTGACCACTAAGTACAACCTCTAATAAACCTTCTGTTACACTTTCAAGTACTTCTGTAAGGTCTTAACATTTTATCCCCTAAGTACCTACCAAATAAATATAACTTAAACAATTCGCATAGTTAAAATGTCTGCAAGTAGCTCAAATATAAAAAAATACAAAAAAACTGGGCAACTTTGCACGTGGGTGCAGTCACTGTTGTAGGTTAAAAGTTGGAAAGGTAAAAGAAGGGAATTTAATTTTCCTGGTTTTTCTATGTTTTTTCTCGATTTTTCGCATTTGTTGGGAAAACTCTTATGAAAATCGAAAAAATGACTTCTTTAAAGTACCTTCCCAGTCAAATTTACTTTCAGAAAACGTGCTATTATTGTAAATCGAAACAAAATTACTGATAGTGTGCCTGGATAACAAGTGCTCTGTTGTCATATTTATTTTTTAACTGTTCAATCACCGCTATGTAGTTGTCAGTTATGGGAATAGATTTAACTAAATCTAGTGTGCAACAGGTAAACGCACACGAATCGCTGTACTACTACGTTGAATTTAATTACCAGCATATATATATATATATATATAGACGATTATCGCTCATTGGACTCTCCGAGCTTTTAGAAACTTCCAGATGAACGATAAACGCCTACAATTTAAAAACGTGGGAAAATTGCAAAAAATTGCTTTTTAAAATTAAATAGGCAGAATATTTTTAGTATATATCAACTATATATTTAATCAGATCTGATTTATCTTTATTGCCAAGAAAATTACAATATCAATTAAATCCGATCTTTAATTATTAGGTACCTCTACCTAACATTATACCAATTATTAATTATTAATTAAAATTTTAAAAAAAGAAAAAATTAACTATCAAAATTAAGCATTTTATTTTAAATATTCAAGTACCTACTCCTTTGTCAGAGCATTAAGAGTACCTAATTCCATTAAAAAATCATATTCTAAGATGTTGTAGTGAATCCTTAAACAATATTTCTCCAAATACACGATCAGCAACTTCTATTCCACCATCTAAAAATATTGCTCCCATTAAAGATTCAAATCAATTAGCCACTGCATGTTTAAATTCAAAATTTTGGCATAACATATGTACCATGAGCATATAACATAAAATCATCCAATTTTAATTTTTTTCCCAAAACAGTGACATGTTGGTTTTGCACAATGGCATCTTGAAATGTTGCTAGTCCAACTTCTTCAATATCAGGAAATATATAACACAAATGTATAAAAGACACAAACTCAACATCAGCATCTCCTCAAAAATTCCAAACGTTCATTATGCATAATATAGCATTACAGTTAATAATATCAGACTATTTATATAATTATTTTCCAGAACATCATGAGATTCATTTGTGACTACTTCGTAGTTCTTTGGTAAATAATCAAAATCATTTTGTTGTGTGCAATGATCTGGGCATGGTAAATTATGTATTATTTGCAAAACCAAAACCAAAATTAAAAACAAAAGATAGAGCTAATCTTGAAGCATTTCTTGGTACTTTATATACAGACAAAGATCTGAAACAATATCAAGCTGTAATATTTATTTCCTTGGCTGCATGATTTTATTTTTAAACAAAATTAAAATGACTCCAAATCAATGTATGTAGCTAATAGTGCCTTAGAGGTATCTAAAGATTTATTCCCATAACTGGGTAACCAAAGAAAAGCTATATCAAGAAGTTTGCTTTGTCAATGGACAAATGGCAATACAAATTTTTTTTACATTATAAAATTATTAGAATCACATCCATCCAAAAATGATTCACATCTGAGTGAATCAGAAAATAAGAAAAAGAAAATACACAAACAGTTCATGTTCAGCAGACGATCGTTCAACACGTGTGCTTATCGCATCATACGTTTTATAGCTCTTCGATAGCATAGTAATCACGTCAACATTAGGAAAGGTAATATGTTTTATTAATATATCGCCCTCCACCTCATATCCATGAGCTATGAACAGAAACCTAGCGGGCGTTTCGCCCAAAAATCCCACACCCAGTTGCCCAAATACATCTTCTATCGATTATTCTTACTCTACACTCAAAACCAAAAACGTTTCCCCATCAACCACTACTTCAACACCATCTTATAAATCACCATATAAGGCCAAGTCATTTCTTCAATCAAACAAAAACACATTAATAACGGGCAATGACCATTACATCCGCGGCCCCTCCTTCTCTACGATTAATCATACACCACGCAGCACAACCAAGACTTCCCTTCCATCCTCCACCCAAACTGTACCGAACAGCGATAACAAGCTCAACACAAACGGTATCTCTCCATACACAGATATAAATACATTCACTAATGACCAACCGATTAACGGCTTTATCTTATACGACAAATAATAATATAAACTTCACGTCTGCTGTCGCCATGGAAAAGACGCCTAGCCGCGAACAAGCCTTAGTTTTTAACTCGATTGATGGTATACTACAAAAAAGAGTATATTTTAGAAATAGGAAAAATCGTCTCTCCAAAAAATATAATTTTCATTTCTAGGATTTCGAACAACCGTTTCTGCGTCTTCTTATCCAGCAAACAAATACTCGACAATTTAATACAAATAACTCAGTCAATAAATATCAATGATCATACTATACCAATTTGCAGATTGTTAAACCCAGCTAAAAGATTCATCATATCAAATGTATGCCCATCGATACCAAATCAAGCAATCATAGACGCCCTTAAAAATATAGACATATTGCCCATATCACAAATTAATCACCTCAAAGCCGGAATCAATATTGAAGAGTACGAACACATAATGAATTTCCGAAGACAATTATTCCTCAAACATAAAGACATTCCAAAATTACCAAATTCGTTAATAATTACAATAAATTAATCCCAGTTTAGATAAATTAACCTGCTTTTTATGCAAAGCCACTGACCACACTTCAAACAGTTGCAAAAATAACACAGATGACAAACCAATAAAAATACTATTGCCCAATTTAGTCAAATCAAACCAACTCGTTGATACCAATGTAGACCATTCAGAATCAATTGAAAGTGTTCTCCCTCCCATAAGCTCATCTCTCGATACATCACTTGAAAAAACCGAAACGGATTGGAATGAAGACATCGAAACCAAATTTTTTCTTTCTACTCTAAATTTTCTCAATGAAACACAGTCACGTATTCTAAATGAAACACATAAAAGACCGATGTCTGTTTCATTCATCGTCGTCTAAACCTCCGGACTCCCCAAATATTCTACTTTCATCTACCACCAATACTAAAAATGAAACAACTTCCAAGAAACCTAAAATACAATCTAGATCCAATCCACCTAATAGTCTAGATACAAACTTGGACGATAATCTAAAACCAATCATTGAATACTTCAATACAAATGACTCCTCACCAATCACATATATACAATTTAAATACATTCTGGACAACTTCAACAATAATGCAATAAATATTCACACACTAATTGAAAACACAAACACTAGTTTATCAACGGTAATGGACATAATTGACAAAATTAAACCAAAAATAAAAGCCAGACCACTGAAAACACGTCTAACAAAGCTTTCAAATCTGCTTTTCAAATCCCAACCTCCCCAATAATGTTCAATCCAATCAAAACATACCTAAATTTAACAAAACAAAAATCACACAAACTTTTATTTACCTTTATTACTGCTCACTATGGATAACATTATTCAATGGAATATAAATGGCTTACTCAAACACAATACCAACATTCACCGATTAAAAGTTCTCTTTCAACCAATCAACTTTTGTTTCCAAGAAACAAATTTAAGACCAAACACTACTTTTCCCATAAAAGATATAACGGTTTTTTCAAAAATCGTCATACACAACTTCGCGCAAGCGGTGGAGTTGCTATTTTTGTCAGCAATTTAATTGATAGCACAGAAATACATATCCAATCTCCACTGGAAGTTATTACCGTCTCTTTACACCTCAAAACCCCCTTATGTATTTGTAACATTTATTTGCCAGATAGCACTAATCTATTACTTAATGAACTAAATGATATAATCAAGCAATTGCCAAAACCTTTTCTCTTTCTTGGCGACTTTAATAGCCGAAATCATATCTGGGGATCTAACCACACCGATCCCAGAGGTAAAACTATTGAAAAATTCTTAGAAAATGATCAGATAACATTACTTAACACCGGGGAATACACACGTCACAATGCAGCCCACAACTCTTTCTCGGCCATCGATCTTACAATAGCAAACAGCGCTTTTACGTCCAAAACCGAATGGAAAGTTCTCACTGAATACAGCACCAGTGACCATTGGCCAATTCACTTAAAAATTCTCAACGAAGCACCCAAAATCCACCTACCCTCCCGTTGGCGCCTCAAAAACCCAAATTGGAATTTATACAGTGATATCATAGCTCAAAACCTTAACGAAAAACCTATTAATCTCGATCTCATTACTAACCAAATTCAAATTAATTCGACTATTAATACCTTTTGCAACATTATATTAGAAACCGCTGACAAGACAATTGGCAAGTCAAATTCACATCTGAAGAGAAAAACAGTTCCCTGGTGGAATAAAGATTGCAACAATGCAATTAAGGCATATAAAAAATCCTTAAACAAATTCAAAAAAACTAAACTAATCACAGATCATATAAACTTAAAAAAAATCTCGAACTCAAGCAAGATTTATTACAAAAAAAAGCAAAACTGAATCTTGGAAAAAATATACCAGTTCTATAAACCCTAACACTCATCCAACGGAAATGTGGAACAAAATTAAATCCATTAAGGGCATAAACCACCAACCACTTCCTCCTAATCTAATTTCCAATAATAACACTCTTACACTTCCTGCAGATATAGCTGAAGCTTTCGTACAACATTTCAAAAAAAATAGCGACGACTCAAATTACGACCTAGATTTTTTAAACTTCAAAAATACCGTCGCAGACAATCTCAAAAATGAACTAGAAACTAATTTCCTCCATAACGACAACCATCTTAATATACCTTTCAGTCGTAATGAACTCAATAATGCCTTAGCTGGATGCAAAAGTAAAAGCCCCGGTCCTGACAGGATACCTTTTTTTTTTATTCAAAACTTTCCCGCAATAGGCCATGACCTTCTCCTCCAAATATTTAATATTATTTGGAACAAAGGTATATACCCGAATCAATGGCACAATGCTATCATAATACCAATACCTAAACNTGGTGCTGGTGATGATGAATATTCTGGAACGGGAGATTCTGGTACTGGGACTTCTGATACCGAGGGAGATGGATATTCTGATACCGAGGGAGATGGATATTCTGATGCTGGGGAAGATGGATATTCTGATGCTGGGGAAGATGGATATTCTGGTTGAGGGGGTGCACTGCTCGATTCTTCCGGCTGAGGAGTTATTACTCCGGATGCTTCTGATGGTAATTCGGGTATATCAGTCGTTGGACTTGGTACCGGTTACGGTGGATATAATGGCTGTTGTGGGTATGGTAAAGGTTGAGGATAAGGAGATGGTGTAGGATATGGTGACGGTTGAGGATACGGCGATGGCTGTGTGTATGAAGGAGGTGGATAGGATGGCGGTGGGTATGAGGATGATGGGCAAGATGGCGGTGGGTAAGACGGAGGTGAGTATGGTGATGGGTATTGTTGGAGAGGATACGACGGATATGGGTATGATGGCGGAGGGTAATATCCGTTAGCCGGGACTTGAATCCATACACTTGATGGAGGCTGTCCAGAAGATTGTGACCCCGCGGGTGGTGAGATTTGTTGGCCATTTACAACTGCGATTTGCCATTGTTGGATTTGTTGACGCATATATTCTTCAAACTCGCTTCTATATTTACCGTCAACCGGTTTCGGCGATTCTGAAAAAAAATTAAATATATATTTAATGCATGTATAATAAATGCAAACAGTTCGTGTTCAGCAGCCGACCGTGCAACACGTGTGCTTATCGTATTATACGTTTTATAGCTCTTCGATAGCATATTAATCACGTCAACATTAGGAAAGGTAATATGTTTTATTAATATATCGCCCTCCACCTCATATTCACGCTATGAATAGAAACCTAGCAGGCGTTTCGCCCAAAAATTCCACACCTAGTTGCCCAAATACATCTACTATCGATTATTCTTACTCTACACTCAAAACCAAAAACGTTTCTCCATCAACCACTACTTCAACACCATCTTATAAATCACCATATAAGGCCAAGTCATTTCTTCAATCAAACAAAAACGCATTAATAGCGGACAATGACCGTTACACCCGTGGCCCCTCCTCCTCTACGATTAATCATACTCCACGCAGCACAACCAAGACTTCCCTTCCATCCTCCACCCAAACTGTACCGAACAGCGATAATAACAAGCTCAACACAAACGCTATCTGTCCATACACAGATATAAATACATTCACTAATGACCAACCGATTAACGATTTATCTTATACGACGAATAATAATATAAACTTCGCGTCTGCTGTCGCCATGTAAAAGACGCCTAGCCGCGAACAAGGCTTAGTTTTTAACTCGATTGATGGTATACTACAAAAAGAGTATATGTTAGCAATAGAAAAAATCGTCTCTCCAAAAAATAAAATTTTCATTTCTAGGATTTCGAACAAATCCCTTTCAGTCGTAATGAACTCAATAATGCATTAGCTGGATGCAAAAGTAAAAGCCCCGGTCCTGACGGGATACCTTTTTCTTTTATTCAAAACCTTCCTGCAATAGGCCATGACCTTCTCCTCCAAATATTTAATATTATTTGGGACAAAGGTATATACCCAAATCAATGGCACAATGCTATCATAATACCAATACCTAAACCAAATAAAAACAAATTCAATATTACCNACTTATTAACACGCTAGCAAAAACCATGGAAAAAATGGTCAATAAACGACTCATCTGGCACCTTGAATCATCCAACATAATAACTAAGGAACAATGCGGTTTCCGCAAAAACCACTCGACTATCGACATACTCTCCACCCTCCATACTGATATCTGTAATGCGAGAAATCAAAAACAACATGTTATACTAATATCTTTTGACTTAGAAAAAGCTTACGATATGGTATGGTGTAATAGAGTCCTCAAAATCATACAAACAAACGGCATAAATGGCAAAATGTTTCTCTTCTTACAAAATTTCCTAAAAAATCGCAAAATTCAAGTCAGAGCTCACGCAGAACTATTAAAAATCCACCAAACAGAAAACGGCCTCCCACAAGGATCTGTTATTAGAGTGACAATGTTTTTATTAACCATCAACGACATTTTCAAAAACATTCCTAAACCCACTAAACACTTATTATTCGCTGACGACTGCCACATCTACTGCAGTAGACAAAATATCAAAACAACTGCAGAAATACTACAAAATTCTCTAGATATACTCCATGATTGGTCTCTTAAAACTGGCTTCAAATTCTCTGCAGGAAAAAGCCAATGCATTACCTTCCACAATAGACCTAATCCTAACATTCTATTATATCTCAAAAGTTTTCTGATACCCCTCGGGAAACACTCTGCATACTTGGAATGATATTTGATAGCAAACTTAAATGGACTCCTCACATAAAAAAACTTAAAAGTACCTGCAAAATCAGAATGAACATCATAAAGACACTCTCCCATCACACATGGGGAGCCAACACGAAATTATTAAACATTGTCTATAAATCTCTTATACTATCACAAATACAATATGGTTCACAAATTTATATTACAGCCAAAGAAAATCTCTTAAAAATATTAGATCCAATCCACTGACAGCATATTATGCCTCACTGGAGAACCACCGCTCAATTTACTCGGGGAAAAAAATCTCCTAATCTATGGAATAAAAAGGAAAAGCACTCCAAATCACAAAGGGTACAATAATTTTTTCAATAACAAAATCACAAATAGAACGATCCCAATAAAAAACCCCGTACAATCCATCCATAACATTTTCTTCCAACTGATTAATAAACTCAACATACACACATCCGTAAAAAACAAAATTACATATCCAATCCATCCCCCTTGGCTTTGGCAAATCAAAATCAATACTGATTTTCTGCATCAAAGCAAACACGACACAAACCCCAATATTATTACCTCAAAATTTCATGAAATTATCCAAGACAAATACCATTTCTTCACCAAAATATANCAAACTTCCGCTCGAAACTTGTATATTCTCAGCAGAAACCCGAGCTATCTATGAAGCAATTTTATCGGCCAAGACGACCGCATAAAACGATATCCTAATTTTAAGCGACTCACTCAGTTCCCTACTAGCCCTACAAAACCCCCTACCTGCAAATGTGTTTACTCAAAATAACCAGAAATTATTAAAATCGACTTCAAATATCGAACTTATGTGGGTTCCATCCCACACAGGCATAACTGGCAACGAAATTGCTGACAAGGCAGCTAACCTTGCAATCAGAATCATCCCACACCCTACAATCTCAGACTTACGGACAAATGACATCAAATCATCCATTAAACATAAAATCTACTCTAGTTGGCAAAATCATTGGGATACTATCCCCCTCTCCAATAAACTTAAACCAATAAAGAAAGATACATAAAAATGGATTCCACCTGACCACTTCAACAGACGACAGGAAGTCGTCATCACAAGATGCAAAATCGAACACTCTTTTCTAACCCACTCTCATCTGATTAGCAAAGACCCTCCACCCACTTGTAATGAATGCCACATAGACCTTACAGTTCAACACATCATCCAAGACTACACAAAGTACTAGGTCATAAGAAATCAACTTAAAATACCACCGAATATGGAAGAAGCGCTTGATAAAAAGAATGTACATAAAAGAATATAATGAATTCTTAACCAAAACACAACTTATAAGCAAATTTTAACACTGTAATAATCTACACGTAGCCAATAAGTTTTTTTTTTTTTAATTGTACAGGCTAATGACCTTTGATGTTGAAGCCTTATTATGTAATAAAAAAAAAAAAATACACAAAAAACTATTAGCAATATTATGTTCTGGCCAGATTTATAATGAAGAAGATACAGAAGATGAAGATGAAGATAAAAAAAACATTACAGAAAGAAGAACCAGAAAAAGAAAAATTTAATGAGAGTACCAAAAAGAAATAAATTATAAGATAAATTAATTTTTTGTTTTAAAATAAAATATGTACCATATTTTAAAACTAAACAAAGCTTGATTAATTTTATCAATTTTAATCATAACTTTTTTTCAGAATACCTTTTATTTTTTTATTATTTAATAATAATTTTTAATATGGTTAATGTTTTAAGTACAGTTGTATAATATAAAATCTCATTTAATTAAAATGTATTTAAAATTCTCTAACTTAATTTTATTTGAAGAGTACCTTATTTAGATTATGATTAAACTTGTTGCTTTTTTAAAATCATATCTATTAATAAAAGATGTAATATTTTAAACTGTAAATTTGTGTATAAATTATTACATAATATAGTCAATTTTACTGAAATCTTTGAGCAATTAAATTTTAGAATTAATGAATATTGTTCAATAAATAAGTCACTATTTTACCATTCAAGCTACACAAAATGTATATTATTCACCTCGGAAATCCAATCTACACAATGTAGACTTATTTAATACAGCCTCATTTAATTTGTCAAATATTTTTCCCAGCCAATTCTATCTTTACAATATTAATTCTTTCTTAGTTTAACCTTTATTAATTAATCATTAATTAATTATAGTTCAGATATTCTGTATGTATACCTTTTATTCTGTCTAATTATTATTATGAAAGATGTAATTATTTTTCTCCAATAATAAAATATTATTGTTATTATATAATATACCTATAATCTATGCCAAAACTGCCCAAATGTATTTGTATAGACTTTCAGAGCTAATTCTACCCTGAATATATATGGTCATACATGGCATTAGGAGTAAAAGTAGTATAGAAGTAATAAATCTATATACATTTAATATTTAGATAATATTGTAGTGATTATACTATAATTTTATTTTCATCACTGTCATTTCAAATCTGAAACACCAAGAGTGTTATATATCCTGTATATCCTTATATCCTATTTTGTGTTAATGTGTGCATGAATTATTAATGTCTTACAATAACTTATGTAATTTATGATTATCTACATTTACAATGATTTCTTATGGGACAGACTGGATGTATTCATTTGAATGAAATTTCTAAATGGTGCAGATGAAGATTTCAACTATTCCACATACCCTTATATCTTCTCTAATAACCATTAATTTTGTATTTCTTATAAGTAATTTATTTTTATTTTAAATAAATACAAACTATGTTGTGAATCACAATAATCAATAAATATAATACATTTCTATTACAGTAAGTAAATCTGAGACTAGGGCTAGATTAAACCTGTTTATTATAGAATTTGTCACAAAAACAATAACACAGTTTTATTAAACATCTAATAATAATTATGATTTATTCTATAGGTGCATTAGGTACAAGAAACCGAATAAACATCATTTAATTGAGGTCATAAAAAAAAGAAACTCTTTGGGAAAAAAATTAAATTAAAATAAGTACCCTTACAAAGATACCAAAACTGAATAAGCTATTTGTATATCACTAATTTCATCAGATTAGAAATATAATCTTAGTTTTAAATAAATTACCATTATTTTCATTCTTCAATAGTATTTTTAATATCTACTTTATTAAATGTATTACTTAATTCATAGTTATTGCATTTTTAATTGTGCCACCTCTATTGAATGATCTTGCACTGCGATAATTTTTATTATTGCCACCACCTTTTCCATGATGTCCTAAAATAAAAAATAAAACACTCATATACTTATTTAAGTAATTACCTAACATACTTAATTAGGTTAACTTTTTTTAAATGTAGTCATAGCAATAATAATATAAAACATTGTAGTCAATTTTAATACACAATACATATTATTAAATATAAAAATTACTATACCTTGGTTGGAACTGTAGTTTTTCTGGTCGTCTAATACCATATTAAACACTTCATCTGGGATTTGCATGTATTTAATCTTACAACCCCTAATGAAACACTCTGGAAGCTTTATAAAATTATCTCCATCCTAAAATAAATTTTAGTTTATTAGGTAATTTTGAAAATAATTTCAATATATTTATTTATTTATTTATATGGATTTAAATTTCCAATTATAATAAAATTACAAAAGTGATATAAATAGCAGGTACACAAACTTACAATTGTGATAACATAACATTGGTATAAAATAACATAGAAAAAAAATAATAATACAAATAAATTAGTAGAGAATAGATATATAAAAATATAATTTCATTGATAAGGTTATTACCAGTAGACATTTAAATATTTAAAGGTGAGCAAGGTAAATAATTTTTATTTTAATGCAATATAGAATAGATCTCTGTTATGAGTATTATGAGGGTTGACTTTAAAGTTAATAAAGTTACATATTAAAGAATCGTCAATGTTGTTATTCATTAATTTATAAAGAAAAGAGGCATAGTATTTGTGCTTTCTATCTTTTAAAGACTGCAAATTTAGAAAATTAAATTAATTATATAAGTAATTAAACTTTAGGCAAGTCATTTTTCGATTTTCTAAGGAGATCTTTCATCAAATGCGAAAAAGGGGGGCATGGGAAAACCAGGAAAAACTTAGGAAAACTGAGAAAACTAGAAAAATACTAAACAAATATGACTGAAGAAAATATATAATGCCTATTTAATTATTTTACCATAAAATGACACATATATTGTTGACAAAACATCATTATCAACTGAACTGTGTTTAGAATTGTTTTTAGTAAGCAGTGGTTTAATGTTGCTTCTAGACATAAATTAATTTCTTCTCTATATCTTACATGTCCAACTTCTCTCAACAACAGTTGCTGCACCCAGCCCCATTACCCTAGGAGAGCTTTTTTATATTATACCTCAAAGTAATAATAGTAGTTACCTCTAACTACACAATTGTATGTGTGTAATAGTTAATAATATAATAGGTATTTTTTTTTGTAAAGTTTGATATAAGGCCACCCCTGTTCCTGGGGTACTACCTATCTGTTGTTAAAATTGAATAGATATTTTGAATAAAGGTTTATATTATTTTGTTTAATATATGTATTTTTTTACATTACTTACAGGTACATTAGTCAGTAACCAATGCATTAACTGTATCTAAGTAGTATACATCACTAAGGCTTGTAGCAAGTATTAATAATGAAATCCCTAACTATATAAAATTAAAATAATAGAGTAGAAAATAATTTATGAAATTCGATAGTTTTAAAGTATTTAAGTTTTTTTACATAAATAAAGTGAAAATACATTTAAAAAAAAATCAAATAATTAATCAAATTGATTTTAATAATTAATTCAAATAATTTAATCTCTATCATTAACTATCTGTATAAGAATTTGTGTTATATTATAATATAATACATACTGCAGATGTGCAAACCACTTCTTTCAATTTGATATTCATCCAACTATCACATGCAACCAAAATGCCATTGTAGGTTTCACCATTTTTTAATTCCAATAACTATAAAAAATTTGTAGTCTTAATATTATATTAATTATAGATGTACACAAATAGATTATAATATAGATAAAAATAGATTATAATTTAAAATATCACCTTATGCCTGATTGTCTAATTTTGTGGTTCACACACTTAGATTTATTTCTAAATAATATTTTATTATTGGTATAGTAATAATAAAAAAAAAAATAGAAACGTTTCATTAAAAAAAAATTACAACAAACATTTTTGTTTTAAAAAAAGTGCTATTAAAAACAAAATTTATTTTTACAGAAATATTTTAAATTAATACTGATTGTTACAAAAACCTTATCTTCCTTATTATAACTTGGAAGTAAAATATTTTATAACTATAAGTTTTTTTTATTAGTTAAGGATAAATCATTATTTCTGGAAACTATTAGATTTTCCCAATAATTATAAATAACACTACAAGAAAAATTAAAAACTACCTTCCATTCTAATTGGATAAAATTTGTTCTACTAATGGTACTACACTTGAAAATTGGAGTAAGATATTTAGGAGAAAAATTGTTCACTAACACAAAGAAATTTAAAAAAAAAATACACATCATTATAAATTTAATAGATACATTTCTTCCTGCCCTCAGAATCTAAAAATCCTTCTTTAACCTAAAATTTACAAATGTAACACATCAATTGGTTTTTATACATGATAAACTTGTAATTATTCTAAATTTTAATTTAAACATATATTATTCTTTTCTGGGAATATATATAAAAAATTGTACAATATATAATTGTATACAAAAAGAAATTAATTTTCTTGACTATTTGTTATAAAATTTTAGCACCGTTGGGGAATATAACACTTATATCCACCAGTAGATCCGACAATGGATCAGAAGTATATTGTTTAAGCATATTATTAAAATAGTTTAAGTAGATATTATGTGTACGTATATTTACCAATGGCAAGCCCTGAACAGCTTTTAACAATCCAAGAGGAAGCTGTAACAAAATATTGTGTAATATTGGATAAAATATTAATATAAAATATAAATGTATGCTTACCATTATGTGAATAATGAAACGCTCAAATCAAATTGAAGTATTTAATATTTTAAATTTAATAGGTAGGTATGTCTAATAGGTACCTTGTGATACTGTAATATTATTTAATCACGGATTTACAATTTTTTCGGAACGCTCAAATGAATAAATGGCAAAATGGTAGCCAGGCATACGAGAGATAAAATAGCCATTTTAACCAGGAAGGTTGGGGAGTTGAAGGAGAAAAATGTTTTAACTTCTTCCATGGATTTTTCGTTTTATGTTATCTCGGGGGAGTAACAAAGATAATAAAGAATGGATAGGCCACAATCACGTTTTAAGATATCGTCGGCTTCGTGGTAAAACCTCTAGTCATTTTTATCAAATTTTACAGAAGAAACAAAAACTGTGGTGGGCTGTGAAACAAGGGGTAAAGCCGATACAGAGGCAATACTGATATTGCTTATAACGAATTATTCTATGGATGAAAATTATCAGTTTTAAATTTATTTCATTCCTTATCATGAAACATGTTGTTATCACTGTTAAAATCAACTGCACCGTTTTTTTTAATTGTTATTCTATAACGAACATTTTGAAAGTAATTATTAATACATATTTTATATTGAAGATTAAACTATGATAGAACTATACTACAACTATCATACATGTCTAATACGAATCTCCAACTTGTAAAGATTGTTTTCCAATCATTAACCTAATATAATATATTAATATTGTATAAGTAATCAACAATTTTGTAAAAATTATGCTTTAGGACAAAACCGATTGTTTATTAGTTTTTATAATGTATACCTAAACGTTGATATCTTTTTATTTTACGTCAGGTTAGGTATTTAATATTTGAATTAAATATTGTAAACAAGAAGTAACTTAATACAACTGTACAAAAAAATTAAATATATATTTTAAGATTTTGCTTAATTATGAAGACATTCATTTTTCCAGTTGTTTTTACACCGTATTCCACCAAATATTTCGCAACTATATTTTATTTTTTTATGTTAATTTATTATTTTGTCAATTTTATTCAATAAGAATAAGCGTAATATTTTAGATTTCGAGCGTAGCAAGGGGCTATTGGTTTTACAATGCTGTTTATTAATTAAATTTTTTTTTTCTATGGACAACTTTTCTAACAGAGGTCTTGTTCCGATTTTCGATGCCATTTTTTAAATAATGCTTGAATACGCATAAGATATAATGGCTTATGTTCGCACATACAGTCGTCCAGATTTTTTTTATAATATTCATGTGCAATCCTATGCAGCATGGTTTTTGAAAAGACACATTGTTAGATATATTCCATTAAATGGCAGAGAAGAGGATAACCACATGCTCACATTTTGATTTGGTTAATCGATAAAATTAATGAAGTCATCCTATCAGAAATACCACGTTGATCCAGACTTATTCGAAATCGTTACCAAAAACATGATTCATTGTTCATGTTTACAGTTTCTGGTGTGACTCACTTTTACAATGACCACTAATAAAGCTAGATTAGGAGAATCCGTGTTTCTCACATGGACAAATGTATGTGGCCAGCTCATGCATTGGAAAACTTTCAAATTTATTTGAGTTCACATCAAATGATAAAACAAAAAAAAATCCTGTATCGACAAGAACTTGAATAAATAAATATAATTTTAGTTTCCTAGAATTTTCTTCAGAGATTATAATACACAAAGATACCTACTGAAACTACTTCTGCAGTCTGTGAGTCTATCATAAGTATAATTAGAGATGCTAGGAGATCTTTAGCACCTACAAATTTAAAATTAGCACCCTCAAAATACTCAATACGTCTTTTTATAGTATTGAATAAATATTTATCTATGTATTTCTTAATTAATAAACATAACAAAATACAAATTACCTACAGTTGGTAATATATGTGTATAAAAAAAAAGGTTTTAAAGTTACGATATATTTTTATATAAAAATTATAAATGAAATATGTAATTACTAATTATAGGTGTAGTGTAAAGGAGGTCTATGATATGTTTATAATTTTAGCACCCACAAAGTTGGTGGTCTAGTTACACCTATAGAGTCTGTCCTGGATTTTTGTTAAACTCAATATTTGCAAGGGAAAAGCTTTGAGAGATAGCTAGTATATTATAAAATACAACAAGAAATTAACAGTTTTAGATTCCAAGTGTTTGGAGAGATGTATTCGTTTTACTATGATATGTATATTTTTTTCTATCTGTAAACAATTTTTCCCTTAGAAATCTTCTCTCTAACAAAACATGACAAGACTTTTTTTGTTGCATTTTAGCTCTAGTTTAAAAAGGTAATTTTTTTTTAAAAAATTCTCTAAAATATTTTGGGAGTTTTTTAAGTGAATTTGATTCCTGTTATGTTTTATCATTGTAGAACAGTTAAGCTTTATTATAAAACAATTTTTAATTTTTTATCCCTAATCTATAGATGTTAAATAAGTATATAGGTACTTTTGATATCTAAATGTGAACCCCCCCCCCCCCGCAGATTGGAATAAAGAATATTTTTCTAAAAATTTTGATATGCATAAGACTAATTATCAAATTTATCATTTAATTATCCTTTTATAGTTTAAACTGGAGAAGTAAGAAAGGGTAATAAATTACATATATATTTTTAAATGGTAAATTGATAACTCTTCCCTACTTCCTTGGTAGGATAATTACTGGTTCATGATAAAAAAAATCACTCTGTGCATGGTACATTAAATTTTTTAGAATAATATCTTTTAAAAAAATGTCTGTTTTAAACATTAAAGAATGAAAATAATATATATTTTTTCTGTATAGTTACATGGAAGAACAGATATAATTTTCTAGTTATTGTATAAATAATATTGAAGAAAAAATATAGATGAATATAAATGGACGATTAGAAAATTATATTAATTAGCTCTTATTAAATAGTATACATTTATCAATAATTACTAGGCCTATCAAAGATGCCACCTGATAAATCCAACCACGGGAAAGATTTTTTGAAGGTGATTATGACTCTTTCCATATTTTCTGTAGTTGTAGCAGGGCCAGCATAAGTTGTGTATGTGTGGCCATCCCTGTAAAAATGTATTAATATACATGTTTGATAATCATATTTTAGACATTGAAAATTATTCAATCCATAGGCCTTATTCTAGGTTTAAGAATAATGAGTATAATAATAAGTAAAACCCAGTCAATTAGACTTACATAATAAGAAAACATTTTTAAATGTTGTAGCTGAGTAATTGGGAAGGTAGAATATAGAGGTGAATTTAATGTATATCTGTAAACTAACATTAATTATTGCAAACGAAAAACAACTTTTAGTAGAGTTTGGTTACACGTGTTTTAAAAGGATATAATATTTTTAATTTTCTGCAAAATTGAATATTAAAAATCTTATATAAAAAAAAATAACTACATTAATAATATAGTTTCTTCAACAATGTATATAATATAATATTATAGTAAAATAAATATTTATTGAAACAATTCATATAGAATAGTAACTAGATTTGTTCCATATAATCTTTTTCTAAAACAATTTTCGTCAAATTTGATATTAAAATTCTTATAAATATAAAATACTACATTAAACTCAATTTTTTTTTTTCCATAAAGTACGATTTTTAATGGACTTCCTGTTATATTTTCAAGTATTTTACCACAGAGTATTTACCATATAAAAATTAAATATAAAGCATGGCATGTACACCTACCATTTTAAAAACTGACAAAAAGATGTCAAAAGTGTTGAACTACAACTTTTTTTACAGCATTCTTTATTTAATACTGGATATAAATCGCTAATGTGTTCTTGTGTGATCTTGTTGTCTGGAAAAATAAAAATAATACTATTAAAAAATAAAAATACATTAAAATTTATTATATAATACAATTAAGTAATGTCAGTAATGTTGATATGGGTGAGGTTAGGTTAGGTAAGTGTCATCTACATATCTGTAATGTTGTTTTATGTTGGGATTTTTTATGTGTTTGTTTTCATAATTTTGCAGGTTTATTTTTGAAAGAGGGTCACTTAATGGACTACCCATAATTTAAACATCTAGTTATGTGTATACTATAATATTGTACATAAAATAGTTTTGGTTAATAATAATTTCAGTTATTGTTATGGTTTCATTAATTTCTTTAGTGTATATTTTATTTAGTTTAAATTATCTTATAAAATTGGTATTGCTTCTAATTTGGGAGTAGAAGTGTATACAATTTTATGTCTTATGAAATCATTTTGCAACATAGTGGTTTATTGTAATCTTTAATATTATTAATGAAGTTATAAGTATTTTTGATAGAATGTAAGTTATTAATAATGTATAATCAATATTATATGTAAACATTTAAACATCATACCCAAATATATTAACATCAAGATCAATAGTTCAACAGAATCAGCAACCAAAACATCACCTTCATATAAACTTGCAAAATATTTAGATAAATATATAAAAACTAACTTAAATATGAATAACCAGTTGTTGTGTGTAAAGGCGGTTTGTTCTCTTTTGGAACAGAGTATATATTAATTTGAGTTAACTTACCAAACATTTGAGTATAATGACACACAATTTTAAACATTTTAATGAAATTTGTTGGTTGACAAATTTTCATTTTCGTCATATCTGAAATGTCATCTGGTGTATCAGCAGATATTGTTGATTTCTGATATCCTAATGGTGATTGCCAGCTATTCTGAGTCATAATGAATAACACAATCAAAACTATAATCACTTTCATTATGATGCTATAATAATGTTTAACCCTGAAATTTTAAATTTATATCAAGTTTTTAATGAGCACTAAATTTAATTTAATAAGGTAAAACATTGGATAAAATTATTTGATGTCCTGCACTAGGTCTGCAGGGTACCCCAGCACTCTTTATTCTAAAGAGTAGGACATAAATTGGGTATCAAGTAGGAAATTGTAAAATCCAGTTGGTTTCACAAATATGTGCCCATATCTTATATAAATAAAAAAAATAAATATATAATTTCTATTAAAGTTGTGATTTTTAAAATCTGTAAAGTTTTTATGCTGCTCATACCATTTTGTATGGTGTATATAAACAGTAGAGAGAAGTTATTGGACTAAGTCCTGTCTAGTGAAAAAACATTATATAAATATTAAAATATTAATTTATCTAATCATAATAGGTACCTACTTAATCTTTTTTAAAATACATAAATGAAATTCATTTTGACATGATAACCATAATATTTTTTATTATTTTTTTTTTTAAATTTAAACAGTTACTAACAAGCTCAAGTTTTCAGGAAAATAAAAACTGTTGAGCATCTAGAAAAATGTTTTAATTAAAGTGCCATTGCTCTAGGTAAAATATCTGCATCTTTAAATTAATGGAGTGTATAATTTAGAGCACTTTTGCTGACAACTGAAAAAGTATTTTCCAAGATAAAAGCAAAGAAAAAGAAAGGAATACTTTTTGTAAATCTCAGAATCTAAAATGGGTATTTAGTCATAAGGAATTGATCACAAATTTGACAGAGGAATTATATAAAATATTGAAATATTTAAATTATTAAAGCTATAACCAGCTATAGTATATTATATTACATACAATATACTATATTCAAACAAAAAGATACCCAGGTGATCCAAAGATGTGAATAAAGAAAGATCTGAGGATATTGAAAGTAAGCAACACAGAAGAAACTGCAAGAGACAGGGAAATATAAAGGCAGTATATTGTTGCAGCAATGGGTCTGAAAGGCCTATAAAATGTTGAAGAACAATAAAAAGAAGTAATTAAAGACATGTGGAGCTGCTGGTTGCATTGACATTTGACACCTTCAAGTTCTTATTAAAATCTACTCCCTACTGCTTGGTAATTGGTTGGATTATATTACCCAACACTTATCACTATGTCCTATTACCACTCACCTCCACACTATACAAGAAGTAAAGATAATACCAGTAAAATTTGCTGAGACAAATAATTCATGGTCAAAAATTGATAATAATAGAAAGTCTAAAGTAAGAGAATGGCCACTGGTGCCATAATTTCTGATTGGTTCTTATTAAGTATCAAGAATGCATATTATTTTCTAAACAATATTATCAATTAGTATTTTAATGTTATTCAGAACGCCAGATTTAGAGTTGTGGGGGGCCAGGACTCATATCAGTAAAAGGCCCTGGCAAATAAAGGTATATATTATAATCTAACTGGTAAGAAAAATAATAGAAACCTGCAAGTTAAATAACAAATTTATTAAACTTATATTATATTACCTACATATCATTATAAAACAACATTGAATATATACCTATACACATATCTTAAATAATATTTTGTATTATATTGATACTTTTTACGAAATTTTGTTGCTGCAAATGTATCTATTATTTGAGAATAATTTAATGATCTAAGTATACTACTTTTAAAACTTAGAACTTATGTATCTGATAGTTGACTTTATGTTATCGAAATTTGTAAACTGTTTTTTTATTAATTTTATTTTTAAAAATGCTTGATCCCCACTACAGTTTGACACCATCAAGACTAAATACATACACACCACTATTTCTTTGTTAAGAAACGAATACAGTTAATTAGTTTCGTCAATAATCCAGTATAAAAACATTTCCCAATGAACATTATGTTTGCACCTCTCTTTATACATTCAGACAAATTAACTAAACTGTATAAATTTACTACTAAGTGAAGATTCTAAATCATTGGTATAACTAATAACAGGATGGTTTGTAGCAGATTATAGCTCAAAAGTTTCTAAATTTTGACATTTATTTTAAAAACCAAACCGGTGACAAAATGTGTCTTAAGCAGCTTCTCTGCAGTATATTTTTAATACTGTAATCTCACCATTGGTAATTCTTGAAGTACCTAATCACTTATGAATGACCTTTTTCGTTGATCAAATTGTTTTTTGAGGCATACATATTTGACATATAATTATTAAAAGTTGATTATAAAATCACTAAGCATGAATTCAAAATTTGCAAATCGATAATTTATGATGTTTAGGCCAGTCTCTAAATACCCTGACAACTTCATCAAAGTTTATTACTGTTCACTACAAACTAGAATATAATTTATGCTGATAACAACATTTGGACACAAATTTAAGTACAAAATATGGCACCATCAAATCCATTGATAAAAAATCCAGTGGCCACTTTCAGAATTTCTGATATAAGCTCTCTTGGTAAGACTAATTAAAGGAAAAGTGGTTTTGCTTAAGTACACAATTGACACAAAAATGGTTGAATTTATCCAAAAAGGTTTGATATAAGTACTAGTTAGACATGTCTATGAAAAAATAATATAAGACTTATCTACCTACCTATTTATAAACTGTAAAAAAAAATTGAAATATATTTCTATGCATAATAATTATAGTTATTGCACAGTACTTCAAATTTTTGTGATTAAACTAGGTACATCTAATAAACTACTGAGCAATTTTAGAATAGGTTTTCGCAAGAGCGAAAAACTGTTGAAAATGTACAGCACATCAATTTGTAATAAAATTGATTTGAAACAGTTACCAAGGCAAAAATTATTATAAATTATTTTCTCTAATGTACCTAATCTTGAAAATTTAAATGTTTATGATTAATTAATAATGTTTAATATTATATAGTATTATTCTGGGTATTATTAGAATTAAAAAAGGTAAATTTTAAAAGTATCCACAATTTGTTTAATATATATAAGTAGGTATACCTAATCTAACCTTTACAATATAAAAATATACAACTAGGCACTGGTTACTATACAAGTAACTTGCACAAAAATACGAGAAATTATAGAAGTAATAATAACGTAGAAAGTACAGCAAAGAAACAAGTACAGGAGACTATAATTTACCAAAAGTTAATGGATGTTTTGATGAAGACAATAGATGAATATTTTGATTACTGGTGCATCACGACGAAAAAGAACCAGATGTGTACGCTTTGAAATTAAAATTATCGTTGGGAAAAAAATGTCAGTAGATACCTATAATGTAATTTTTGTTTTTAAAATAAAACGAGACACTAAGAGACATTCTAATCAACACGAAAAAAAAAACAAATATAATACAACCGTGTGTACACTACTGTATGGTTCCTTGATAGGCACTCTAGTAGTTAATCACTCTAGTAGTGATGAAACTATTGGCAGTTGGTACTATGAGCGTGATAATAATGGGCACCAATAAATAACTATCGAATTATTCGATAGTTCCTCCGAATAAGTTACACGAATAATCGTTATCGATTATTCGAATAATAATAATTCATTACTGAAATACATTAAATTATTCAAATAATTGTTATTCATCCAAATAATCTTATTTGAGCATTGCTACTATAAAAAATACCTACAGTAGAATATTTAGATAATAAATTAATAACATTAACATAGATTGTATATAACAATGAAAAACCCGATTCAGTTCATAGATATTAAAGAATGGATAGGTCATTCCTATAGTTTCAACGTAAGTGGCCATTATAATATTACAGAGAGGCCGTTTTCTCGGAACGTTGAAGCGCAGTGTATATTTCGCAGGCATAAAATATAAATGTGAGTACACGTATTATATGCAACTATAAATATATAAACATTGTTTATATATTTATAGTGATGGGATTTTCAACTCAATACCATGAATCAGTTCACTTGACTAAGTTCAATTTGACTCGGTGAGCCAACCCCTAAGTTGCCAGTTCATTAAATTAAACAATTCTCCTTATCACGAATCATGAACTCTCAAATTCCCAGTTCATTTCATTATGGCCCGGATTTTCAATCACATTTATTCGTCGATAACACGAGTTATTTGACCGATAAGAAAAAATTGATAATTTTCGGTTTCCGGAGTAAACTACAGTACGTTTCACGAAACTAGCGACTCCGCAGTGGCGTTTCCGGAGGTGAAATTTCAGTGTTCCGCGGTTTCTCAAACTTGCACACAGTACGTGGCAATTTGGAATACTGCACGGTTTTTAAAAAATGTGAATAAAAATAATAAATTTATTTATTGTATAATATATTTTATTATACATTATATTATTTATTATAATATACTAAAATATACATTTTCTTTTGATATTTTAACATTTATATATATACAATTGAAGTGATTCATCGTTGTCATCCTCGCTCTTGCTGCTGGAGTATCTATGGTACCTATATGGTGGTTATAAAATGTTTGGCAATGGAAGATAAAATTCATATCAACAGGGCCAGCTGTTCGATGGTTGATTGCCGCGTCATTTTTAAATTACCGTGCTTTTTTAATCTAACGTTTAGGAAGTTCTCACGAAAATCTGCCACCGGAAGCGCCACTGCGGAGTCGCTAGTTTCGTGAAACGTCCTGTAGTAAAGCTATTTGATGAATAAAGTACAAAATAACTTATTATAATCAATAATGATATATAAAAGATGGTTTATTATTAAATATGCTGCTATAAGTATATTTCATATTTTAAGCGTAAACTTGTGTCATCTCTGGGCTAAAATATAAGTTAGCTTTCCAATTACCCTGTTATTCAAAACAATGTATATTTTGTTTAGTTCATACTTATTTGATACTTACACAGCCTATAGTACTTGAATTGAAGTCTTATGCAATTTTTTGCCAGCAATTATTTTTATTTTTAGATTGTTTAACAAAATATTTCTATTTAATACAATATGTTTATATTTAAATTTTTGGTTATAAAATATAAATACAATACATTTTTTCGTATACTTTTATAATTTAATTAAGTAGGTATATCATAATAATGTATACTAAATACTTATAGGTATCTTAATACCTATTGTATAATGTATTAAATATCTTCTATTTTTCATGCTTCCGGTAATATTGTTTTGTCAAACATGAAAAAAGAAACTTATTCCAAACAAACACTACGCAGAATGTATTAAAATTACTAAATGACTTGCAACAATTGTCTATTATCTAATATCTATGCATTTTACGTTTTAATATCACTGCCATCACAAGTTGCTGACATACCTATTTAATTTATCATAACATCACTTGTCATTATACAATAATAGAATTTCATATTATGTATTTTGTGGCATAGCAGGCTGTATAGACAAATTGTTGGACTGATAACACACATCCGTGATTCGTGAATCATTGTTTTAAACCAGTGGTAGCACTAAGTCACTGAACTATACCACACTGAATCAATTCATTTAGTTCACCTAAAAGAGTCAACTCACTCACAAACTACCCACCTCTAATAAACAATAATAATTGCTTTAAATTTGTATTTTTTTTCATATTATTAATTAATCTATGACCTGTAATCAGTGGCGAAATTGTGGGGGGGGAGCAAGAGGTATCGTTTCTCCCAATTATTACAAAAACTACATTAGTATCGTAAAATGTCTTACTCTGTTAGTAGCGAAATATTAATAGGAACTAAATCGATCTCTTGTATTTTTTGAATTGGAGCAATATTTCTGGTATAAAACATTGTGTACACATAATAAAAATAATGAAAATGGTAGCATGCTGTAAATATTTGCTGTTTTATTTTTAATTTTCTTTGGGTTTTTCCCAATTTTTTTGATTACCCCTTTGAAAATCAAAAAATTATGTTTATTCCAATGAGAGAAAATTGCATATCAGTAAAGATTCTATAGTCTTCAGAGCATATTTTCCAATAGAAAAGTTTTTCACAAGGCATGAAAAAAATACAAAAAAAAAAAATCAAACAGTAGAACCAATGGATCTCTACCATGCTCCGAATCTAAAATTAACTTGTAACTTGTACATTTTTTATGAATGAACTAATAAACTTAATGAGTTATTTTTTTTATTTAAGAACTTGTAACTTACTCAGTTACTAAAGTTGAATTACTTACCCAGCTTTGAATATAACTTATAGTTTTTATAAATTAAGAGTTTTTTACTGCCCAAAACTATAGTGTGTCCCACTGCGTTTGATGGATTTTTCTTGCACTGTTAGTATTTCATTTTTCTCAATTGGTTTGTCTTCGAGATGAACATTGATTTGGAGAAAAATTAAATTTTTATTTTCATCCCCTAAAGACAAAAAAATTAACATTTTGGTTATTCACCTTAGACTATTTTCAAAATAATAATTTTGTAGCAATATTATTCAATACATTTTAATGTATCACACATTCATATCTGATAAATAATATCTTAATTATAACCATTTTAATTATGTGTGAAAACAATTTATATTTAATAAAATAACATGTTATGCAATAAGGAATTACAATCAGCACGGTAATTTTTTACCTTTTATTGAACATTAATTGTTTTCACATATATTTTCTAGAAATTAACCAGCTATAATTAAGAAACTTTTAATTGGATATGAATGTATAATACATTAATTTTTAGAATATTTTTTACAAAATAGCTTTTTTGAAAATTATCTTTAGTAAATAAATAGTTATTTTTTTTTTTTTTGTATATTTGTAGGGAATGAAAATAAAAATGTAATTTATCTACAAATTTAAATCCCCTCACAGACAAACTGGTTGAAAAAAAAACCAAAAAAAATATAATATTAATAGTGGTGGGACACACTGTATATATATATATATAATTTATTGTGCTTTATAACAAGTGTTAGTATGGTGCGCTGACATGGAGAAGAGTAACTAAAAAGAGAATACAATTGTTAGTAATACAACAAAGATAAGTCATGGAAATTTGTTTAAATAAACCAAACTTAGTAGGATCAACCTCTAATAACTTTAAAATATTTGGTGTTTTATCTGTCAAAACTCTGTACAAAGAAAAAAAAATAGTTATTATATTTATAATACAAAATTATGGAATACAGTTTGATGTGAAAAATATTGGTGTAAAGGATATAGAGCATATGATACTGTTCCAGACTGCATTCAAAAATCATTTAAGCAAAAATTAGTGGGTAAGGTTGAAGCTATATTCTTTAATTTTATGCCAATTAATATAAAAATAATTAGGAATTTAAAAAAAAAAAAAAGACTAATACTAATAACATATTGCTGTAAAACTAAATTATTGTATGTACATAATACTATAGTACTTAGTTGTAAAATGCTGTTTTGTCATTTATAATTTATTATTTTCAACTGAATTTTTTAAATTAATTTTAATTTATTATGTATATAACTTTCTGCTACCACCACAAGTTTATCATAAAAGTAGTAGGTATCAATGTGTCATGATTTCATAATCAAAATAAAATAAAATGTATAGTGTTTATTGTATATAATTATAATATTATATTCATAACTTTAATTTTTTAGAAAAAAACTGATTATGGTGATACTAAAATGATTGCTTTGTCAAAATTCATACATCAATCAGAGATAAAAAAAAACACATTTTAACATTTTATAATTTTAAGCAGATACACAAGTTTTGCCAAGCAACTAAGTATCATTATTAAAACAAAATTTAAATAGTCTAAAATTATACATATATATATAAAATAACAAATCAATTAGTTGAGTGAGTACATTTATTTGTAGTAGATTTTGTACCTACAAATGTAATAAATATTTAAATATTTTCTTTTTATTGATAAAAACAATTTCTTTAAAATAAGTATCTAGATCTAATAATATTTAAATTATAAACTGAGAGTAAAAATGTTTACGCACAATCTAATTGTATCATTTATTCAATATTATTAATCAAATCATAGACCCAAACCGCAACAAAACCTTAGGTAATACCAATATTTTTGTACAGTAGGTAAAGGTAAACACTTTAAAAGACTAGAATTATGGTGAACAAGTGAAAATTTAAAACTTTTAAACAAATATCAATTTATCATAATATTTGTTACATTTATATATATATAATACTTATAAAACATTTTATGTATTATAAATTATACAATAATAATAATTAATACAAATAAGTTATTGTCAATATATTAGTTTTAAATTAGAGCTCAAATTATAAATAATATTATAATATTAATAAATCAATTTACACAATAATAATAGTAATATTAATAAACTATTGTTACTGACATATTAATAGTTTTAACTTTCAATATATAAAACAGATTTATTGACATTTATTAAAATGTTAATTAATATATTAGTGCCTACAATACATCAAAAATGTTATTTCTCACTCAAATTACAAAAAAAAAATCTAATAATTAACTTTGTGTATAAAGGGCACATTGATAAGATAAAAATAAAATTCTTACTGACAAAGAAACATAATTGAATCTAAACAAATAATATTATGAAATATTCTTCAATGTAAAATATTGAGAATATTTATGGATTTGTATTTGTTAATTGTTATTTTAACACATAATATTTTTGATTTTCATATAAATTCATATTATAAACATATAAGTGAATCATAAAAAAATTGTAAGGACTTTATCTTTATGTAATTATAGTTAAAATGTCTTGAATAGGTTATTGGCACAGATAGGCTTTTTAAAATAAACAAAAATTAAATGAACTATTTCAAATGTATTACCTACATACTAATAAGTATAATTTTATTATTCTTAACAATGTGTTTTATAAATCACCCTGTACACAAAAGATGATCAAATAACAGTGTCTTTCTGTCAGTGATTTATTAAATAAGTTTAACATTCTATTTTTATAAAAAATTTAGCAACATTTTAAAATTAACTATTTTTTTCATAGACATTTATTATAATATAATATTGATCAACATTATGTAAAATTAAATATAAAAACACTTTGTATAATATCTAGTCTATTTCTAAGTGTTCGATTCCATAAAAAATATTAGCATTCATAAGTTACTATTTAAATAGCCCACCAAATTTTGTTTAGCTATCAAAAAATAAAACCAGAAAGACACTATGATCTGATCAAGTCAAATATTCTAAAATTGTTTTCAAAAATAAAAATAAATAAATAATAAATGAAATTATTATAATTATGTATACATAAAAATCAAATTCGTTTGTTCATTCACTGAATTTTACACATAGATATTACAACAAATAGTACTGAGCAAAATGTGACACGGTTTACGATAAATGGCAATTATTGTGATGACTAGTGTTCAAGAAGTTTATTAGTATAACACAATAGAAGTGAGCAAAATTATGAAGTCACAATATAATCAATTAATCAAAAATGAGTTTAAATTTAATTTTATATAATAAATTAATACATCACATAAAATTGTAGGTAATACTATAACAGAGATACAAAGTTACTTGAAGTATGAAAATTGTATACGATTTAAAAATGAAATAATTTAAAAGAAAAAAAAAAATGGTTATATCTTTAATACAATAATCCTCCTTTTTCCCCTTTGATATCATATATATCATGGATTAGTCGATTTTTGTATAAAAAATAATTGATTTATTTATATAGTTACAGACAATATTCACTTATTAAAAAAAAAAAAAAAAAAAACATACAAATTATAATATAAATAATACTGATTATTTGATTATTATTAATCTTTAGAGTAGATCATAGTTAAATTGATAATGCAATGAAAATCAAACCAATTAAAAACTAGTCACATAATCACATTTTGAATTTGTAATAAAATGTTTAGTAAAGTTTACTTAAAATTATGTTTAGATATGACATTAAATGCATTATAGCTTACAACAATCCAGTTCATTGTTACTTAAATAATAGTAGTGTATTAAATCATTTTTTGATCCATGTCAATTTAAAAAAAAAAAATATATTTTATACAAATAATCGGTTGAACACTAGTCATTAGAATATGTAAAAACCCATGTGATAGTAATTAATAACTAATAATAAGCGTACTACAAGTTATAAATATTAATTAATTAATGTTATAAATTACATCATAAAAAAATTATTTAAATGAAAAAATAAATATTAAATTTTTACATAAAAACAGGCACATACTATTTCTATGACAGTAATGTTAAATGTTGGCAAAGTTAACATTACTGCTATAACAATAGTTCATAGCTGCCATTTCTATCATAGCAGTAATCTATACAGCAGTATAAAATGAAACTACAAATGTTTTGAGTTTGAATATAAATTTAGATAATCAAACTACAAAATTAAATGTATAACAAATAACAATTAAACTATTTATAATGATTACTATCAAACAATAATGCATCAAAATCCATTAAATCTATACTATTATAATATTAGTTACAATATTTATTTTTAAAGGGGTGAATAAATGAGTGGCCATATAAATGTAAATGAATAATATAAAGATGAGATATGGTATGGAGAAAATAACGATTTTAAATAGATTATACAAATAGATATTATACATATAGAAAAACAATCAAGATGATGCAAGACTAGATTTAAAATTTGCATCTAAAAATAGATGAAAAATAAATTTGAAATCAATTACAAACAATTATAATATGACCAGAATAAATAATTAGAAGTATATAGAAATGCAGTTTACTTATTATTATAAAACTCAAATTAATTTCATCAGTTTTGATGTTGAACATGTTGCAAATGGAAAAGTATTAGACAATTTCTCCCCAATTTCTATTTAAACTAGTTTTGATAGTTCTTAATTTAATAAATATTAATTGGCCTTTTTTAATTGGCAAAACTTGTTTGTATTTAATTGCTATATTAAAATATAAACAAAACTTAAAAAAAAATATTAATTTTAATAATATAATTTATTACTTTAATAAATTATATACAAATAAACATAAAAGATTCTAATATAATTTGTTATATTATTATTTAAGTAATTCATATAACTCACATATCTAATTGCAAATGTAAATTTAAATTAAATAAAAAATTAAGAATGAAATCAAATCACTATTGCATTTATATATATATATATATAAATTATTTATATATTAGTATACTATGTATTAATAAATAAAATATTGTAACTATTACATATAATAGTTGTATCCAATTAAAAACAAAAATTAACTATCGTAACTAGATGATCCATGCTCACGATTTGGACTTGGAGGAGTGCTAGTATTACTGCTGTTGTTTGAAGCCACAGAATGCCTTGAACTACCAATCTGATGATCCTATTAATAATTTTAATAACAATCACAATAATGTAATATTGAGAAATTTGTAAAAGTTCACTCACTTTATACTCATTTAAAGAGGATATGCTGCGATTTAATGAATGAGACATATTTGGGGGTAGATCTGTATCTGAATGATGATGAGAATAGTTAGAGCCAAACGATTCTGGTGTTCTTGGTTGAAGTACTGTTTTTTTTTTAATATATGATCTTTTTGCTGTAGATCCTAAAATAAACACAATATCAGTAATATTTTTTTTCTTATAATTATTAAAACTACAAATTCAATAATAGGGATTTATAAAAAATGTAGCTAAACAGTTTATTTAATGATCAAAATATACAATATTTAATAAGAGTAAATAATAAAATAATTTTAAATTCTATAAACAAGCAATTGCATAAGGTTAGCAATAACAGATAATTATTAATCCAGCAAATTAATTAAAAATAAGTAATACAACTCAAAAAAAAAAAAAAAAATTTATATTTAACTTTTGTTAGTAACAAATATACCAATAAAAAAACCCCCTGTACAATATTTAATCATTGAAATTAAATAATAGTCTTACATTATTAAACTAATTTTTTTTTTAGCTAGTTGAAATTGTAAAGTTAACACACAAGATTTTTGTCATAGTCAATAAAACTACATAAAAAATCATGCCAAGCTTACCACCAATAGGATGATAAATAGTTTTATTAATATTTGAGCGTAATATTAAATTTTTACTTTCTTCAGGTGATTGACGAGTCATGTCAATCCCATACTTTGCTCTTGCCATTTTGAACTTGTCTAAATTACAATATTTCAATTGTAATGACAACCACAATTTTATTACATTTATGATCATTAAAATATAACATTATCAATATTAATAATAATTAATAATTAAAAAATTAGATTATATTATTTGGTGAATTTGTAATGTACATTATTGAGCATTTAAATATTAAACATTATTTTATAAAACAAATAATAAGATCATAAATTAAATACAATGTACAATTAGAAAATTATTAAAATTAATTACTTATTTTTAATATTTCAACCATAATTCATTTTTCAAGACATCACAGTGTTTTGTTTGTTTATCAGGTATTAGCTTAATTTGTTATTATTTGGATTTTTTAAACAATTATACCAATAGTTACTTAAATTTGATTCTATTATAAGGTATTAAGAAAAATCAAATTACCGCTTAAAGTAGAATGCTGCTGAGATGGACTTCTTGAAATTTGAAATGAATGTTTGCTAGTTGTTGAAGTAAATTGTTGAAGAGGCTATAAAAACACATATAATATTAGTTTCTTTTAAAATACTATGCATTTAATTTTTTTTTTAACATAAATATTATTTTTATATTTATGAATTTTAATATACACATTATTGTTTACTATTCTTCTATAATTACAATTATTAATAAGTATTAGGTATTAACATTGATTATTTATAATGAATGATATCAGGTTGATTACTTTAGTTGGAGGCATAGAATCTGCAGTTTCAACTGTTGTAGGTAAATCGAGTAATCTTTGAATTTGTATACCATCTCCCGGTCCCATATGGCTAATGTGATTGAAATTAGTTGGAGCAGATATTATTTTTGATCTACGATCAGGCCCACGAATTGCTTTTTGACCTTCACGCATAGAAAATCTTCTTCTTGTACGTGGGATGGACATGCTTCCACTCATATCTCTCCATCTAATATTGATAAGTTCTCCTATGAAAATATTAACAATGAAACCAGTATAATTTTAAATGATTAATATTTATAATATACTTTGGTGCACATTGGACAAGTACACAATGCATGGCAAATCATCAATATAACACACAGTTAAAGAACCTGTAGTGTTAATGGGATGTGAATTTCGTAAGTTTAATGTTTGAATCCAGTCACCACTATCAGCATTAAATATATTTATATGGGTATCACTATATATTAATAAATGACCATCACAGTAGCCTATAAAAATTTCAAATAAACAAGGTTAAGATAAAATATTTAAATATTTAATAAGCTATTTTATACTTACTGGCATCAATAAGGTCACTGGGATACATAATTTCTCTATCTCTTGATTTACGACCTTGTGAATCTACATAAATACCCAATGATTGGAAAATCAGCAAAAATTCACCTCTAGGAAGTTCAATTGCTTTAATAGCATCCATTGCAGAATATGATAAGAAACCTGTCATATGATTATCAGGATGTACCAAGGCTGTGAAATTAGATAGGATTATACATACAAACATATTAAATTTAAAAAAAAAAATTTAAAAACTTGTAGTTTACATATTGGATGATGGTCTCCAGTTATATGGTACACACTGAAACCAGAATGATAGCCAACACACAATCGTCCATCAGTAAATATTGTTAAACTCTGAGCTTGAGAGGGAAGCATTATTTCCCTAAGTCTCCTATGTCTCAGCTTAGTTCTGGTTACCTCATAAATTATCACCTGAGAAGTGTTCTACAATGTCAATTAATAGATTTTATTCTAACTTAATCTGTATATTAATGTTATTAATTTTACCTGTCTTTTTATTGCTATGCACAAACAGTATTGTAAATTTGTAATTCCAGGATATTTTTTCATCAAGCCAGTGCAAAATGTTATACAACCTTTACTTTCAACTACTTTCACCCATTCAACATCATCACCATCTAATGCTCGCATGGGAATTAAACGGACTTGTCTTTGTTTACCAGATAGCACAACAATGAGCTGCTCTTCTGTAATGTAGTCTATTTGATAAATTTTTTTTGCCTCACCAATTCTGGCAATTTCTAGAATTAATTAATCAAAAATTATATCAATTATTGAATTATAAATTCTTCTAAAATAATACATACCTAACTGATCCAAATCTATACAATATAAGCCATCTTCTGTTCCTATTACTAATCGTTCTGGATCAATTATAGCACTTGCCATTGCATTTTTGGTGATTGTAATTGTATTATCTATAAGTTCTTTTGCTTTGAAGATCTAAATCAAAATATTTATTAGAATAATTTTAGACAATAAATCAAATAGTAACAATAATAGTTGAACTCTTACTACCGTGGTATTGGGTAAATTATTTCGTTTCAATATTCTGTGCAATTCACTTAGTGCAACAATCCACTTATTTTTTTCACTTTCTGTATCAGCTAACATCAATGTTTGATTTTTTACTCCTGGTGGATCTAAAAGTGATGTAGTAATCTAGAATATACAAAAATTAATAGTTTAAATAATTAACAGTAAATTATTAGTGACAATAATATTGTACCAAATACATACACGGAAAATGCAGGGTATATCCTTTTTTCCAGCATGAATAACATCAGACTCTCTAACTGAAGAGACTGCAAATTCTGGATCACGCATATCTAATACTTGTGATACAGTTACTGCAGGTAAAGCATTTCGATCTTGTGAAATATCATATAGGAATAATTTGAAATCACAGACTACCACAAATTGTCTCACCCACCCTTTTTTAACTCCACCAGATCTAGGAACTTTAACATAACCTTCATAAGCAGTACCTATACCACGAGTAGGATCAATTCCTAATGGTCTTTTAGCTATAATAATGATATATTCCACACATTAGTTTTAACATTATATGTATTATTCTTAATATAATTACTTTGATCAGGTGGCACTGGACAAAGTAATGGAACTTTGTCAGAGCAAACTGTGTGGCACACAAATCCACACACCTCACATATTACACCTTGTCTAACAAGGCCGACCATCAATGATGTACAATGATTACATTTGGTAGGAGATGAAAATGTTCTAACAACAAACTGATGGCATTTTCCTTTCTCAGATATTAAACTATTTGAGTTCTAAAATTAAAATTTTAAATGTTAAAATTATAATAATAACAACAGTATAAAATTTAAAAAAACACTAACTGAATTGTTGAAATCTGAAAAACTAGACTTTCGAATGGACAATGCTTTATTTTCATCAAAACTCCGGTCATAACTATCAATACTATCGTTTAAATTAGATTTGTTGCTATTTCCAGTTGCAGATTCATTTAAAAAGTGGTCTAAATAAGATAGCGGTGAACATGAAGATTGGCCTAAAACTGTAAATAATAAAAATTATCATACTAAAAAGTAATAAATAAATTCATAGAATATATACTAGATTTAGTAAAAATGAAAATTGTTTTTTAAAAAAACACTGCCAAAAAAAAACATTTATATACAGGTATTTTTTAAAAATCTTTAGTAATAACAAAATATTTAATATGAATGTATTGTATACAAAATGCATCATAAAGTTGATAATTTATATTTTGAAACTTGCATATTCATAAACCGATGGTTGAAAATTTAAATATTTATAAAATAAATAAAAATATTTTCTAAATCTCTTTTAAAATTGAAATATTTTAAAAAATGAGAGTATTTTTATAAAAAAAAAAAAAATGAAAAATACATATTTCAGAGTTTATTTTTACATTAACTTTAAACAATACATCAGTAAAATTAATATATTGTAGAAGTATCATAAAATACATAGAATACTAACATCATATATTATTTAATTAATTATATGTTTTGTTAACATCACCAGTGCCCCAATTGGAGAGAGGTAATGATGGTATTCAGATTTTAATATTTATCATTCAGTCATAAATATTAAATGTCAGATGTGTCTGTCAATAACACATTTTGTATTATTTTTAGAATATAGATTGTGGGGGTTAGGTTGAAATAGGAGTTCAAAAACAAATACAAAAATTTAAAAAGGAGAATATTGAGAGTGCTGTAGTAGATTTTAAAACAATTTTCATACAAACAATTTTTAAATTCATTTTTAATTTTTTTAAGTAGCTTTAATTCTTTAAACATTGTTTTTTTTAATAAACTCTGATATCATTTGAAAAGGTATAAATTAAATTCTAAGGACTGTAATTTTAATATCATGCATTGGTAGATACAGGCATCATTTTAATCAAAAAATTGTAGATACAGATTTATTTACACAAAAATAATATATTATGTATAAATACATAATTACACATATTTAAAATTTATTATTTGTAATAATTATGACTGCAATGTAAATTTGTGTCATAATGCACTCAGTTTTCTAAATTGTAAATGCACATCAAGAATGTATTGGTCGGTTTAGTAGTTATCAAATGAGTATGGTTAATATAAAGTACAAGTAGATGTAGTAGTTAATGAAACTTAAAGAATCATCATGAGCTGTCTAACAAGCACTAACTATAAACATTTTGCAGCATAAGCCTGCCAGACATAAAATGACATAAATAATGACAAAAGAAATGTAAATCCAATGAAAACTGAAACAAAAGAACAATATAAAACATTCCTTAGGAAAAGAACCTTAAATATGGACTTTAGGAAACCTTAAACTACTTCATAGTTAACTAAGATGAATGAAAAATAATAGCATTCAATGAAAAATAGAAGACTGTAAAATGTGAATGTGAAAGACTTATGCCACAATGTCTTTCAAAGTATGGGAATGCAGGGCATTTTGTACCTTTTGCAGGCATGTTGTACCTCTAGTCAAAGTAGCCAAGCAATAGTTATCTCACGTGCCAAATCTACATTCACCAGAAACTGATAGATAATATAGTGGCTATAGTGGTGGAGGGTCGAGAATATAAGTACTGGCCACTAATAACACATATTCAGATGAGTTTTCTGACTTATTGATCAATATACTGCAAGCACCTTCAAGTCAGTTAAAATTTTAAAATTTAAAAGTTTTTGATTATTTTCCAAATAAATTAATAAAATATACTCATACAAATATTGTGTATAATGTCTGAGTTCAACCTGAACTAAAGCTAGAAACAACCAACTAAACGTGTGATTTTTAAATCTTTAGAGAACCATATAGAAAAGTAATGATACAGATCAATTAGTGACTCAACAAATTAACTTGACATAGCTAATTGACACAAGAAGAATAAATTATTATCTAATGGACTTTAATTTAATATTTAATATCATTTATATTTCAATGGGTTAATAAATCAGTGAGCATTTTTTGTAAGTTATAATGATTGTTTCAATATTAACAAAAAAAACCTTTAGTTTTATACAAATAAATGTGTACATAAAAAAGTTTTTAATACAAAGGTTTACAAAGGATGAACACTAGGCCATTTTAAACATTTCAATAATAGATGCTGAGCATACAACCAATCAATAATTTGCTGTAAAACATGTTGCACTATATGATACAAAAATGTAAATTAAATACCTACCTATAAATATATATAAAACTAAAAAATCTATAAGTAATATGTACTTTACATAAATGAGGGTGGTTTTGTTGACTGATGGTTGAAAAATTGGCTATCGGCAAGTTGATGAAATACATCTGTTTGTGACTAGATACTTCTAGAAATTTGGAAAGATTAATCAACCAACATGATTGAAAAAGCACTATCCTCTGAACACCAACTATCTTACTAAGACTGGAAAGTACTAAATCACATATAGATAGGAACAGTTCCTAAATCTCAACAGACATCAGCTTAAGTGCACAATTCAATTTACAGGATTAAAAGGATCTGCATGAAAAACTAACTTATCAAGAAATCCATTTCATAAAGTACTAGTCAAAAATAAAACCATACATTTTATCCATCACAGGAGAAGACTTTGAACATTGAACAGTCCATTATAACAGATAAAGATATAGGATAGAGATAGGATTAAGATAATTTAATTTATGTACTTTAAGCAACAATGTATTATTTTAATGAAAAATACAATTTTCAGCAGAATATTATTAGTTGTATTTTTTTCCTTATAATTAAGGTAATTTAGAAATGAATACAAATAAAAACTAATTTATTATCAGTTTTTTAAATTAGATAAAAAAACTGGAATCTAGAAATTTGTTTTAAATAAAGCACTACTAATTAAAAAATGCATATCTTTCAAGATATTATGAGAAAAATTGGGAGTATTCTACTAACATACAAAAATTTTATTCAGGAAACAACTATTCTTAGAAAAACTATTAACTTTCCAACTAATCAGAATATAAAATAAATATAAAAGGAAAAACAGCCTGAAAGAGTATTATTATTGGTTATTTTTTTTTTTTGTAAATTATTAACTATTGAATTATGTTCAAGTGGTGTAAAGTGGGTGTGGGTTGGGGTATCTCTACGAGTTAGGGTCCAGTTCAAGGGTTTTTATTTTTTTATCTTAAAAAAATCTATCTTTTATTGTTTTTTTATAATTATGGCACTGGTGATTACTATTTCATCAAACTCTTATTAATTAAATATAAAACACACAGTTAATCACACTATAACTTGACACATATGATGTTATATATGTTTTAAATAAAATTATTATATTTACACTATACAGTGTACACATCAAATTAAACAATAATATAAATTATATGGACACAAAGTAGTAGGGTTCAACAAATATTTAAGTAGCCACCTTCAAACTTGTAGTGGTGTTAATATAACAATGTTAAAATCAACAGCAATATGTTTTCACACATTAATCTAATCATTACAAACCTATTGAAAAAAGAAGTTCTAGTCAGAAATAGTATTGAAACAAGATAATGACGAGCCCCCAAACACAACTTGATAATCCAATAAACAAAGGCAACTTGCCTAGTTAAATAAAACAAATTATAATAATTATTACTGAACAAGAAAAATAAATATATACAACTATAAATTATTGTTATATTCAGTTCTATTAATAAATAGGTAACTTGTTTAAACCTAACACAATATTTAATTTGTGTATAATAAACAAAATATTAACATTTATTAAACTGATACAAATATAATATACCAACATACCTAATTTAAAATTGATGAAAATTTAATTTTAGTTTTTAAATTATAATTATGAAACATAAACACCAAAATAAAGTAAAATTGTAAACAATAAATGTTTTAGTATTTAAAGATCATAATATTATTATATTTCTGTTAAATATTTGTATACATTTAATAATTAATAAGATTCCTGAATTTAAATCACAAGATTAAAATTGTATTCCAATTTATTAATTACTATAAATATATCGATTATAAATAATTTTTGATAAAATAACACATAAATGATTGGTAATATAGTAATATGGTAACCCATAGTAGCTGTGAAGCACTTATTAAAGCATCATGCGGAAAATGGATAACATTATTAAATTAAAAATGTATTTTAAGATTTAAAGAAAACTCATTGTGAAGGTAAAATAACTATAATAATGTTTTTTATAATTTAAAAATTAACTTAAAATCAATTTAATTGAATACTAAAACATATTTTATTTGGCAATTTATTCAATTATTCCAAATAAGATATTTCATTCAAATTTTACTACTTTTATTAATTCTTTTATAAATTAAACATTCTAATATGTAGACTAACCACAATTTTTATTTATAATAAAATGTTTTTTTTTGTTTTACTCTGTTGGTTGGAATTATATAACTATATTGTTTATGAACCTACTTTACTAAAATTATATATTTATGTATTCTCCTACAAATATTATAACAAATTTTAACCACTGTACTTGAATTTTTTTATTTTTCAAATACACACAAAAAAAAAAAATAATATAATTAAAATAATGACCTACTAGTATTTATTTATGAAGGATGTAAGCCAAAATATTAACTAGGCCAGGACACTGCACTAGTAAAAACACAATAAAATTTATATAACTGTTATAAAATATTTTAACTTACAGGACTGTCTAGCATCTAATTGATTCTGTAATTCTTTAATCACATCATCTTTATCTTTCATAGTATATACTAAAGATTCATATCGCTGATGGAAATCTCTTAATTCTCTGAAAGTAAATGAAATATATATTTTATAATAAATAAATAATAATTAATAAGGTAAATTTTTAAAAAATTCAAAAACAAACTAACTTATCAATAAGTAATCTTATACAAATTTATCGTAATATAATATTTATACTCTATAAATTATAAACATTTTAGAAAAATGTTTAGTTTTACTGTTTTGTGTGTGTAATAGATGACTGGATGAAGTAGATAAAAATCTACAGCAAATGGGTACATGAAACTATATAAGAAAATATAGATTTGGATGAGTACAGACAAATTATATTGGAAGCCAAAGTCTGTAGCTCTTAGGAGAATAAAAAAAAATTAATACCATAAATTATGTAAAGGCTGATACAATCTAATTCCAACAAGTGTCTCTACTAATATAAAAAAATAATACTTTTGCATGGCAATAAGTTCTGAACGTGTTTTGCTTAACTCTTCACCAATTGATTGTTTTGCTTGAATTTCTGATTGCAATGAACTTTGAAGATTTAAAAGTTCCATTTTATCAAGTTTCTGACTTCTTCTATTTCTCCAACTGTTATCCTAGAAAAAGACATAATAAGACAAAACTAATTCTTAATATTTTAAAGTTTAAACCTAAGTGTAAGATATAACACATAGTTATATAAAGAATTATACAAGCCATCTATGACAAATAGCAATAAAATGGAAATTTGGAATATTCTAATTAATAATGTATTTTACAAAACAATATAAATGATCATGTTATTATATGTTACTAAAAATCAATATGTTTGATTTGAAAACTAAAACAATATATTTTATTCCTAATTAATATTTTACTGGTTCATTATATATATACAAATTCAGTAATTTTTTTTTTTTACAAATTTGCTATTTTATTTAAAGAATGATGAAGACTGAAAACCCAATTTTTAATCAGCATGGCTGTGGGAGGGAATGTCAAATATTTCAAACTTATTATGTAGTCTGTAGGAAGGTTAATCCAATTGGATTGTTCAACATCACACTTTTATCATGGAGCCAGTTTTACATAATGCAAATTTCAAGAATTCTTATGGGGTTATCTAAAGTGTCAAAGGTTTATGTCAACAGACCACCAACCCTCTTGATTTTAAAGTGTATATTTTCATTAATTCAGGTGGAAATTTGGAGAAAGTGATTAGAATCAAAGAATGCATCACTGCTTAGGGAAGCCATTTACAACTATTCTGTTTCACTCACAATATTTATTTTAAAATTTCCTACATTTTCAACCTTCTACCACAAAAATGTATATTGTCAATTTTAAAATTGGCCTTTCAATCTTTACCACTCTGTTTAATAATTTGACCTATTAAAATATTTTATTACTTTAATTTATTTTAGATAATTTGTAAAGCATCCATATTTAGCTTAGTTGGGTAATACAAATATAAAATAATAAATGGATATGCAACATTGTTTTACCTACTCTATTGTATTAAAAATATAATTTAAAATTGTGAAATCTGATGAAAACCATTTAAAATATTCTTACCAAAGCTGATTGGCCATTATTATTAGGACACTGTTTTAAATACTCTAATTCTTCTTTCATTTTTGCAGCTAATACTTGCAAATATCCTCGAGCATCTTTTTCATCACTAATCCTAGAAATTTAATTTATGAAACAAACATATAATTTATTCAAAAATGATTTATTACCATTGTATTATATCAGATATTTGTGATTCCAATTGACTGATAGTTTGTTTTTTTACATGTAATTCATCTTTCAATCTTTTATGTTCAAATTCAATAGTTCGGATAATCTCAGTACTTTCTTTTTTCTAAATATTAATAATTAACAAAATATATTTTATTGACTAATAATTGTACAAAGCACTATCAAAATAATTCACATATACTATAAAAAATCTATAAATTAACAATATACTTCTTTTTCTAAAGATTTTTGAATAACTTCAGTTTCAAATAATTGATCTTTCAGCTTATTGGTTTCCAAATTATACTTTGCTTGCTCCTTGCTAATATTTTCATTATATTCAACTTCTAATCGTTCTATTTCTCCTTTTAAGCTAATAAAATAATTAAGATTATATTTATAAATAGTCACAAAAAAAATTATTTTATTAAAAGTTAAAGATAGTAAATTATATATATATACTTATTTACATTTTTATATAGGCTTATATTTTCAATAAAATTGTTTAAATATATTGGCTACTTTAAAAATACAACTGACACAAAATTCCATAAATTAAAATTACTATCAAAACTAATAAATCAAGCATTAGGTTTTGAATATTTAGGTTATTTTATTAAAAAAAAAAACTCATATTCCCTAAACATTTGATTATTTTTATTAGCTCTCAACCTAAAATATTGCTTTGATATATTGATAATTAAAATTTCATTACATTAAAGAAAAAAAATTTTTTTTTTTTTTAATATCTGGCATACCGAACTATTTCTTGCACAGCTCTTTGATTGACATTTTCACTTGTTTCAAAAGCATTACCAGCATAGGATGGTGAATTAGATTTTTCAATTTCAATCTTATACTAAAACAAATATTTCAAAAATAAATTATCATTTATCAAATAAATAATATTATTATATGTACTTGATGACACATTTCTTCATTCTTTTCACGCAGTTTACGTTCATTTATGACATCAGCCATAGACTCTTCTAATCTGCTTTCCAATTCTCTTCGAACTTTTTCTGATCGACGAACTTCTTGCCGTAAAATATCAATTTTAGACATAGCTTCTTCTAATTCTTCTTCTTTATCTCTAACAAGTCTAGAAAGTTTTTGTTTATGCTGCCTAAGCTCAGACAACCTATAAATAATTAACTGTTGTTTTTAACACTTATCTAAATTAGTGAAAATATTATAAAATGATCATACTTATTTGTAACATGGCCATATTCAGTCATTGCATTATTTTTTTGTCCCAAGGCGTCCATTAGCTCTATTTCTTGAGATTTTAATTTTTCTTGTGTTTCTTGCTTTTCCTAAGACCAAAAACCATAATTCAAATTTTATCATATTATTTCAAATAAGATCCATTAAGTGAAGAAACAATTATGAAAGGAGTTAACAAAGCTTTTATGTAAAGATAGAAATGACAGATGGCACGAACTTATAGAAAACACAGATATGACGAAAAATAGCAAAAAAGCATGGCGATTGAAAAGAAGCTTAATGGAGATCCCGTTACACATATGAATGATATAAATGTAACAGCAAATCAAGTAGCTACACAATTAATTACTCCTAAACGGAAAATCAGAAATCATAAATAAAAAAGAAAAACTCATCAAAGATCGAGAAAATGAGAAAAATAGCTTCCAACTTGATTTTACTATTCACGAATTACACGTGAGCCTAAAAGAGATGAAAAACGGCAAAGCACCAGGGCCTGACAGAACAGATAAAACATTTCGACACAAAAACAAAACAATGGCTGTTAAATTTCCTCAACTCCTGTCGCGAAAATGCCTTGGTACCAAAAACATGGAGAAAGGCAAAGGTAGTGGCCCTGCCCAAACCAGGCAAAGATTACAAGGACCCTAAAACCTATAGACCTATATCTCTACTTTGCCAAATTGTATGAATTTATAATTTCAAATTGTATGAACGAACGATTATGAATCATATAAAAGAACAAGTTGAAAGAAAACTCATCACCGAAAAAGCTGGTTTTAGGCCTGGTAAGTCCTGTACAGGACAAGTACTAAACTTATGCCAACATATTGAAGATGGCTATGAGAACAAAAAGGTAACAGGAGTTGTTCTTGTAGACCTAACTGCAGCGTATGACACGGTGAATCACAACCTAATACTAAAAAACATATATAAATACACAAATGACTGGCACCTTGTACAAATAATATCTTCTTTGCTACACAATCCACGGTTTACAGTCGCTAAACAATAAATGGAGCAAATAGAGAAATCAGCGAAATGGCTTACCACAGGGTAGCGTACTGGCACCCATGCTATTTAATATATACACAAATGCCCAACCAATCATAGAAGAAACAAGGCACTTTTTATACGCAGACGACTTGGTCATAGCAGCACAGGACATAACATTCCAAGAAGTCGAACGAAAGCTTACAAAAACTCTCCAAGAACTAACAACGTATTATGCAAGAAACCAACACCAAACCTGGATAAGACTCCGAAATCGTGAGGCAAAAGGGAAATTAAAAGTTGAGTGGCTTGGAAAAATATTAAAAAACAGAACAGCCAGTTTACCTAGGAGCTACATTGGACAGGTCCCTCACATTTAAGGAGCAGTGTAGAAAAACAAAAATGAAAGTACAAACAAGGAATAACTTACTACAGAAACTAGCAGGTAGTAAATGGGGTGCCACACCAAACACAATTCACACTACAGGACTGGCACTATACTTCTCTAGAGGCGAGTATGCTTGCCCAGTGTGGAACCAGTGGAAACATACTAAACACGTTGATACGGCATTGAATGAAACCTTTAGGCTGATAACTGGATGTCTCAAAGCTACACCATTAAAATATATATATCCATTTGCGGGAATTGCTTCACCAGAAATACGGAGATATGTGGCCACATGTATAGAAAGAACAAAACAAACTATCCCAAAGGCATCCCATGTATGGTTATTTAGGGCCCCAAAGAAGACTTAAATCAAGAAGAAGTTTTATCGCTAGCACATGCGATCCAAGAGCCTCCCGACCAACATCGAATACGCAAATGGAGAGAGCTACGAGCTAAATCACCTGTCCTACCTGATGAACGACTACCACCAGGTGGAAACCTACCATGGTTCTTATGGAAAACAATAAACAGGCTAAGAGCCGGAGTAGCAAAGACAAGAATCAACATGGTGAAATGGGGATACCAAGAAGGACCTGGCACATGTGAATGAGAGCCAATCTGATGAACACCTAATGAAATGCTCCCTTGCCCCACCAGGATGCACAACTGACACTTCAATTAGCATTAACTTAACTTATTTTTAGTCAAATACAATAATTTTAAAATTGTTTGCTATTACTAGTTACCAACCTTTTGAAGTTCTTCTTTTTCTTGTTGAAATTGTTTTATTATAATATCTAATTCTTTTTCATCACTAATGGAGAAATTTTGGGATGTTTTATTTTCTTTGTATTTTTTTAATTGATCTTCAGAATCTAAACATATAAATGATACTATCTAATAATGTTATTATTATTATTTTTATGAAAAAAAATTAACATTTTTTAAATTATCAAAAAATAAATTACTTAATTATAATAGTGTCTCATTAAAGATAATATTGTGCCTACCTTCTGTTTCACTCTTTTCTTCTTGTGAGCGCATTCTTTTTGTTGTCTTTCCTAATGTAAGCGATTTTCCAACAGATCCAAGATCAGATACAAAACTATTTTGAGTAAAAGTAAACCCAATAAAAGGTAAATGGAGTGCTGAAAATATGGGATTTGATGGAGTAGGAGGGAAAATATCAGTTTTTATATCTATTTCTTCTACATCAAAATGACTGGTATCAGTTGGACTGGACACCTCAGGTATATATGGTGCCACACTGTCTCTGATAGTATCCCAATCTACACCGACAAACCAATTGTGTTCCTGGAAAATTATATTTTTTTTTAAATATAATTAATTCTTGGTTATAAAAAAAAAATGTATTTAGCTAGCTTACTTTAAAATCATTAATACCAGTTTGGCCCATCCTTTGTTCAGCACTACAGATTAGTTTTTTCATTAAATCTTTAGCTTCATCAGAAACTTGTACTTCTGGATCATTAGGAAAGTCGAAACAATTCTAAACAATAATAAACCATATAAATTAAATTTAAATTTCCAATAAAAATCATGAATTTCTCTAATAATCTCTCTTCGTAATTTTTTAAATAATAGATTTTTACAATAATGTGAATACTTCATGCAATACTAATTATTTCTAAGTTATAATTATTATTTTAAGACTTTTTCATAATAATTTATATCAAAATTCAATTTCACCCATATATTGATGTTGAAAAAATCTAAAATTTTGATACAAATAAAAAAAATTACCACTAAAAACATACAATTTGAATGTTAATTTCAAAAAACCATTCTTTAATAATTGATAACTCTTTAAAGTTTAATCTTTTTAAGAAAACTTTTTTTTTGCATAATTTAATTTCAACTAAAAAATTTAAAATACTTTACTATTTAAAATACCCAGAAATAAGTTATTTAGTTTCTAATATTATAACATAATAGTTGATGAAAAATATATCATATTATATATTATTTTTAACAAATAGAAACAGCATTTAGTGTGGAAGTAAAGCTAAATAAGCAACTCCTGACAACTAAAATTTAAATTAGCTATATTTTACAGAGTACTGTATTTTAATGTTTTATAGGGATCATAAATTATTTCAATGAAGTTTTTTTAAGCTAATTAATACTCTGGCATATTATTTAAAGACAAAAATATATATACTCTACCCTTTAATGGAATAGTAATAATATTAAGCTATTTAAACAAAAATATATGATTACATATAAGACTCAAATACCTATATTTTTGTTTTAGTAAAAACCATTATTTAGTCAAAGCACTTTTAAGCCATTAAAAATTGAAATTTTCAATTATTATTAAAAATCAACCTTTACTAATACTCCTAATATTTTTTTTCCTAATAATATTTTTCCACTAACACAGCGTCCCCTGTAAATCCTTTAAAGTGTGTCTTTAAATTCTCCTTATCACCTCCTGAAAATGGAATTCAAATCCAAAGTAATCTGGCCAAAATATTTAATGTTGTCAGGAAATATAACCACACTGTACATCAAAATATTAATTACAACCATATACTTAATTTTACACATTTAATTGTTATAAAAATAATTATTAATAGTATTTACAGAATATGAAGCCAAATTGTATTATTATTAATGTTAAACAGATACAATAAAATACCTTATGATTCATTATCTTTGCATAAGTATGTACGAGTGATTCAGCATAAAATGGAGTTTCCCCATAAATCATTTCATACATACATACTCCCAATGACCACCAATCACATTCACGTCCATAACAACCTTGTCCATCCTCAATGGCTTGTAATATTTCAGGAGAAATATAATCTGGTGTACCTACAGCAACATTACTTTCCACAAAACCATTTGAGCCCACTTTCAAACAAGATCCAAAATCAGCCAACCGTATATGACCATTAGCATCTAATAGTACATTATCTGGTTTAATATCCCTGTAAATTAAATACCCTAATATAAATATTTAAAAATAAAAATCCAGTAACATTAGATTTTACCAGTTTAGTTTAAATATATAATACTATTTCAAAAATGTATTTGCACGTAATGCCTACACCTAAATCTCCCCCCTAATGTACACAAAAAGGCATATTTTTTAAAACATCCAAACCGATTTTTACAAAACAAATTTTTTCTAATGTTTTTACTTTACAATTACACCATTATCATAAATATATGTACAGTATTTTTTTTTTTTATATAATGCATTTTTTAATCAAACACAAAAGGAAAATGCAATACTATGAAAACTTAAAATTAAATTTCAACAAAATTCAATCAAAACAAAACAAATTTATAGAAAAAATGCATTGATCGATACTTGGTATTAACTCCCCTTGCCTTTATAACAGTCTGCATTGGGTTCTTCATAGACCTTATTAGGGTTTTGACAGTCTAGGAGAATCCCACTCCACTCCTCTACAAGCGCAGTTTTGAACTTATTGATAGTATTTGGGTCCGGATTTCTGACTCTGACCCTCCCTTTAAGTTTATCCTATAAATGCTCAATCGAATTCATATCAGGACTGATGGCTGACCACTTCATACATTGCTCAGTGATATTTGCTGTATAATACTGGGCATTATCATGCATCAACATAAAGTCTGTCTTTATATATCCTGTATAAGGCACAAAATAATCTAAGAGAATGTCCTCCTTGTATCATTGGATAGTCAGACTTCCCAAAACAAGATCCATTTTTCTCTCAAAGGATATTCCAGTTCACATTATGCAAGAACCACCAATAATTGATGTGTTTCTGATCAAATTTGAGTGGAGTTTGAATGACTTGGAGTCAATTTTGGGATTCTAGCTTGGAATGATTTTGGCTTTCTTCAAGGGTCTTCTGATCATCCATTGACTATCAGCTACTCCTCGAATATTTGTCAGCTCCTGGTACACATGGGATGTCGAATTCACAATAAAGTTGAGTTGATAAAACAATCATCTCTCTCAAATGTGCACTAGCACCGGTTAGTATGTGGTCTCTGAGTGAAGGTACTGGATTCCTGGACAGAAAATTGGCTCAGGTTTAGTTGATGAACAACTTTTTGTTGACTAAATCCTGCTTGCAACAAGCCAATAACTTATGAGGCCTGTCCTATTCTAGTAGCCATGGTTTTTTAAAAAAAATAAATAATACTTCTAGAAAGGTATTCAGGTCAATTTCCTATAAGTGATTAATAATACGAAATAATAAAAGACTGTGTACATAGAATAATACAGAGATAACGGCAGGCAATTAGAGATTATTAATAGACTGCATTCTGCTATGACAAAGTTCCAACAACATGAATTTGAAAAATATTGGACATATTTCCACAATAATGTAAAAAAAAACGTTCAAAACAAATTTTTTTTGTAAAAAAATCAGTTTAGCCATTTTAAAAAAATATGCCTTTTTGTGCAGACTAAAGAAGTGAGTTGATTTAGTTGCATGCGAGTATAAATTAAATTTAAATTCTTAAAATATATAAGATAACTGAAATAGCTTACCTATGCACATAATGTAAATCATGAATTGAATTAATAGCTAATATCATTTCTGCAATATAAAATCTGGCCATATCTTCAGGAAGCCGATCAAAGAATTTACTTAATAAAGTTAATAAATCTCCTCCACAGTAATAATCCATAACAAGGTACTAAAGAAATTAAGAATTAGAATTAATACATTTTGAGTTGTTTTTTTTAAACAAATTAATTATAAAGTGTTTCATAAATAAGGAAAGCTTTTATTAATTTTTCTATAAATCAATTTTCTTTTATAAGAAATACATTATAAATTATACATATCAGTTCACTGCGAGTGAAGGTTAAAGTGTGAAACATGATATTATGCATATGACCCAATCTACTTGCAGTAACTGTCACTTTAAACAGTCACTACAGATGCATTTATTTCTCCTTGATAGTTTTTATTTCCCCCAATTCAACAATTTTAATAATTGATACAAGTTTATTGATACTTAAGTGGAAATGTGCATTGTCACTAAATGTGATTTTTTTCCACATCAGGTGACTTGGTTAAAATCCAATCAACCAGTAATTGGGTCAACTGGAACTTATACTCATGCAACCATGCTAATAATGGGTTTTAATAAACAACACACATTGCTTGATTGTGTACCACTCCATGACAAAAAATAAACAAAATACACAATATAATGAACAATCACTAATAATCTCAACAACAAAATCAGCATTTCAAGACCTGAGATCTTTATGAAACATCCTATACATAAATAATTATTCTTGGTGTATCTTCTATTTTTGTTTTATATAGTATAAATACTAAAATATATTTTATGTATTAATACATAACTACTATACAGAGTGTCCTACAGTGATATCCGAATGCTATATATAACTCTGACAATATTAAATTTTTTTTTTCAATCGGATTTTGTATCAGAGACATAAATATAGAGAAAAATTAATTTTGTATTTTCATCCCTAACAAATTGAAAGAAGTAACTTTATTTTTTCACTTTGCAAAATTTTCAAAATAGCCAAATCGTAAAATATATTATTCTAAAAATTGTAATATACCATACATTCATAACCAATCAATAGTTTCTTAGTGATAGTGAATAACACTGTTAATATCTAGAAAAAGAGAAAGATAATATCTAGGTCTATCTAGAGAAAGGTATGAACACTATTATTACTAAAAAACTATTGATCAAATATGAATGTATAATACATTCAAATTATTAGAATAATATTTTACAAAATGGCTATTTTTAAAATTTTAAAAAGTAAAATATAAAAAGATAATTTTTCTTTACATCTGTTTAAAACTTGACATAAAACCAACTTAGAAAAAAAATTAATATTGATAAATTATTAGCATTCAGATAACACTAGGACACACTAAATATGTAAAAAAAAATAATTTATATATCATAACATTATAAATAATTTTACCAAATTTGTTTCATCTTGAAAAGCATAATGCAAGTTAGTTATCCATCTACGATCACCATACACTAAAACATCTCTTTCTTCCTACAAAAACAAGAAATTAATGTTTCATATTACATATTTGAGTTTATTAGAACAAAGTAACTACATGACTAATTAATAATTTACTTGAAAACATGCTGTTTCAGCTCTTTTGAGCATTTCCCATTTATTAAGAATTTTCATTGCATATACTTTTTCGGTTCCTTTCAAATGCACAACACATACTTCTCCAAAAGCCCCACGGCCAATTACCTTGATAGTCTCAAAATCATCCCTTGTTAAACGTAATGACTTGACACATGTTGCCACAGGTTTTACTATAGAAGAATAATGTAATACATTGTATAAAAACATGCTTTACAAGATATAATTTACAAAGATAAATTTTAATTAATTAGTTTAAGTATTTATTGGGGTGTTTTTTATTCTCAATTTTTTATGGAAATTTGTTATATGTATTTTAGTAAAATGTAAGTGACTTAACTGCCCTTTCTTTATAAATATCAATATTTATAAATTATATATTTTAATTACAGTAAACAATTAAAATATACATTATATACATACCAAATTCTATAAAATCTGAAACAGTTTTCTCTCTGCGTAATGAAGAGTTATTACACTCATCATACAATACAAGCAATACATCTAAAAGGGTTTCGATGCTGAAGCATTTCCCTTGTCCTTGTATTGGACCACCCAAAAATAATGCTTCTAATTGTCTCAGTCGATTATCACCTAAATTATAAACAATAGAATAACAAATATTTAACAAAATTTACAAATTACTACTTTACCCGATAAAAGACTTATATCAGTCACAGCTTCCGACATGGCATTTCCGTGATTTTTACAGTTAAAAATCTAAAATCATACATACACATATAAAATTAGATTCATATTTGCAAACTTAAATTTTTTAAATACAATTTTTCATTAATTTTATTATTTTATAATGTGCTATGGTAAAATACATTTCATAAATGAATAATATTATTCTCTAGTTAAAGTTGATAATTACTAAATAATGGTAATCATAATTTCTGCCATAGGTTTTTTTTTTGTATATAATTAACTCCAATTCCTGTATGGAAAATATTGTAATTTCACTGTAATTTTATATTTAACGTGTTATTGGTGCACCTATTTTGTTTGTTTCCTTAAGATTAAATATTAAAAACAAATAGAAATTATTATTGTATAGATAATGCATATCTAATATACATTTGTATAGAGTTGATTAGAATAATATATTTTATCTATAATTTTATTAACATGGCTATTCTATCCATCAATCTTTAATTATAATGGTACAATTTTATGATGAGAGTTTTTATGATCAAATTTTTATGAAACATAAAAAAATCACAAAAGGTTGTACACTATTTCACACTAATTTGTCAGCTATCAACTTAACCTCAACAATTTAATAAATAAAAAAATATGGGGTAATAATCCTAAATAAGTGTTTTTTTTTTTTTTATAAGTGTTTAAAGATTAAATTTTAACAAAATTTCTTACAAATTTAAACATTTTTAATTTAACAAAAATTAATAAAATAAAAGCAAAACTTGACAAAAAACACAAAAACGAATTACAACAATAAATTCTAACAAGAGTTTTAAATTATATATTTTAAGCGTTTTAACAAATAAATGTAAATTAAATCAATGACACATCAAAAGTATAACTTTTCACTAACCACCCATAAAATTATAAACATTTTATCTGTACATCCAAGTAAATATAGTATAATCTTATCTTAAACTTTATATAAACACCTAATAACAAATAAAATATAGTAATAAAATTACAACTTTTATTTTTTATTGTTTACAGCAATATACTCATTTATTATATGATATAAATAAATATCATGATAAATTATTAAAATTGAATAATGAAACCAAAACATGCATTGTACTTATATTCATAAATGCATTAATATAATTATAATTATTTATTTTGAAGTTTAAGTCTTTTTTGAAATTAAAAAATATATTAATGTAATTAAAAATTGCTTAAACTGTAAGTTGTATGCAAAAATTATTTTTGTTACTTTAATATTTATTATTAATATTATTGAATGAAAAACCCTTATTTCTCAACTTTAAACCATTCATGATTGTATTAATTTATAATTTATTATAAATAAAAAAAAAATATGTCAACATAATTAGAATTATTAAATCTATTTTATTTTATGACTACAAGTTACTTCATTGTGCATACCTATAGGTATGCAATATAAATATTATGTTTCCACATAACACCTAAACTATTTATATTTTAGCTTCACCCACTATATTTGATTTGCATTAGTGTACCACTGAATAAATTCAAAGTAATAATATGTAAATAGAATATAAAACATAGTATAAAAATAAATTATATTTTTTAAGAACAAATTTATTATCTATAGGAAAAAAAGTAAGTACAATGTATTGGAATAAATGTAGAATAATCTAACATAAATAACATGATTATTAACTATTGGCAAAACCCTCAAATAACAAAAATAATGTTTTTATGTTATTACATATTTAATATTATAGATCATTTTATAGGTCATATGACTAGTTCATTATAAGACCATACAGTTTTCTAAAGGGTTACCTATATGACATATGCTATTATGTGCGAGTTGAATTGAGATTCAAAGTGTTTATGAAAATATTAATTAAATACAATCAATATTTTATTCACAAGGCACATAATACAAAAAATTAGTTCTTAAAACATATCAACTTTTGATATAAATCTAGTTTACAACTCAAGTTCATTTTTTTTCAAAATGTGTATTTTTGACTATCCATTAAGAATCTAAAAAAAAGTTGGACGAACTTTGTTTGGAAGTTATGGGGGAAAACTTCATGAAGTTTGGGTTTTCCATTTTGCGTATTTCTTAGTGGGACTTTAACATATTTAATTTTTTTCCAAAATGTGTGATTTATAATGCTTAATCCATTGATATAATCAAAACTAATGAATTAAGTATTAAAAATTTTAAATTTTAAAACACATTTTAAAAAAAAAAAAAATTGAAAAACGAACTTGGGTCGTAAAATAGGGTAGTTTTCTGTAAATATACAAGTAACCAAGATCAAACAATACAATAAGTAATAAAATATTATTTTCAAAAGAAAATGAAGCAAATTTTAAAGAATGTTTAAAATTTAAAAAAATATATTGTATCTAATTTGATTACTTCATCAAAAAAGAACATAAATACCTATTATATTAAACTTACCTAAATAGGTACCTACATAGCATTACCCTAATTTGGGGTCGGGGGATACTGAAAAGAAGAGAATGCATGACACTTTTGAATGACAGCAGTAGTCTTAATGATGGGTTGAATGGTATTTAAAATAATTTAAAATAATGTGTTATTACCAAGTAGTAGACAATGTTTTTAAACATATTTTGGTACATAGGCCACATAAAATTAGTTTGCATCCCAACTAACACACTCCTAATTGTTGCACTGATAAATAGGTAGATAACTAATTTCAATTATATAATACTTACTTATTTAAATTTTAATTGATTTAAATATATAAAAAAGTTGATTAATAAATCAAGAATAAAATAAATGCACAATAACTGGTAAACATATGAACAACAAACAATTTAGAAAAAAATTTTAATGACATTTTTTTTGGATGTTATTGTTTTTTATTTTTACTAAAAGGGTTCATTACTAAGTACAAACATCAAATTTTGATTTGCTGCAATAATAATTAGTGGATAATATATAATAACTAGGACAATAATAACAAATGGAATAATACCACTGAACCTAATTTTAAAATACCTGTGCAACTATTTTTTTATGTTTAGAGATGTAAGTTTAAACATTTTAAATTTAATTTTTTTTTTTCATTGAAATTTCCTGAACATAATTCATTTTTTTGGTTGTTTGATTTGTATCGCTGCATTAAGGCTATTTATATTGTTGGTTATCAACGCTTGAATATAATATAAATGATAATATATACCTTTATAATAACAATGATTATATACTGTTACAAGTTTAGGAGTTATGAGATGTAAGTGTTTTGACTATTGATAATTTTTACATTTTATAATGACTAAAAGACTAAAAAGTTTAAAAATGTTTTATTTCATTGCACACTATGAAGCCAAGTTTAAAATGAAAACACTTTATACCTGTAATTACTGCAAACAAAAAAAGTGTAGTTAATGTAACCAAAATATATAATCTTGTTATTATTTAAATATGAATTAAACAATTAAACTTGGTAATAACTAAAGCTCAACATTATGTGCATTTAAAAATTGTCAAATATGCATACAAAAAGTGGCTAAATATGCAATTATATGCATTATATTAAACTAAATAAAATATGTTTCAAAAAATAAAACATCATTTTTAATGATAAATAAAATACTTGATAAGAAATTAATATGAGAAATGATAAAAGTTTTATAATATTCAACTTTTTGAAAGCTTTCAAAAAAATTTAAATTACTAGTATAGTATGTTTATATAATTTGATTTTATTATCTACGTTTTAAAAAAAAATAAATAGATTATGAGCCACTGGTCACAAATTTTTAGTGAATCTTTTCAGTATTGTTACAAACATATAGTAACCAATAACAATGAAGATATTTATTCAAAACTTCTCCCAGATCTTATGACTCACCCCCTCCTTCAGCCAAACTATCAAAACAGTTTGAATACATTTTGTACTTAAGTTATAACAAAAATTAAATTAAACAAAATTAAATATTTAAATAATTGATTGATATCATTGATGGTTTGGTATCATGATCATGAAAGAAAATAGCACACAGATTGCCAAATGGGTTTAATAAGGAGAAGTAATAAGAAATTACCTATCGCCACCACCTATCAGAGATAGACACTAAATTTTGTGAATAATTTGTAACCACTCTGACCTTTGAAATGAAATGATTTTCATTATTTTACAGCTGATTCCAATTTTAAAGATAAATAGTCACAGATTACTATCAACACATTTTTTAAATAGTTTACCTAATAGGTAACTTTGGTACTTAATTAAATACAAACATGCAAAATTGAGTTTTTATTCAAGTTTAATAATTGATTGATACATTTTTAAAATTAATAAATTCTTTTTCTGTTATTATTAAATGAAATGTATTTGTTTTACTAGTCGTGGACTTTGTATTTAATAATTTATTCTATACATAATACTTATATGATGTTTATCATAGATGAAAAGCTTCATTTTATTTTAGCTTAAAAATTATTTTTATTGAACTGATAAGTCTTTAATTGAGAAATAAATATTTAAAAAAAAACATTTATGACAATGTATGTATTTTCATTACACAGATGTACTCAGTATTGTAAATATATATTTTTTTTAACTAAATTTTATAACATTCAATTCTAAAAACAATCAGTAATATTATCATTTAGTCTTAAATTAATATTTTTAATAAATTGATCAAACAATTTTAAACTCAGACTTAGCAGTGTCAAATTTTTTTATTGCATTAACTACATTGAAATCCCTTTGAAACTATCATTACATTATTACTAAATAACATTTTGCTCTCAATTTTTATTTTGATAAGAACAAAAAATTGTGTAGTAACGTAATAATTGCAATTGCATAAAAGATAGTTGTGAAATGGAAAATAAGTGTAAATTAAATGTCCCTACAATTAAATTTCCTTGTTGAAAAAGGTAACCGTAAAAATATGAAATCGCCGAAGAATTCAACATTCCATCAAATACATTATTGTCAAGTATGAAACAAAAAGATAAAATGTTGACATTCTATGGTGAAAATATAAAAAAAAAAGGATGACTCTTTATTTGGACATTGATAAATGCTTATTAAATAGGTAGGAACTTTTTGGTTATAGTTAAAATAAAATATAATATTAAATACAAATTAATTGAAATACTAACCAACATAATATAACATTCTCCACCTCCTGTAAATTATTAATTTTATCAAATATACAAAATAAATACTTATTACCATATTTGTGTAGATAATAGATTCTGAGCAAAGCGAGGAATGTATTGGTTTTTCAATATTATTTTTTTTTTTTTTTAACTGTGCACACAATTTCAACCAGAAACCTTGCTCCGATTTTTAAGTGTAGCACTTTTGATGAAAGGAAATTTCATATAGTTTATACTATAGATCACTTTTTGATTTCCCAAGTTGTTTTCATAGTAATCGGGAAAAAAACATGGAAAATTACGAAAATAATGGTTTTATTATTTTTATTTTTATTTTTTTTTTAATTATTAGACCAAACAGAAATACTTGAAAAAATAATAAGAGATTCATTATAAGTTAAATTGTACTTAGTGGTCAACAAGAAAAACTTGAGTTCAATGTATCTAGTTTTTCTTTTTTTTATAAGAATTTTAATACCACATTTTTATGAAAACTGTAAGCCCCTTTAAAACATGTAACACCAAACTCCACTCAGAGACTTTTTTCGTTAGCAACGATTAATCAACGGTGTTCAGTTGTACTTAATTTTTACTCGTCAAAAATGAACATACAAACTACAGTAGGTATATGCACTGAGTTAGATAAGAATATATATATATATATATATATAATTAATTATATTATAATATATTCTTATTTATCTCAGTGGGTGTATCATGGGCCAGAGTTATCTGCATAAAAAAAATTTTGCAAATACATTGAAGTATTCTATATCATATAATAAAAATAATTGTGGTAGGTATTTGTTTACAACCTGTAAAATTATGAAATTTACCTAATTACAGTAGAATTTTGACGAAAACAGTAACTTTAAAGACTTTTATTGAAAAAAGTTACCATTTGGGACTACTGCAGTGCCAAGATAAAAATATACCAATAAGTGAAACAATTTTACATGAAAAAGCAAACGAATAAGCACAAAATTAGGAAGACAATAATTTTAAAGATAGTAGTGGTTGGCTTACAAATTGAAAGAAGTGACGTGATGTAGTTTTAAGAAAACTTTGTGAGGAAAGTGCTTCAGTAAACACACACTGTTGTTCAAATTAGATAAAAATCTTAAAAAAAAATGAAAGTGAAGACGAATAACAAAAGGAGCAGGAGGTTACTACAGTTACAATTCAACAAACTAAACACTCTTTAAAAACATTGAAAAATTGTGTTGAGAAAGAAACAATAATTATTATAAATTTAAATAAAAATAACGAATATAATAAACATTATATTTTCTGTATTTTAATTTGCCCTGTGTGATAATAAAATGAGTAATTTAACCAGAATTTAAATAAAAATAATGAATATAAACATTATATTTTCTGTATTTTAATTTGCCCTGTGTGATAATAAAATGAGTAATTTAACCAGAATTTAAACAGTGTAAGTTTATTTCATAAAGAAACGATATTATAAAAAATAAAATAATTATAAACATATTATATATTAAATACTTTTGTAAAATAATAATTATTAATGGCATACCTAATAAGCAGGGTTCATAACTCGTAACATTTGTATATTTGTTTGAGTGATCTTAGAGATATTTATACGAGCTATAAATTTGTCTTAGGCAACCACAAAGCTGTACACAAATGTTCAAGTATCTGCTTTTTTTTCTATTAACGTCCACTTCAACTTTGTAAGACAGTAACCCTATCAATAAGGAATACTCTTTAATTGTATCACTGACAGATGTATTTTATTTTTATAGGTTTTTAAGTACCTATTCCGGTTTCATTATTATTATTTTTTTTTAATATCATATCATTATTAGTACATATATAAGCGATTATATAAAATTTGTTAAAAGCATATTATTGTGCTTATCACGTTTTTTAGAGCTATAACTTGTGAGTTCTGCTATTGTGTATACATAAAATATATAGGTAAGCATAAATGCAGCCTGCAGGAATATTATTGTTTGTATGTTTATTTTTTTACTGTAAATAATTAGGTACCTAATTATTATTGAGTCATGTTCGAAAAGTGATTAAGGTGCGGTGGAGTGAAGCCCCCAGTAGAATAAATTGAATTCAATTATTGCAAGGGACCCTAATTTTTTCCTAAACTTCATAATCCCAGTTCTATTATTTTTTCAACTAAATCATTGAATATTACTTTATGTATACAAGTGCAAAGTAATGGTACAGTTACAGTATACAAATGTGTTCATTTTTTTCGTACAAAATAAATTCATTAAAATAAGTAGTGCATACTATTTAAAAAAAATGTACTCCTATTACCCTTGTTCTAATACCTCTAGTACCTATTGTAATGTACAGTATAATTTTGCATAGGTATATTTTTTTTCAAATGTCAAAACAAATATTCTTTTTTTTAAATATCATACCAATAAATGTTCTTAAAATTAATATTGTTATCGTACACTAATTACTAACTCATGTAATTATAATAAATAAAAACCTATTTCAATTTATGTTTTCCAAAACGTTTCATTATTGTCAATGATTGATGAACATTCCTCTGAACCTATTTCATATTATGTAGGTACCTAAAGTGTATGGTATCTTTTGAGCCCTAGTGCGCTATTACTTAGATAGGTAGGTACTAAAGAATTTCAGATAATTTCAGTTAGAAACCAAAGATACTATACCTAAAAGTTAAAGCTACACATCAAACATAAAATGGACAAAATAATAATGAACCACTAAATTAACTTGCTTCTAATAATTTTAAATTGATAATTATTGTTATGGTTAAAATTAAAATAAATACTTTCTTCTATTTTTAGTTTCACCAACTACAGTGGGGTAAGGCAGAGTTTATCTTCATGTGAAAAATTATAAAGAGTACCACCTACCCGGGTTGAAGTCTGGATCTTGGAATTTAAAAAAAAAAATCAAAACAACTACAGTTTTTCCCTTTATTACCTTGTTAACGTTTCTGGTTAGAATTTCAGTTGTTTCGTTTCCTGCATAATATACAAGATTTTTAAAAAGTATTCGAAAATAGTTAAAAATTGAAAAATCGAAATTATGATTGACCGCTTGACATTGTACACTATACTCAAATTTTTTTTACCTATAATTACAAGTATCGTTATTGGACCGTGTCATTTTATCGAAAAAATAAAACATGAATTTTCAATACTCGTTGCATAAACGTTTTGGAAATTACATTACGTAAAATATTATAATCATAATAATATCATAGGTAGGAGGCTCTAGGGTTGAACTCACCGTAATTATATTGTATTTTCGGGAGCTTCGTAAAACCTATGTCCGTCAGATAAGATTTTCAAATGTCCACCGTAGTCCCGGGACCGTCCGATCGATCGTCCGACAACATGGCCATAACAATAATTCTTTAGTAATTTATTTTTTATACTCACGGTACACACTTATACACACAAGCGCGCGCGCGTGCACACACACACACACACACACACACGTATATACACACAACGACACGACGGACGGACCACAAAAAATTTTCGCTACGTTATTCGAGGATCCGCTAAGAAACGACTGATCAGACAGGACTAAATAACACTTTTATTGCGGACTACGGTATCTTTTTCGGACGACGGCGGCAGGCACATGCGATTTTCGATCAGTCGCGCCGGCCGGATCCGGAACGCAACGTTGCGCATCGGTGCCGTGTGGTTCGTGCAGCCGTGCTGCACGTTGACCTTTCGGCAACAGCTTCTTAGACCCATAGAACCGAACATTACATTATGAATAAAGCGATTCATAACTTTTTTTAATAACACTGGTTATACCTACACACATTATAATTTATATTATAATATTTTGTATAATATACATTCAATGATAATCGATGACGAAAGTAATGCGTATTCACTATTCGTATTCGTACGCATGCACGACAATAATATAACGCGCGATAACCCCCATTTGTATTTAATTCGGTAGTTTGGTACTCAGGTATTATTATCGCCAACAGACAATAAAATAATTTGTTTATCCGGCCGCGCCGTGTTTACACCAGAACCGGGTGGTACCAGCTGGTGCCAAATAAGGTGGTACGTAATTTTTGGTTTGGATAACAACTAACAAAAACAATAAATTCATATTCAAGTATCTACGGTGCACCGCGACGTTGTTTTATTGATGTATTTATTTTGAGGGGCGCAGTTATAACATTATTGTATTAAAAAGACGTGGGTAAATATTTTTTTTAATATTTTTTTTCATTACAGTTTACCGCTTTAGAATAGGTAGGTAGGCAGTGTAAACATTAAATAATATATGAATACACGTTTAAAAATAGTTACAGTTGATAGGTTCCTGTTGCCGATTGTGTAGTGGTAACTTTGTAAATATGACAAATAGGTCAATGTTTAAATGAATGAACATAAGTATATATTATGTATATTTATGCATTTATTACATAATACGTATACATCACTATAATAGGCAGGTACCTATGTCAAACATTGAAATACCTATGCTTATTATTTCAATCGAAGAAAATATTTAGGTGCCAATATTATTATAGATAGGTAGGTACTATTTGTACAATTTAAGATGATGCCTATACAATATGCATACTATACAGAGTGTAGAACAGCGCATTATTTCATAGATATGAACATAGAGACCTAACAACTTTTTTATATTCTGAGCGTTTTTTTTGTCTGTATAGGACATAGGTGGATAATCATCTTTTTTAACAGAAATCTTACTCCCATCATCAACTTCACGGGTGGTTACTGGACTCTGTTAGCAAATTTTGTCTAGTCGATCTATTTATGAGGTCATTTTTTGATTTTCTTTGTAGTTTTCTTAATAATAATTGAGAAATAATGGGAAAAAATGGACATCCTTAGGAGCAGCCACTGTTGTTAGTAAGAAGTTGGGAATGTAGGATATAGATAGGAAACTGATTTGTATCTGTAAACAGCAATAAATCATTGCTAACGAAAAAACGATTCTGAGTGGAGTTCAGTTGACAGCTTTGTCAACAATATATAAGTCATATTATGGTAAAATATATACATCTGCATAAAGCATTTTCTTTAATAATATTTGTTTAATATTGTTCTATTTTCCGTTCTCCCGGTTTTCTTTGTTTTTTTTTCAGTTTTTACCATTTTTTGGAAAAATCAAAAAAATACTTTTCCAGTCAAAGTTTTTTTACTCTGAAGACTTTCTTTTATAATTTTTTGTATTACTTTGTTTTATTATTTTTATTACTACTTTGTTTTTTTTAGTTATTATATCTCTTTGTGCAACTGCTGAGGTATATATTATGGTCATTACATCTCTTAATAAAATAAAAACAACTATATATTATTATAATAATATATCCAATGAGTAGCCACTGTACCTCTGTATAATAATGATATTGAGGTTGATAATAATATAATATTATAAGGAAACAATTTAATTCCTATTATTTTTAAACACTATTTAAAAAAATAAATGGACATACTTCACAAGATGAGTGAGTGGGACACTGTTGTTGGTGAGAAGTTGGAAATGTTAATTTAGAAGGGGAAATTTAATGTATAGTTGCATGCAACGATTAATGATTGCTAACGAAAAACGATTCTGAGTGAATTTTGCTTATACATGTTTTGAGAGGTCGATTTGAAAATAATGTATTTCGTACATTTTCCCATTTTTCCTACGTTTTTTCCATGTATTATGAATACCCCTGAGAAAATCAAAAAATGACCTCTTAATGTACCAACTAAATAAAATTTCCTTCCAGAAAAGATGCTACACTCTACTATACATCGGACAAAGATTTCTTTTCGAAAAGTGTTGATTACAGAAAAAAATAAACAATAAGCATCATTGTAAAACCAAAAAATAATTCACCACGACCGGGAAATTGAAACGTCTCTAATTGATAATAATGCACGTACCGGGGACCGGGGTATCCAAATACTGCAATACCCATAGTAGGAATAATATTAAAGAGATCTATTTATAGATATTACTACAATAGGTGTACAAAAATATATTTTTCCATCGAGTCTCAACTGCATTGTATTTACTATTCATTCGAGTCCAACTTATTTAGATCCTTCTTAGTTATACATTATATTATTGTTAAAAATATATTTTATATAATTCTGAAATGTTTTTTACATTTATAAAATTTAATATCTCTGATGGAAAATTAATTTATGATAAAATAACCCAAATTAGTTATGAAACAAATGCTGCCTACGTATAAACAATTTCAAAATGTTGACGCCGGGGGCAACTTCCCCCTATGCCCTCGGTTAAACACGCTTCTGAACGTACCTATAGTTCACGCCTTCACGGTGAGGGTAGGTGGAACATTTGCGTACAGAATTCAACGTAAACTATACGAATTATCTGCGTGTAATTCGCACAAATATTACGTACTTACTACTTAGGTATAGCAAGTACGTATATTTACTTAATTTAGTACATATTATTATTTATAATTACGGAAAAAATCAACTATAAATGCCTACATACGTTTATTATACTATATACGATATGTTTATTGGGGTTTCCTTGAACTTACTTTTAAATAAACAGGTATACCTAGGTTTTTGATGTTTATTTTATTATCGTTGTTAGAAAATGTGATAACAAAATGTAACCTGCTCTAGAAACAATTCTTATTGAATGCAATTATATTATTTCTTAGTCAAAAAAAAAATCACAAAAATAGTCAAATAACCGAGATGTAATTTCATGTGTATGACCATGACACTTAAAACTTATATAAAGAAACTCTGAGAAAAAAATGACAAAAAAAGTTGGCAAGATGCCTTCTATTCGTGCGTAATTGAATAATAGCAGTGACTTAATAAGTAATGAAAACTAATAAAAATGACTGCATTTAATCATACTAATCTAGTAATTTACCTAATAATTCCCTACTTAACGAATTGTTTAATTGAATTTTGTGACATAAATTGATCTGTGCAAATGTAATACTTGCACTATTATATTTCATAACAAGTAATAGTACAAACTTATCTTTAAGCACCACCAAAAAATTTAAATATTTTGTATAGGTACCTCTAAAATATTTATTTTCAAAAAGTAAACATTTTTATAGTAGGTAAAGAAATTGTAATTTTGTTATGATGAGAGAACTACCATGTGTATAAGCTTCTTCGCTCCATTTAGATTCTAAAAACAGATTGAGGGTGATTGTATTATTTTTTTTATAATAGTTAATATACAATTTTGATATAAATTGTAAATATTACGGCCTTTTAAAATATGTGTAGCCGAACTTTACTCCGAATCGTACTTCGGTAGCAAGGGTTTATTGTTGTTTACATATATAAATTAAATATAGTTTTATGTATACTACCTTTCAACTTCCCACCTAGAACAGTAGCGTATCCATCCCAAGTATCAGCTATTTTTTGTTCTGTCTGTAAACAACGTTTCGAAAATAAATTCTGCTCCAATGTATAGAATGTAGCACCTTTTCTGAAAGGAAATTGTGCCTTGTTGGTGCATTAAAGACATCATTATTTTGATTTTCTAGGAGTTGTTAAAAATAATTGGGAAAAATCGGAAGCAAAATTATTGGTAAAATGGTAAATATTTACGGCGCACCTTATGTTACCTATTGTTTTTAACTTTTAAAAATTATGTTTTCTACCAGAAATATTGCTTTAATCAAAAAGTACCAAAAGACCTTTTTTGTTGAATTTTAGATCTAGAAGCTCACAAAAAGAGTTTTTTTTCCCCCACTAATAAAATTGGTACACCATGATGGTACCTTTATAACGTATTTATGAAAAAATATAAATACTCGGCATATATATAAATACTTCTCAGATATATTTTTAGATTCTGAGTAGAGCAAAGAAGTTTATGGTTTTATAAATATGTTTATATTTTATTATTATTATTTTTTTATTTGTGCACAACTTTTCAAACAGTAATTTAGCTACAATTTATAATGATAGCAATTTTTCTGAAAGGAAATTTCACTAGGGAGGCTTTAAAGAAGTCATTTTTCGGTTTTTCCAAGAGTTTTCTCAACAAATGTGAAAAACCGGGATAAAACATGGGAAAACCGGGAAAAACGTAGGGAAACTGGGAAAATCGGTACAACATTAAACATGTATAACCGAACCTTGCTCCGAATCGTTTTTCGTTAGGAATAGTTTATCTCACCTTCAAAATTATCCATCCTCAATGTCATTTTTTGTTTTATTTAATTATTTTTTTTTATTAAGGAACTACTTTTCTACCAGAAATCTTGCTCCGATTTTCTCATGTAGCACTTTTTCTGAAAGCAAATTTTATCTGGATGGTACTTTGAACAGGCTTTTTTGTGATTTCTACAGGGGTTTTCATAAGAAATGGGAAAAACTGAGTAAAAACGTAGGGAAAACAAGAAATTTTACGAAAATTAATGTATTATTTTCAAATCATAAATATTGGTCTTTCAAACATATGTAACTGAACGCCGCTTAGAATTTTTTTTGGTTAGCAATGATTATAGTCGTTAAGTACAGATATACATTGAATTTCCCTTCTACTTTTGTAACTTCTCACTTACAACAATAACTCACCAATCGTGCAATGTATATCCGTCTTTTGGAGTATTAACATATAGAACAATTTTGTTTTTTATTTTTTTAAGCAAATATCATATATATATATATATATATCAACACATAAACATTTTAATAATAATTTTATTAAATAATCCATAGACATTTTACATTAATAATAGGTAACTCTAAAAGTCTGAAAAATGTTATATATATTTCGAAGTTGGAACATAAATTAACACATAATATATTACATTTACCATTATTGTTTACATAAAACCTAATGTTTCGTTGAATGTGTACCTAAATATTACTGTAATAGTATTTAAAATTAGTTTACAATGAATTTGTATATAATAGTCTTACCTACTGACTGCTCTACTCTGAATGATGAATGTGTCAACGTGACGTAACAAGAAAAGAATGTTCCACAGTTGTATATTAGTTAACTCGCCAGGTATGCGAAATGTGAAGCATGATGAGCACACACAGAGGTGTAAAAAAAGAATAGTAGAACGTGACATTATAATACGAACAGAGCAATTTAATATATTTTTTCGAACACGTTTTATAAAAAATATACTCGACAAGTTACTATTTTAAAAAGCAATCGAGTTACTAAATGTACTATATGATTTGGAAGGCCCTGAATAACTTATTTATAACTATTATAATGTTATAACTTATAACCATTAGATTATGACAAACATTCTTTAAAAAAGAAAATGTAGAGTCATTTAACATAACATATAATATTCACAAAACTTCAAAAAGCTATAATTTCGAAACTAAGTTAGTTCGCTCAATTCTTACACCACTGCCGTTCTTAAATCGGCATTAAACATATGTTCAAAAAAAAAAAAAATTGAAAGATTAGATTTGTTCCACATCATTTTTTACTCAAACGATTTTCATCAACTTAAAAATTCCTTTAAAAAAATAAATGCATTTAACTCAATTTTTTTTTTTAACTACAAAGTAAGACTCTTAATGAACCTCCTGTTAAATGTTCAAGCATTACTGTTAAGTCTAACAATTTTATCACACAGTACCTACTGAATAAAAATTACGTACAAAACTCAACAAATTAAAATACCTTTATATCTTTTGAAAATTTTATCACGTCTATAAGACAAACATAAGTTTTCTATTAAGATTCTCTACGAATTAATACTAATTTAATAAATTTAATTTAATTAATACTAATTGAATTATAACAAATAAAAGAATTTTAAAAATTACAAAAGTATTATTTTTGTAAATTTCTCGTTTTTCTTACGTTTTTTCCCACTTTACTCTTTTATTGTGAAAAATGACAGGAACATCAAAAAATGACTTCTTTTAAGTACCACCCCAAGAAAATTTCCTTTTAGTAAAAGGTCTACATTGTATAGATCGGATCAATATTTCTGGTAGAATTTTTGTTATAAAAAAAAAAAAAAAACATCTTTGTAAAACCAATACATTCTTCGCTACACTCAATATCTAAAATTTGATTACATAATTAAATATGTATAATATACATAACATATATTGTATAATATGTATTTATATGAACATAATATTCTATCTTAATCAATGTGTCATATTTTTATTACTAAATTGTGACTTTAATACATAGTACAGAAAAAAAATTAAAAAAAAATAGTTTTCTTATTTTAAAATTTAATTTACATTGTATTAAAAAAATATATATCAGAATAAGCTTTCTGGTAGGAAAAATGTTCATATGAATAAAAAAAACATTTTTATTAAGCCAATACATTCTTCACTACACTCAGAATCTAAAATTTAGCGTAATGTAGAATTTTTTCTATAAATGAATTTCAATTGCAAATTCTGACGAAAATTGTAAATATTACAGTCATTCAAAATATGTTTAACCGAACTCCGCTCGGAATCATTTTTCGTCAGAAATTATTAATTGTTGCGTGTACAGATATGCATTTAATTCTCCTCTGTATCCTACCTTTCCAACTTTTTACCTACAACAGCGTCCCACCCTCCGTGTGAATATGTTCGTCTTTTTAAGTTAATATTATTAATAATGTGTAGAATACTGAATGTATTTTATTATATAGGTACATTATAATAATACTAATTTGTGAATAGCTTGAATATATCAGATATTTATCGATATTTAAAATATTAAAGATATTATGTTTTGCTGTAAAAGCTAAAGGGGATAATTTCCGGAACTACCAAGATTTAGAATTAGATTCAGATTTAGAAAATTATTTTTGCATTAGATAATACATTTATCAAGGAAACTTAAGTCGTTGAAGAATGCTTAAAAATAATATCAACCCCCAAAGGGCGATTACAATATTAGGTGGTTAAATATTTGATTACGTGGAAAATGACCAGCATGTACTCTAAATACGTTGTTGCAATTTCCTTCACGCTATATTTCAAATTATAGCGGTCTTTGATCAATTCTTACAAATAAAATAAATAGAAATTGGCTACATAGGTACATCAAATTGAATGTTAATCTAAACTTCTATAACAACAAAAATATGTTTATTTTTAGTTATGATTTATTAATTAACAAAATGTCTGGATTACTATTGAGTTTTACAGGATGTTCGGTTTTTATGGTAGTGGCAGTTTTAAGTTATTATATGTATTGTTTGGATAAGAAAAGAATTTCGGATCCGTGTTATAAATCTAAAGTGGAAGCAAATCGAAATATGAAAAAACAACAAGAAGCCATCAAATTAAAACATAGGATGTTGATATTCCCTAAATCAAATGATATGAAAGATATTAAACGATTTGTTTTTCAAGAAGTAAATCAAAAAATGTTAGTTTATTAAATAAAATATTAAATATTTATTTTTTATAGATTGACAAAGCCGAAGAATGTATGTTACGTGAAAACTATGATAAAGCAGTCGAACATTTTGCAAATGGATTGAGTTTGATAGAAGACAACGGCAAACTTCTCAACAATTTAGGTGAAACATTGCCATCAAAAATGTTTGGGGAAATAGAAAAACAAATACAAGAAATTAAAAAAATGTTACCAATTATAAACTCATAAAAAAAAATGCTTATCTTCTAATAATGATTATCTTCGTCATTCAATTCTGTTTCTGGAGAGTCAGCGATACCTTGTTAATAATAAGTTATTATCTAGAAATCACAGAAAACAATAATTTAGCTTGATTATTATTTGAATATATTTAGATCCAATGTTTACCAACTGAAATCCATTTGTTTATAAATTAATGATAATTTTAAAAAAGACATTCTAAGATAATGGAGACGGATGCAGCCACTGTTATAGGTAATTTAATGTATATCTGTAAGTAACGATAAATCGTTGTTAATAAAAAAAACTGTAAATAATAATAAACCATCGCTAATGAAAAAACGATTCTGAGCGAAGTTCAGTTGATAGTGATGCTTTATCAACAATATACATGTCAAAAAATAATTAGACTTTGTATATTTTCTTTTATAATATTTGTTTAATCCTGGTTTCTTTAATTTAATTAATGTTTTATCCCGGATTTTCACATTTACTGGGAAAACTCTTGGGAAAATCGAAAAATCACGTCTCTAAAGTACCACTTTAGTAAAATTTTCTTCTGGAAACATTACTATGATTAAAAGTTGTAACGAAATTGCTGGTAGAAAAGTTGAGCACAAAAAAAAAAAAGTCCGTAATATATTTTAATTAATACATACATTTTTTATATTTTCCCGTATTTTTTCGGTTTTTCAAATTTGCTGGGAAAACTCATGAGAAAATTGAAAAATGACCTTTTTAAAGTACTTCCTCATGCTAATTTTCTTTCAGAAAAGGCGATACACGTAGAAATCCGAGTAAATCTTCTGGTAAAAAAGTTGTCACAGATAAATAATATACATCTTTGTATAACTATAAACTTTTTTGCTCCACTCAGAATCTAAAATTGAAAAATGAGATATGTTCCACATAATATTTTACTCGAAAGATTTTCTCCAAAAATTTGATATTAAAACTTTTTAAAAAAAAAAATCATACATTTAACTCAAATTTTGTTTTACCATAAAGTAATACTTAAAATGAACCTCCTGTTAAAAAGGTTCACGCATTTCTATTTAGTTTCTTGTATTTAAACTAGTGCAGTGGTGTAGTCGAGTACTACTGATTTATACATTTATACTTATAATGCACTAGTTATTATATTATTATATTTATATAAGCATATTATAAACCTTCGAATCAACTGTATAAGTGTCATATATCGAATTACTATTGAGTACTAGCTGAATACAAAATACAATAATACAATAGTGTAACGTAAATACTATGCAATCTCTGAGCAGAAAACTTTCATTTTTTTAAAAAATTGTATCCGTTTAATAAATCCGTAAATACATACATTTTTTTTTGTTTTGTCATATTTATGTTTTAAATTCAATTAATTAATATTTTAGTGTTTTGCCATCACACGTAATTGTTAAGACTAATCGTTTTTACGGTTTAAATAATAACAATAATAATAATAATAATAAAATACACGCACAAAACAATAATGAAATTAAGGTTAGGTATTCAGGATAGTTATCCGGGGAAACTTTGTTTTTTTGAGAAGAAGAAGGTCATTTTAAATTAATTTTAGACTACTATTATTCGTTAGTATTCCATCGTTTAAGGGGGTTAGGTTTCGTTCACACGCATAGGTACTTGTATAAAACTGATTATTTAGACTAATCCATTTCTTTTGATGGTTTTTCATCAAATCATTTATATGGCTTATTTAAAATGAAGGAATAATTTAACTGAACATAATATTATTAATTTTACACCCATGACGCAATACTGATCACTAAAAATAGCCCAATGGAAAAATAATTTCTAAATTACTGAAAAAATATATTTACTGTTCAATCATTCTGAAACAGGTATTTAAACTTGTTCAGATAAAAACATAAATATAATAAAATAAACTAGTTAATTTATATGCATACATTTTCTAAGAAGAACTTTGTAGGTAAAATTGAATGTCTGTATAGAATATTATACTTCATATTATTTACTCGTTTCTGTGCGACAAATGTATGTATATAATATACAAAAATAACAATAAAAATCTTTAAATATGTAAATCTAAACGATAGTATATTGTATTCTGTAACATAAAATATAAAACAATTGAACGATTGGAATTCAAATAATATTAGTTATTATTTAATACCGTTTGTGCAAATGACATGATTAATTTACTGGGGCTCGAATAATAGAATAAAACACGATAAAACGGTAACCACAAATAATAATATAATTGATGAACGATAGAATGATAACGTTTGCAGAGTGTTTAATGGGTCAAACTGAAAATGGTGATCGGGCAGAGCAAAGATCTGAAAAACTCAGTAAACCGTATGAATATTCAGATGCGTCTTCAGGCGCAATACAGCGAGATGGTAACGAATCGCTTAGAAATCAACATAAGTGCGAGTTCGTGACGTTCGATCGGGATTGTTCCAAACAGTTATTTCAAAATAAAACAACATCGTTTGTCTATTCAAACGAGGACGTGGATTATAATGCTAAAGAAAAGTCTGTCGACTGCCGTAAAATCTTTTCGTTTGACAACCGCTTAGATAGACAAACATTCACTGACGAATTGCATTCCTGCAGAGGAAGCTCAATGGCCACATCAAAACACAACACACAATATGAGACAATCGACAAAATATGTGACAAACTATCAGTAACCATAATGAAAGTGTGCGATATAATATTGCAAACGCACAACGGAAATTGTATACACAACTCCAGCGACGGCGATGGGATCGAACAAAATCGAACAAACATCACCGGGAAAATAGATGAATCGATAAATGAATTTGTCCGGACAACTGAAATCGCCACGAATATGTTGCGGACATTTCAGACTGATCGACTAAATCAGGACAAACGTGACGTAAACGCCATTTCCGAAGTACTGTACACGATAAACGAATGTTACGGCCGGCTGTTTTTGTTGATAACGCGACCAGAGAAATCCAAACTACTCAAAAACATTGATGGTGAGGGTTTGGATCGTACAAAAAAAAATTATAGAGAGACAAATATCATACGAGAAAGTTTTGCTGACGAAGGAGAGCACTACAACAGTGATCTAGTCGTATCTAGTGTTGTGAAATCGATTAGAATGAGAAACGCAACCGACGCCATTCCCGCCGAGGCGCTTGCAATGATCACGAACCCTACAAAGATAATACGTGAAACTAATGTCAAAAAATTAACAACTACGGGATTAATGAAATGTGATTCATCATGTAGCTCTCTGTTCGATTACCGTGATAAAAACCGTCTGATTAATTCAAAAAATCATTTTAACAATAAATTCGATTGGGAGCTCGAATCGTCGACAAAAGACGGAAAACAAAACGACATCTATCCAGATAACAACGTTATTGATCCATTTATTGGTCCCAAAAATCATAGCGTTAATAGTGCGTTAAGACATATGACCAGAAATATAATTAATAAAGAAAACATTATTTTATCGAACATTAATACACCGAGAAATTATTATAAAATTGACAATCAACAAAATTTGAAAAATATTAAAAAGATAAATACAAATAAACTGCCTAACCGTCAGCTATTAATGGAATTAAAATCTAAAAACACATTCAATTCTATTGCTGCAAATCAAACTTCAAAAAAAAATGACATTATTCGTAATCGTGATAATAGTAAAAACACTCAATTCTGTAGAAAAGAACCGACACTTAAAACGGAAAATACAAAAGTGTTTGAAGATACAACGAAAAAAAGCACAAACAACTTATCATCATATTATTATAGTAACAAGATATGTTTTACAAACAAGGTTATTATTAAAATATTATTATACAACAATAAAATATTTTTAACGATTTTTTTTACTATTAAGGAAACATACGGCACCTTTTTTTTCCCCTCAATAATTTCCAAAATCAAACCAAATAAAATCGAACATGCTGAAGAGAAAAAGTTCAAATTTTACGAATCTATGAAACAAGATATTATGGGAGGAGCTTGGAGTAAACGGTTGATTGATTTAAAAAAAAATGAATCCAGGAAGGAGTTTAAATGTATCGATTAATTTATTTTAATTATTAAATTGATAAACCTGTTATAACACCAAAATCTGAGCAATCCGTATTATATTTTATTTTATGAAGTATATACTTTGATATTTTTTTCTGTGATCATGGTTTTGGACGATAAAAAGAGTCGAGTTTCGAAAGAGTTTCAAAAATATTATTTTTTACAATTTTAGTTGTAAAATTGTAAAAAATTACCAAAAAACTATGATTAATTAGATACTTGGACGTGCTTGAAAATCGTTTTGAATAAATCATTGTAGTTATTATTATTTATACTTTGTGAGTTTAAAATAAATACATTACATTTATGATTATAGGTTTACCTACTGAAGTTAAACAGAACTAGCAGTCCACCATTGAACTTACGTTCTCAATTAGTGTGTGGGTGTAATTTATATTAATATAAATTATACAATCAACAGTACAATTAAAAAAGATATCCTAGGATAATGGAGACGGGTGCAGCCACTGTTATAGGTAATTTAATGTATATCTGTAAGTAACGATAAATCGTTGTTAATAAAAAAAACGATTCTGAGTGCAGTTCAGTTGATAGTGATGTTTTGTCAATAATATATATATATATATCATATTATGGTAAAATAATTAAATAGGCATTTAATATTTTCTTTAATACTGATTTTGTACCGATTTTTCCAGTTTTCTTTCTCGTGTTTTTTCTCGGTTTTAAACATTTGCTGGGAAAACTCTTAAGAAAATCGAAAAAACACCCCTCTAAAGTACCTCCCTAGTAAAATTTAGAAATATTGCTATCAAGTTGAAGCGAAATTGCTGGTAAAAAAGTTGTACACAGAAAAAAAAAGGCCACAATATTTTTTTACTAATATCTACATGTCGTACATTTTCCTCTTTTTTTTTTTTAGGGGCCTCATTTGGAGCGGAGGTAGGAGTATGCCAAACCCTAGATTTTAAAGTGGCTTTGAGATGGCTACCGGGTCAATATGGAACGACTCTAGAGCCATTACGTGCCGTAATATAACATACATATCATCACGAAAAGGCGAACATGATCATGTTCTACGATAAGACAAGCACAAAAAACGGGGTTTTCTTTTTCTAAATATTTTAAGTGTTTATGAGAGTTAAAAAAAATATATTTCAATATTTTTCTTTTTCAGCGTATAGTTTATTGAAACTTAAGAGTTTTTTGTAAAACCAAATTAAGAATATTTATATTCGAATAACGTATATGTTAACAACAGCAGACAGAGTTTGCTTGATATAAATTGTAAACAAATATTCAATTATAGTCAGGAGACTTAGTAATCGAAGGGAGTGTCTTTTTTTTCAGTATAGACTTTTATAAGGCTAGCATAGGTGACATAGGTAAAAATGTACTTAGCTTACCAACAGTGACATGCTTGTGAGACGTGGTAGATAGCTTAAGGATATGAGTAGTAGCTTCTTCTATTTCAGAGGAAGGTGCTGAGAAAAATATACGGACTTATGAAAAATAAACCAACTGGGAACTATAAAAGGAGAAAAATACCACTTTGGAATCCCTATATAATAAACCAATTATTAAATGTTTTCTGGAAGCTAAGCGTCTAGAATGAATGAGTTATGTATGGCGAGCCGAGAGGAGCAAAATTCAAAAAGTACTGATTAATAAATTAATTGACAAACGTCTTAGGGGAAGACCTTGATAACGATAGAAAAATAGAGTAAATGCAGCTATAATAATGGTAGACGGAACGGCAAAACTCAAAATTCGAGGCAAGTGATAAATAAAAGAACTTAATACAAAAGCTACAAAAGGCCATTAAAGCCTATAAAGCAATAAAAAAAAAATCTGGTTGTATACTTATTGGGTCGATTATTATTATATCCTAGTCCTATCCTAGTAAATATTGAAATGACATCCCTGCCTCTACGCTAAATACATTAAATAAGTTTATACTTTTTAAAGGCCGTAATATTTATGATTTTCGTTAAAAATTTGATATTAAAATTGTTACGAAAGTATGTTTTTATGTTATAGAAAAAAAAAAAAAAACATTCAACTTTTATTGTTGGCCATTTTCTAGCATTTTCGTTTGATCTAACAATTTTATCCACAGAGTAGGTACTACCCTAGATACCGAATAAATAGTACATAAAAAAATATCTATAATAGGTCAAAAACGGCTCAAATGTTTTGAACATGTTACCACATATATAAAACGCAAAAATAATGTTGTTGTCCAAATTTTAAATCTCTACGAACATTTTAAACTGAATTACAATAAAATAAAAAACAGTTTAAAATTATAAAAGCATTATTTTCGTAAAATTTTCGGTTTTTTTCCAATTATGAAAACCGTTTGGAAAATCTGAAAATGATATCCCCAAAATATTACCCCTACTGAATTTCTTTTCAGAAAAAGTGCTGTACTTTAAAATCGGAGTAGAATTCTGGAAGAATTTTCGTAAATACGCAGTATAAAGAAAAAAATTATAAATAAACATAATTGTAAAACCAATACAGTCCTAGCCCCGCTCAGAATCTAAAATAGTACACGGGCTAAACATTTTAAAAATATTATTTATTTTATTTAGGCACTAGGGAATGAATTTGTAAACATTAGTATATTAATTTTATTGATTACGTAGGTGTAGATACCAATACCTACTAAAGATAATATAGAATAAATTTATCTAGTTTTTCTACTCTCTAGTAATTATCAAGATTTAAGTAAAGTACCTCATAGACATAATATAATAGAATAAATATAAATTCTATCTTAATATTCTACCTAGGTATCTAAAAAACCCACTATTATAGATACAAACACGTCATTCAAAAACCACATAGGTACCTAATATATTAGGTATCTTTAATATCAAACAAACGACTATCGTTATCATTTGATTAATATATTTCAGTAAAATGATAACAAAAGCCGAATGAAATGTCAACGTGTTTAATCATAAGAATAGAAAAGTTGTAACCATAAGGAATATAGGTATTATAATAGTTGTAACTTTAGTAATGTAAATTAACTAGGTAGAAAGTTTTTCATAGTTCATAGTTTGACCATAAAATTATTACTGTAATCACAAATCAGATTTTTTTTTTTGTTATTTAACTATTGGTTTATACGATTTATAAGAATTATAACAGGTAGGTATGTACAACATACTGTAACTAAAATACATAGGTTACAATTTACTTTTAAACATCAATTGTTAGGTACTATTATGTACATTAGATAGGTATGTAAGTTCAACAAAGTCTTTGCTAATAAATTTAAAAATGTAGTAAAACCTTAATAAAATTAATAATTACATTTTGTCTACTTATCTCGGAAGAGTGTTTTTCATTTGATTCTGCCATCATAAATAATGTATGTATAAAACTTAATTCATAAGAATAAATACTTATTGATATTTGATAACAGTGATCATTTTTTGATAACAGAATGTCGATTTCTTTAATATCTGAGTTCAGTTAGTATTCTTTACTGTGTTTAAATTCATTATTTTACATTCATTTTGATGTTTATTTGTTTGATTACAGTTTCCGGTACAAATGTTATTAAACAACTGAACAACTGTAATATTAATATATTACTTCAATGTTATAGACTTAATTATTTGTTATATTGAGTTTTTTAATTTGGAACAAGAATTTAATCAATTTTATTACTTAAAATAACATATAGATAGATTTTAAAAATTTGAGATCATTACACGTAAGAAGAGTATTCTTCTTAACACAATAGCCGGTCTTGGAGTCTCAACGCGGCCAACACTATCTCATTCTATTAGCCTCTATCACATTTCTCTCGAATCAACTTTAAATTGGTTTTTCTGAAGAAGTGTATTATTTTAGTATGTTATTTATAATTTTGTAGTTAACCAAATAGAAGTTTATGATAATTTTAATTAAGTTGATTAGGTATTAAAGTTTAATATTTGTATTATAATAGTTGGTTAGTAGCGGTTAACCTAACTAAATATGAATTATATCATAATATTAATTATAATTTATAAACTTAGCTGATTCATGTCATGTACATAAATAATAAAATAATATTTAAGTAGGTTAGGTATATTTACTTGTATCAAATTACCAAAATGTAAAGATATTTTCTAAAATGTTAATTTTTGAAAAACAAGAAATTATGCTTTTATTAGTACCTGTGTACTATCATTCTAGAACTTTGAAACAATTATTAATAATAGTATACACCTATATATTGCGTATACATTTTTTTTTAATACTATTTACTCAAATAATTACACTGTATATTAAATATTATATTTGTGCTGCTTTTACCAGTTTTATCTTTCATGTTTAAAATTGTTCAAAAATAATAATTTTTTCACCTTTTTAAACCATTTTATTTTGTTTTAGAGTATTGCAATGTTAAGGTATAGAGGGAAAAAGATAACAGCACTAAATATTGTAAAAGAATTAGATTCTTTTCCAAAAGTCCAAGAAGAAATTTACGAACCATCTACTTATGATAACATAATATGTAAGTTATACATAATTCAAGTTTTAGATTTTTGTAATATATTAATTAGGACATCCTATTTTTTGCAATGTTTGTTTATATTTAACTCATTCACTACCATGTATTCTACTATAATACATGTTGTGTAATTTCTGCACCAAAAACAGTGTTAATTTCTAACAAAACATATCTTAGTAGAAAATGAATGAAATATCTTAAACTTGATATAAACTATATAAACTTGTGATAAATTAACTAACCAAGTTATATTCAAACTTGAAAAAATCAAATCCAATAGAACTTATTCAAATAAGATGGCAAAAACAAAATGTTATTTATCGTTAAATGATATTTTATGTTTATTTTTAAAAATCAGTTATTTCTTGTCTCAAGTAGATATTATGCAAGTTTTTTTTATGTTATACTGAATAATGATTATTGATACTAAGTTAATACAGTAAGTAATGAGTAATTTGTATGGCATGTGTAAAAATTATTAAAAAACAACCAGATAAGCTATTGATAAAACTAAGTTCTATATTGTTTAAATGTTAGGACTCAACAAATGGTTGAGACATAAAAATCTTATAAAAATCTCTTATCTACATTCTACATGTATAATGTAATGTGTTGGAATAGAAAAAATATTTAAAAAACTACCACACATGCCTAAAAAAAAAAATGTTTTCATCATGATTCATAAAGCACATTTTGTAAATTTACCTCTTCTTTATTTATTCTTAAAAATTTTAAATAAAAAAATTGTTATGTTTTTCAGTAACTGCACTGGTTGCATTATTTGGTCTGTGGTTGATAATTTCTCAAATACAATATGTGTTGCAAGAACGTTATACATATAAATTTGTAACAGATATTGAATATGCTACCAAACTTCAAATACATATAGACATTACAGTTGCATCAGTTTGTGATAGTAAGTGTGTTATTGGTACCTATTAATTACTGGATAATGATTTTAATTTAATTGCATTAAATACATTTCATATTTAGGCATAGGTGCTGATATTGTTGATACTACAGGACAAAATATGATGTTATTTGGAGAGTTGAAAACAGATGATACTTGGTGGGAAATGACAGAGAAACAGCAGAACTTTTTTAATGAAATGCGAAATGTCAATGAATATTTAAGAGGAGATTTTCATTCAATGAAAGACTTATTGATGTTAAAAGGTTTTCGTACATACATAAACACCATACCAATATTCCCTGTTAGGTATATTTGAACAGCTAAATACTTGTCTTGCTTATCTATTTATGTTCATAAAAATGATATAACTGATTTAGCCACATTATTTGTAGTCCTTGCCATTGTAATATTACAATTTTTATTTTTATTTCTAAAGTGAAACTATTTTAAGAATTCATAATATGTTTGATAACTTAAGTTCAATTTCATTAACTACTATCATTGCAATTTAATTTATCTACTGCCTTGAAGATAAACACACACACACATATTCCCATTCACTGTTTCTGTTTATCCAATGACCATACATCACAATTTTTTTTATACTTCCATTATTACTCTTGTGGCTCTTTGAACTTGAAAATTATTTCACCAAATTAAAGATGACAATATACATTTTGTTTTTATAGAGGGATTTTTTTATATTTTCACTATATAATTTATATCAAGATTAAATTTTAAAGTAAGAATATGTTGTCTGGGTATTGGTTATCAAAAAATCCCCCAGTGAAAACATAGTAAATGTTGTTATCCTTAATTTGGTGAAACAATTTTCATTTTAAGAGCCCTAATTCTAATGGAAGTATAAAAATACATATTTGCTATATTATTTATTAGATAAATAAGGGTAGCAAATGCCAAACAGTAGTCTAAAATGAATATTTTTCTTACATAAAATTAATTTCTCTTAAATTTGACTTCTGAAGGACATGCATTAAATCAATTATAATATTTTTGGATACCGAATGTAAATTTATTGTTGTCAGTTTTGAAATCAACACCTTTAATTAGGGAGTAGTAGAGTGTTTTTTAAGTTTCAATGAAACTTCATATTTCACATCAAACTATATATTATTTTGAAAGGCACTTAATCTAAATTTGTTATCAATTTTGAAATTAACTCCTTAACTATGGGAACAGAAGGGTTTTTTTAGTTTAACAAAATTTAAATATTTCACATAAATTTATATTTTTACAATGCTTTTTTTCTATTTATTAATATGGGCTTATTTACAATAGAATTACTTATAAAACATAATATAGTGTGATTTTTTATCATGAACCAGCAATTATTTCAGAGGATTTTAAGTGAATTTGATTTCTGTTTTTCTAATCATTATTGAACTGTTGAGGTTTTATTTTAAAACCATGTTTTAATTTTTTACCCTTACTCCATATAATTTAAATAAGTGCATACTTTTAATGTAATAGACACCCACCCCTTTTGAATACTGATTTGAATAGACAACATTTTTTTAGAAATTTTGATATGCATAATACTAATATCAGATTTATCATTTATGAGTTATAACAGTTTAAAGTTTAGATCAGAGGAGTAGGTAAGAGTAATAAATTACCTATGATCCTTTATCACATTTTAGAATAAAAAATATGTTGACATTATTAATTACTTACCTTGATATAAAAAGTCCATTTTATAATATAACTATTCTAAATATTTTTTAAAATAAAGGTAGGTTTACACAAGACGTGAGCCAAGACGCAAGTTGTGACTCACAACATGATTTTAGTTCAGTAAGATGGAGTCATTAGTGGCGGAAGCATGTTCTATTTTGTCTGTTGTGTTGGCTCAACAATTGAAACAATGATTAACAGAAAGTGATAGATCTAAGTTAAAAAGTAGAAAGAAAAGGAAATGGTGGGTAAAGCAATGGATTCAAAAGCGTAAAATTAATGGCGGTTCTATGTTTATTTCACGCGAGTTAGGAAATGAAAATCCGGAAGATTTCAAAAACATTTTATGTATTGTAATTTAGTATTCCATAGAACTTCTTCTTTTTAATAATAATCTATAAAATGCATTATTTGTTCGTCATTCATTTTCATAACATTTTTATTTACACTCATGTTGTTGATATAATAATAAGATAATAAATGTATTATAATTAAATAACTTTCAATTGAGTAAAATAATTTAAGTTATTACAAGTATTTTTAGTCAAAATGTTATAAAAAGATAAACATAATCAGACAAACAGTACATCATAATTGAGGTTTCATGACTGAAATATCTAACATGGTTTGATATTGTACGAGATAGTCATGAAGTACGAATTATCTGTTTACACAAACCGTGAGCCATGCTTCTAAAGACTACACAAGACTACTGGAGTAAAAACTACTGGCTACTTACTCGTGTAAACCTACCTTAATGAATCTGTTTGCTATAGTAATATTATGAAATAATTTGAATAACATTATGTATATTATCAGTCATAAATCAATTTCGCTTACCACTATGATAGTTTTTGTCAAACTTAGAGTTTTATAATCATGTAAAGATAACATTTATTTCAAATTTGTCATTTGACTAAAATTGTATCATACATTCTTAATTAAATTTCATGTATGCTAAATTTACATCTCAGACCAATATGTGCCAGTGTGGCAAGATTTATATTATATGCAAATTTATTAATATATTTTGTTATTTTATTTCTTTATTTCTTTATATATATATATATAAGCATTTTTTAAAGATGTATGAATTACTTGAAATAGTTTATTAATTTAATTCTCAAACATTAATAATCATTTATCAACAATATTAAAATATACTTTCTGGGACTGTCTGGGAATAATGTTGATTATGATCATTATTAAAATCTATTTTGTTTGAGTTTATACAGTAACATATTTGATCAATTTTCTTTTATTCATCATTCAATTATATATTTGATGTATAACAAATAAAATATGAATTTAATGAGTCAATTTTTTTTCATTTTTATTAAAAAAAAAAAAAACCATTCTTTCTTTGAGTTACATAGTTAAATATTTAAAATCAAATTTTGTTGAAAATTCATTTAAATTAAGTTATAACAATTAAAACCCAAAAATTATATCATCAAATATCAGTTTTCTATAATACACCTTTATCAAATTTTATTAAAACATGTAAACAAATAATATACTTTTATTTTTAATATGTATTATTTAATTGTTAGAGAATTTATGTACATAAATATTATCTTTTAACCAGTGATTTCAAGTGAATAATATAAAAGTATAGGTATAATCTAATTACATGAAAGTAGTAAAATAATGAGAACTTTTATTATTATTATTATTTTTTATTATTTAAATATAAACATTTTGAATATGTTCTTAAAACAAATATGCTAAAGATTATGTAAAAAAAAATTTGACAATGAAAAAAAAAAAGTAAAGGTTTACTCAAAACTTAAAATTATTGGAATTAGCATTCATAAATATTTTAAATTGTATTTCATATTTTCAACATGTATTCTATTAGAATTTTACCCATTTTAATATTTTTGAAGAGTTAATATTTGTATTGTAGTTAAATATTTACATAATAATTTTAATATTTTTAATAAGCAGTGGATGGAAAAAAATTGAAATTAATTTTTTTATTTTATATTTACAGGGATACTTTACCAGATACTTTACCTGATGCATGCCGTATACACGGATCTTTAATTTTAAACAAAGTGACTGGAAATTTTCATATTACTCCTGGAAAATCAATAACTGTTCCAGGTGGTCATGTACATCTTTCGAGTCCATTTTTTGACTCAGTTGCAACTAACTTTTCCCATAGAATTCATCAATTTTCATTTGGCATTCCTATTAAAGGAATTATATATCCTTTAGAAGGAGAGCTCCATGTTTCAAGAAATGAAAGTATAACAAAAAAACTAACATCACTTGCATAATTTAATTCATAATTTATTTAAATTGTTTAAAAAGGTGACGTGTCCTATAAATATTTCATAGATGTGGTGTCTACAGATATTAATACACATTTAGCTAAAGTTAAAACTTATCAGTATTCAGCTAAAGACATACAAAGGATAATTAGCCATGAATCTGGTTAGTGAAATAACTAATTCAACTTTTCTAAGAATTACATTTATTTTTTATAATTGAAATTGAATTTATAAAAAAAATAGGCATGTATAGAGTGAACCAGAAATTTTATTAGTTTTTACATCCAGTAGATTAAATTATCTTTATATTTTTTAATTTTTAATTTTAATATAGGCCAGTGCCCTAAGTATTAAATTATTAATTATTAGAATTATCACACCATACATGGACATAATTTAATTTGGAATTTATTTAAATGAATACTGTATGAATTTTGTTTATTTGTTTATGTACAATATACATTTTACAAGTATATATTATAATACAGAACCATTTAACAAATTTTGATCAATTACATTCTTTAATTATTATTCTTCAAACTCAATTTAGCTTAAGATTGTCAATCTTAGACCAATGATCTCAGCAGTCCGGTCTTATTTTTCCTTCTTGATGAAATAATAGTATTATAAACTATGCATAGGTATAATTATTATGATTAAAAGGTTATAATATGCATAATATGTAAAAAAAAAAAACCAAAGTGTTTTTGATTAATACTAAATAAAATATCAAATATAAAAAATGAATAAATAAAAATAACAATATATATATATTATTGTATTTTATTGTATATATATAGTTCTATTTTTTCAGTTTTCTTTGATAATAGTATTTTAACAAAAAAAGTGATGAAAACACACAATTTTTAAAACACTTCAACCTTGTTTTTTTTTCCTAATAATATATTTATTTTTTTGCATGTAGATACAGTGTGTAAATTGAAAATTGTATATAACATTGTAATATCATTTATTAGAATTGTTTTAATTATGTAAAATAAATATTTATAATATTAGGGGGGGGGATAGTAAAGTATAAACTATTCAACAGATCTCATCACTATCATTGTACTTTTAATATATTTGTTTGTTATATTACTATACATTTTTATAAAATTCAAGCCCAAAATTAGCTGAGTTACAACAATTTTATTTCATTTGATTTGTTGATTTCATACTATTTTTCACAGTTCATTCTAAAATAATTGTAAAAGAAATATAAACCACTTGGAATTCATTATTCTGTAACATTTATCAGGAATTTTAACCCATCACTAATAATAATCATAAATAATCTCCCAGTGTATTAATAAATATGTAGTTTTTGTAATTACCTGTAACATGTATTAGTATGTCAAAATTACATCATAATTCAATAATGACATTTAATTCATCTGTTTGGAGAATATTTATCCTGTGTTTGAAAAGTAATTTCTTGTTTTTACATTATTTTCAATTTCATTTTCTCTTTATAAAAACATGGAGGGAATATTAATGTATTTATTATACTAATGTATAACAATTAAAATTATAATTATTATTAGTTACAAAGTAATAATTTAAGTATATTTAATATGGTAAATTTTTACCCTGCATGACCAAATGTAAAAAAAAATTACACGACCAGTAACAGGTAAAATTTGCTGTCATTAAGACAAACTTTACTTAATGGCTTCATATCTAAAAATATCAAATGGATTGAAATTGTCACATTTCTGAAATTTTAAACTTTAAAAAGTTTCGCAATTAAAATTAATGGAAAAAGTAACTAGTAGTTAAAATGAGGGTTGCTTTAAGAAAAAAAAAATGTATTGGGAAAGTGCATATTTAATTAACAATAAAACAATTCCAAATAAGTGAAAATAAGTGATACTTATAACTAAATAAAAATTCAAGTTGCATAGCTCTGTGCAAGGATGTTGAGTATTTTCAATTAGTATTTACATTTACACATTGTATACCTACATAATATGTAGGTATGTATTGTTATTTTAATATATAATAATTTTTTTTTTTTACATTGTATTCTTCTTAACTAACCTAAAACTTATATTATTTAATATTTTAGGAAGTCATGGTATGCCAGGTATATTTTTTCAATATGATGTAAATGCTCTCAAATTTATTATCACTGAAGATAAAATATCAATTTTTCATTTTGTTATTGAAATAGCATCATCCTTTGGTGGTGTATTTATATTATTTAGTAAGTAATTACATTTTAAAAATATAATTTGTATAACTTTTAAAGTAATTTTTTTTCAGAATTAATGAAGATCATAATAGATAAAATAAGAAAAAATATATATTGTTCACATATAGTTGGAAACTCTCATTCAAGAGAAAAGTCATGAATTTTTAATGAATTAATTTATAAAATATGTATGAGCTATAGAAAATTAAATTAATTTATTAAAATTACATTTTCTTTAAAAATAAATTATCAACTGTAAATCTAGAATAATTATTAGAAAACAAAAATAACTTAAAAACCATCAAACATCTATTAAATAATTTATTGTAGTTGCTATAAACAAAATGTATTATTTTACATTTTTCTAACACAATAATTATTGTGTTTAAAGATAAATAAATACAAGATAATGATCAAATGAACTCCATACTGCATATGTTGTCTCAGTTATACAAATGTAACCAAATTTGGATTCAGTAAAACCAATTTTGTGCTATAAGTGTTCATTCATGTTGGAGTGAATTATTTATATTCTTGAAGCCGATTTTATGAAAATTACTATAAGTTATTTTATTTGATTTATTATTGTAAAAAATTTTTTCAAAAGTATTATTTCTTGTTATATAAGTGTTAGTTTTTTCCCATTTTTTACACTTTCAGTCATTGCTCTTATCAAAGAAACTCTGCTTTTTTTTAAATATTTAATATCATGAGTTATAATATTTTATAATAACAAAAGAAAATATCTACAATTCAAATTTATGCTTTTATTAGATAATCATAAACCATATTTTCCATTTTAATTTCATATTAAATTTATAATTTTATGGCCAATATTTTGTTTATTATTATAAACCGTAAGCAATATTTTATTACAAATAACCATACATTTCAAACATTCAATAAACAATAATAATATATATTTATTATTTATTTGTGTTTACATTAAAAATATGCTATTCATATACTATAGAATAAAATATTACACAAGTATGTTTTAAAGATGGATGGTTAAAAGTAATTAAGTATGACACAAGCAATACAAATTATATATTCAATTTTAATTCTTATTTATTTATTCATAAAAAAGTAAAATAAAACTTATGTTGTATAACATATGCACAAAGATTATTTAGAACTTATAGCTTATAAAATACTGCAGTTCATTAAATTGAAATCATAATTCAATATAAATTAATGTTACATATCAATTAAAATTAAAATCAGTACTTTTAATTATTGCCATTAGACCATTATTAATCGGTAATGATCGGCTTTAGACTTTTCAATTTCTAATAGATTCAAGATTAACTCGGAAATGTAATAGGTCCAATAAAATAAAAGCAATCTATTAACTATTAAATCATTTTTCGCAAAATTACACAATTTAGGTTACTTTTCATTTTGATTTAAATTAAAGTAAGAAAATACTGTCTTAACAATAGAATGATTAAATATTTTACAACACACACAAATTGTTTAGTTTTTAATTTTTAAAATTACTTGTAGGTACTTAGTAAAATACTATATTATACTTAAAAAATCAATTATTTGCTACAAAAAATTCAATGGTTACGATAATTAATACATTGAAAATAAAATTTACTTTGTTTATCTCTCTAAAAAAAAAAAAAATGTATAATATTAACAATTTACCTTACAACTAAAAATTAGATCAAGGTACAATATTTTTTAAAAATATACTCGTATTGACTCGTAGTATTGACTGAATCCATTATATGTCGTTATTATCAATTTTATTATCATCCCCTTTAATATTGTATGTTTTTTCAATATCACTGCATATATATGTCCAATAAGAACACCGTATAGGATCATAGACATTTGCTAAATCAGAACACAACTAAAAAAAAATAGTATTATTAATTATTAAACAATTATCTCGTTAGGAAATTAATGAATATACTTTTAATGCAAATTTAACTTTTGCAATATTTTTAGGTTCTGTAGATTTTATATCTGCATCAAGCATATCAATCAAACAAGCTATGAGATGTACTGATCTATTTCCATCATTGTATAATTTTGTACAAAAATCACGAACTTTATTCTCCAAGATCTTATTATCTTTGAATAATAATAATCTATGTAAAGGTAGCAAATGAAAAAATAATTATTAGTTAATATTTTCACATAATTATTTATCAGCATTACCCTTTTAAGTAATTCCATGAACTTTCATTTTTTGATAAAATTACTATTTTATCAAAGGTATATTGAAGTTCTTTTACAATTTTATTAGAATCATAGGCTAAATTGTTTATAACAAAATGACGTTGATTCCATGCAGAATTATTCATAATATCCTGTGATATTAATTTATCAACAAATTCCATCTCTTTTTCTATTAGATGACTAAAATAGATACAGCAAACAAAAATAAATTATGAATTAATTGGAATGTAAATAGAAAAGATATAACTTTAAATAAAAAAATTCCATAAAATTTAATAGAATTTTAAACACTTTACCTAAATTTTCTGAGAACCCATTGTCTATATTGCCAAGCATGGTAACTTTTAGGATCCATATCTAAAATTTCTGCTGTAAATTCTAATTCAGCTGATGGATCGTTTAATATTTTTACAATATTCTTACGATAATGCCTAAGGTATTAATACAAAAATTACTTGAAATTATATTATAGCCAGTGCTCAAACTCTAAAAATAAACTAAACATTTTGTTTTCTGTCTGTTAAAAACTTTTCTAACAGAAATCTTCCTATGACTATCCACTTTTAGGGTGGTTGTATTGTCCAGTTGAGAAATATTAACATTTGTATAAAATTAGTTGAGGTATGGAGTCTTCTCCTCAATTTGAACACTGATTATGGTTATACAAAGCAATTCATTACATGATACATTTTTATTATTTACTTACAAGTGTTATATTTTTTATAATAGGGTGTATATAAAATCAATTAGCTTATGGTCAAAAGGACTAGATAATGAGTAGAATTGTTGAGGGCTATTGACACATTATCAGTTTTACATTTTTGCTACAGATGATTGGCTGTCTATACACAACCAAAATGATTTTTTCATCATAACTAAAATGTTAAATTACTATGGCACAGAAATTATACTTATAAAAACATAACATAAAATATAATGGGTTATTTTAAAATATGATTCAAGTTAAAAAAAATAATTTCTACAGAAATAATAATTGCGAGTCATAATAATTGTAATAATCCTGCAATAATAGTGATATAAATATAATGAAATTAAAATTTAGGTATAATAATGTTGGTCAGCAAATTTAAAATAATTTACTTATTACATTGTACTTTTGAAGATGAATTGAATTTGATTGTAAAATATTTTTGTGGAGATTGAATACTGAATTTTTTTATTAGGGTATAAACTAATTATCATTTAATAATAAATCAACCAATTTGTAAAATCATACCATATTATACATACCATACTTGATAATTTTTGATAAATTTACGGATCATATTTGATACATATTGTAATTCAACATGTAAATCTACTTTTAAATATAACACAATATCCAAACTAAAAAAAAAAAAAACATGATCATCTTTTATTTAAGTAAGTTTTTACATAGTATTGACAAACCGGTAATTCCATACTGTTTGATTGGCAGGGTTTAATTTTAAGGCAGTAGTAACCAATTCAAGGGTTCTTTCAGATTTTTCTCCAGTTGCAAGAACACCTCTCAAATAGTCGTATACATCTGAAACTAAATCAAATATTACGAATATAGTATAAACTGTGTTTAAATAATGTTAAATAAACAAATATCAAAATGGAAATTTAATAAGCACATTAGTATACTATATACTTGGTAGGTATCTACCTACTCCCATGGCGAGGTTATAAAATACGTTGTTAAGCTTTTTACATTTAATATTACTCACATTTTCTAGAGTATGCTACCCGAACAACTGGAGTTGGACCGTCATCTTGAAGAATCGGTTGTACATCTGACCATTCTGGTCGGTTACAGTAAAAAATGTAACTTGATAATTCTTCGTTTTCAGAAGAACTAGAAGATTCATAACTATCTGAACTGACAGACAAAGTTCTCTGGTTTTTATCATCCATTATGAAAATAATACCAATAACTTAACAAAAACGAATTTGATAATTGTATTTAATAAAAATTTCTTTCCATTAAATAATAAGCACGTTTTGCTTGTTTCAGTAAACGTATGACCCGGACACTGATAACAATAAACATGGTAAAGATACAAAATAAACAAAAACATGGCCGCTATTTAGCCATAGGTAATTTTTATCAATTTAGAATTATCAGTTAAACAAATATTGATTTTTCATGTTTCATGTTTTATGAGTTGTTTATTTAGAAATTCGTTGGTAAATACCGATATACCAATACATTTTGTACCGGTTGTTTTTAACATTTGATACTGATTATTTTACACAAGTATGGATATTCGACGATGGAAATCGGTATATTCCCACCATTGTCCAAAATTAACAATGATAATACTATCAACTAAATATTAATCATTAAATTATTATACGTATACTATACTTCCCATTTCCTTTTAATAAGTACTTAATACAAATTAATTTGAATATGTATTAATTGTTATCAATTAAATTATTGTTATTATCATTTATCTATTCGTTTATTATTTCGAGAGGAAATGAGAGGGGATGAAACCGGTGTAGATTGAATGCACCTTATATATATGTGATGATACAGAAAAATTAAACCGGTGTTGTTAATTTTAACACCGGTTACTTCAAAAGATTTCTCAAATTCACACCGGTTTGATTTTCAAAGAGAAATTTACAGCCGTTTGTACCAACGAATTTCTTGTATTACTTAATTTTTTATTCTGTGTTTGAATTAAATAGTGCAATTTATAATAAATAATAAAATAAAAACGAAATTATTAAAATGGTTAATACTCGTAAATAAATATATAAATACAAAATGTCTATATTTATTTACTTTATTTAATTTATAATATTATATTGTCATGTCAAAAAAACAAAATGTAAAACACAATTTGTATCCCAAAATTTATAGATTCAATTAGTAATAATTTGGATTTTTTATCTTAACATTTTTAATTTAAAAAGTAACCGTATAATAATGGTACGAATTAAATAAATAAAAAGGATAACATTGAGTAGGAATTTATATTTTCTATATGATGATTCACACAACATCACAGCGCCCTTGTACGAATACTCAATACGTGACATTATAATATAATATTGTAAATTACAAATTTTGATAAAATTAAATTTGAATTTAAAAGTTAAAATTCAAAATAAATTTTAAACAACAACTGAGATGTATAAATAAGGTGGAACAGCTAGGAAAAAAAAAGATACATAAATCACTTCAGTTATTTTCACCACTTTAGTGCTTGGTTATGAATTGGTGTTCCACATGAATGCCATAATAATATAGAAACTAAGTGATTTAACTTAATTTTGCATTATATTTTTGAAAATTGATATTTTTATTTAGCTATATTTGACACATTACTGTGTGACACATGCATTATAATATTATGTATATATAATAATTTATTAAACTATTGTAATACAAAGAACTCTTACTAATCATTTTTTATTATCATACCAAGGGATAATAATAAATTAATTGAAAAAATACTAAAATTTAACTATTTCTACCAAAAGTTTATTTTGTTCAAAAAGAACAAAATATATAGGTAATTAGATAATTTTTTTAAATTGTTTTCAACATGTTTTTATCATCAACAAATCGGCCATATTCAAAAATCATTTCTATTTTCAGGTAAAATTTGGTAATATATTTAGAAAGATGAAATTTATGTTCATCACAGCGAACTTTTGGATAATCCTGACTCTTAAATTCATCTAAACCCAAAAAAACAAATAAACTTCATAATACCAAACAAATTAACTAGTATAATAAATAAATAACAGAAATATAAAAAAATTGTACAATCCTGTTATCTCGACTACCCGACTACCAATATATTTCCAAGCCTAACTATTCTAAACAATACTGTTATCTCCACAATCTAGTTATATTCATTTCATTAAAATCATAAAACCTAGTTACGACTGTTAAATGTTATAAAGATATCTTCTATTACAGATGTTTTAAACATTATTTGATTGTTAGTAATATTAATATTCGCAAAAAAGAGTATTGAACTTTAAACAGAGTTAAGCGATTTTTGAGTCTTTATACACGATTATACATGTAAAAATCCGAAAATAATTTGCAGATAATGATGTATTTTTGATTCTGAGTAGAGCTAAAAATCATTCTCCGATTATTAGGTATAGCAACTTTTCTGAAATAATCAAGGTAGAAAATATAAATGTTACTTTTGAATTAGACACAGGTTATTAATTTTATGAATACACCTAGATACAATTTTTCGAAATACTTCTTGAAAATAGGCTACTATACGATAAATTATATGGTCAAAATCATTTAGGAATATTACCTCAAAAAAAGTTTATCATAACAGAAATGATAAACCTAAATCGGCCAACAGTTTAAAATGGAAATATATATTTTCAAACACCTTTATATAAAACAATGAAAACCTTAATTTTATTGAAAAAAGAAAATTTAGCAACGAAAGCACCCACTCAGGCCATGATGTTCTTCAATCTGAAACATTTGATTCAATGCCAAAGAAAGAAAGTGGTTCATATAAAGGTATGATGGATAAATCACAATATATTGATGATCAAAATGAGTTGATTACAAGACTAAATATTTTAGTATCTTCAAAAAATGGGGTTAATACAACTCCTAATATAATTTTGGAAGAACTTTACAAGAGAAATCTTCTAAATAAGTATATTCAATCATAAGTAATGAACACATAATTTATTTAATAAAATTATAGGTATGGAGACGTTAAGGAATATAGTGGATAAATTACATTGGCCAGTAAGACAGATATTGCCTAGAAAGAAAGTAATATTTTTTTTCAAAAATAATCTTTGGCCAGTTGACTTAATAGATATGCAACAGCACTCTGGAAAAGGTTTTAAACAAATTTCAATTGTAATAGACACATATATTAAATATTTATAGATACAATGATTAAAAAACAAAGCAGTTCTGAAGTTACAAATAAAAAAATGTTTAATATTAAAAACAAAACATCTAAAATTATTAAAAAAAAAAAAAAATATGGATCAAAGTTTTACAATAAACAGTTCCAAGATCTTTTAAAAAATTTTAATATTAATTTTTATTCAACATGATCGTAGTATAAAGGCTGGGATTCATTGATTGAAAAAAAAATGAAATTGACAAATAATTGTAAAACTTAAATTTGTTAAAATTAACTGAATTATTACAAATTAAATGTTTTAAAGTTGTTGAAATATACAATATTCCATTATTGTAAGCATGCGTGTGTACCTATCTATGTGTATTTCATTGTATCAACCTTGTGAGCACATATCTAGTTCAAAAGTATCATTTATATTTTTTACCTTAATTATATACTGCAAGCTAATTTCGTTGATTCCGAATAACTGATTAACTGTTTCGTTGCTCTATAACTTTTCAACAATGGCCATTTCTTTATTGGTGCTGTTACCGGATCGACAGCTTACTGAAAAATGGTTAAAAATGGAAAAATTTAGTTTTCCTCACTTACTGCATTCCTTGCTAAATGCAAGGCACTTCCTGAATTCATGTTTATTGTTGCATCTCTTACATAAGTATATGTTCTGGGTTTATTTTATTTGATTGGTGTTTTTGTAGTTTTTCTTTTTTGTATAAGATTTACTGTCTGTTGTGATTTTTCCGATAGTGCGCTTTCACCTATAGTTTTGACTTGTACTTTCGGTCTGTTTAACTATTTTTATCGCTTTCTCTAGCGAGAGTTCCTTTATTTCGATAAACCGTTCTTGTTATGGTCGACCACTTATGTTTAGAACGATTTGGTCTCTTATTATGGAGCTTTCTAGTTGTTCGTATTCACAACTTGCTACTCTTAGCTTTAAATTTGTCCCATAATTCTTTATTGACTGTCCTTTTTATTGTTTATATTTGAGAAACACATTTCGTTCGTATACGATATTCTTCTTTCCACAGCAATAATTATCGAACGCTTTAATAAATTTTAGATTATGAGTGGAGCGAATAAGTTTATGGTTTTAAAAAGACATTTATTAGTTTTTGTTTATCTGTACACAACTATTCTACCAGAATACTTGCTCAGATTTCTAAGTGTAGCGCCTTTTCTAAAAGAAAATCGGTATAGAAAGGTACCTTAAAGAAGTAATTTTTCGATTTTCTTAGGAGTGTTCTCATCTCATTTGAAAAACTGAAAAAAAAAACGTGAATATAAAAGAATATAAATGTAAGTATTTCTAAAAATATATTACGGTCTTCTTTTCTAACGTGTACAACTTTTCTACCGGCAATTTCGCTTCAATTTTTAATGATAGCAACGTTTCTAAAAGGAAATTTCACTAGGGAGGTACTTTAAAGAAGTCAATTTTCGATTTCTCAAGTTTTCCCAGCAAATGTGAAAAACTGTGAAGGAACACGGGAAAATTGGGAAATGCGTAGTGCGTCGTGATCATACAAAAAACCTCAAGAATAAATAGTGTATCATATCTAAGGGATGAATAGTATTTTCGATACGTTGGTTTGCCTTGTGACTTCAAATTATTATAGTGTCTATTATGTCCCGTAGATTGACTTCATTTTACGTTCTTTAGATTGACACCCCCTTGTAGCATACCCTCCAACCATGTTCGTATCCAGTACTGTATATTTTAGTCTAACCTAACTAAATGTTATTTTCTTTTAGAAACTATAAACTAATGGAAGCTACACTTGAATCTCGGTCCGAATTTTCTGGTAGAATTTACCGTTTGTCCTTAAATTTTCTTTCGGGTTTCTCCCAATTATTTTGAAAACGCTTTAGAAAATAAAAAAATGACCTGCGCAATGCACCAACTACAGAAAGTTTTCTTTCAGTTAAGGTACTGCATTTAAAAGTTTGGAGAAAGATTTCTGGTAGTAAAGTTGTTCAAAGACAGTAAAAAAAATTTTAAAAAAAACATCGTACATTATAATAAAATCAATAGATCCCTTACTACACTCTGAATCTAAAAAAAATTCTAATAAGTGAATACATTCTGTGAAAATGAGCGATTTATCAAGGATTAATCACCTTATATAAATTAAAAAATGTATATTACCCTATTTTAGTTTCACGACTTATTAAAAGGCATTTTCTATTTTAAAAGA